CGAGTGGCTGGAAACCCGAGATCTGCCCAAAAGAAAGACCACTCCTGGCGGGATAGGGATAGGGAAGCCCACCATGACCTTCGCCCAAGCTGTCTCCTCTGGCCAACGACAGTATCCATGGACAGTCAACACTACCATGAAGAAAACACAGCCTGGCGCCCTCATCACTGCCAACCAACTGAAGAAGAAGCAGGATGATCTCCGGGTCTTTGTCCGCATGGATAATAGCCACCTAGAGCCTTATGGAATCAAGTCTACACTGAACAGAAGACTTAAGTTCCACCCTCAGGAACTTAGAGAAGTGACACGGTGTCCTTCTGGTTTTACCTTACACCCAAGGGACAAGCCAACTCAGGCTAAGCTTCTAGCTTTCCAAGAAGAAATTGCTGACATTCTCAAGGCACAAAAGATTGAGACCCACACAGTCTAGCATCATTACAAGGTCAATGGATGCCCAAGAAAGGTCATCAGTGCAGAAGGGTTCACAATCGATATTACTGACACTGTTGTTGCCGATGAAATTGAAGCCCAAACAGGCGACAGACCTCTGAGGTGCATACTCTCAAAGAACACGATTGATTCTAATCCAGAAACTACATGGATAATCTCTCTGCCCAGTGCAGCAAGGAAACCATTCACGCTTTTTGCCCACTCAATGACCTCAAGGCATATTCAACACACCCCCAAGGTTCACCAGTGTGCAAGCTGCTTCAGATACCATGGTAGGAATTACCGATGCGAAAAGCAAGTATGTGCACACTGCGCCAACACAGTACACCAGGGAGAGTGCGAAAAACCAATCCCAAAGTGTGTCAACTGCAAAGGACCTCATGCTGCCAACTTCGACAAATGCCCTGCCCGCCCCAAGGTTGTGAAAGGTACCATCCATAAGCACACATGGGAACAAATCCAGGAAATAAGGCTAGCCGGAGAAAGAGCCAGATCCAAGGCCTTCAACGAAGCAGGCAGAAACCAAGCTGGGTCAACACCTAGCAATAATAACAAAGACACCACAATGCAAATCGACACAACAGATACAACTCATCCCAGAGATGCCGATACCATTGTTGTCAGTCAATGTTAGGTACATCAAACGAAACACATCGACACGGGCATCTAGTCATCCATTCTGTGAATACAGCAGGGGGACAAAAGAGTGCAGGCCCTACAGAGTTAGCCATCAACCTGGCTGACTATAAAGGAGAACAAGCAGACATCATTCTGATGCAAGAGCCCTGGGTTGGCATACCACCAGGCAGGAGAATGGGAGTAAAGACACATCCCAATTACGATATATACTCCCCAGTGGATTCCTGGGACAGCGACAGTACACGGCCCAGATCTCTTATCTATGTGAGAAAATACCTTCAAGCGGATCAACTTCGGCCCTATGCTACACGAGACATCACCTGGGTCAAGGTACAAGGCATTACATTTGCCAGTGTCTACCGGCCATGTGACAACCCACAGGAAGTGGATGACATTCTGGAAGTATGGACTCCACCTTTTGGCTGCGTTATAGCTGGAGATTTCAATGCTGGCGACACATCCTGGGACTCAAGCAATCCAGGATATCATGGTGGTGCTATACTTGCACAAACTATGGCAGACCATGGACTGGATCTGATTTCTGAACCAGATGTCCCGACACATGATGACGGAAATGTACTAGATCTGGTGTTCTCTGATGTCCCCATGGCTGAAGCCTCAGTCAATGATGCACTTCAGTGCACCTCAGATCATGAGACATTACGAATAGTCATTCCAATCCAGGGAGATCTGGACTGAGTACCCAAGGCCAATCATTGGATAGTACCGGACGATAAACTACAGGAGCTGGCAGATAATGTCCAAACCAGGATTCATGAACTCCCCCGGCTGGGTGTATCCCCTGGCCAGGTGGACACCTTTACACAAAGCCTGATCAACATGATCCAAGGCTGTATTAGGACAGTGGGCAAGAGGCCCCGTCAATCTAGGCCCACTGCTTGGTGGAATGATGACTGCAAAGCAGCTGTTCAGACATACAGGGCCCTTTCCAAACAGACTACAAGCCAAGAAGGACAGAATTCAGCCCGACGGGAATTTCGCGGCGTGGTTCGGAAAGCTAGGAGAGAATACTGGCAGACTCTAATCAATTCAGCAACTGAGCCAAAGGACCTATACAGAATCGTCTCTTAGCACAAGCTATTAACAGGATTACGTTCCCCCCTAATCATCATAGGAGACCAAATATTCGAGTCACAAGAAAGCAAGGCAAATGCACTACGTTTAGCCACGCTTGAACGAAGTACCTCAGACAACGATATCATCGACCCCTGGTCCGCTCAGATCATACAACCCAAGCCACACATCCCCCTTGAATACCACGTCGGACTGGAAGAGGCTGAAGGGTGCACTTTAGGAACCAAGAGCAACTCCCCGGGAGTAGATACCCTCACAGTACGGATTCTGAAAGCTTGCTGGCCAGTCATTGGGGAGCATATCAGAGCCCTTTTCCAGACCTGCCTACAGATTGGACACCACCCTAAACCATTCAAAGTAGCTGAGGTGGTGATGATCCCAAAACCAGGAAAGAAAGACTACTCCAATCCCAGGGCCTACAGACCAATATCGCTACTGTCATGTCTTGGCAAGGGCCTAGAACGACTCATTGCGAAAAGACTTACCTGGTTTGTTGTCAAACTTGGAATTCTAGCTCCACAACATTTTGGAGCTCTACCAAAGCGCTCTGCCACTGACCTGGTAGCTGCACTCATACACGATATTGAGCAGGCCCTTGACCAAGGCCTCGTTGCAACGGTAGTCATATCAGATGTGAAAGGGGCCTTTGATGCTGCCCTAATGGGACGGCTGGTGGTTCGCATGAGAGAACAGGGCTGGCCAGGCTTTCTCATAAGATGGGTCCAGTCGTTCATGTCCGAGCGGTCCGCAAGAGTTCGGTTTGAAGGTACTGTGACCGATATAAAAGCTCTCACTTGTGGGCTCCCACAAGGCTCACCAGTCTCTCCAATCCTCTACATGCTGTATACAGAGCCAATCTGTGCCCGACTTGGCATGAAAAGAAGACGCTTTGGATATGCAGATAACCTAGCAACACTCTGCATTGGAAAGAACCTTAAAGAAACAGCTACAGAGGCTTCTGAAAACCTTCATTTGCTCAACCAATGGGGATATAACAATGCTATTGAATTTGATCCCGACAAAACCGAGATCATGCACTTCTCACGGAAAAAGAACTCAGATAACCCCCCAGTTTGCCACGGAACAATGAACAAAATAGCTAAGCATTCCATGCGATGGCTAGGTGTCCTTCTGGATAAGAAACTAAACTTCAAAGACCATGTTTCTCACTGGGCCAAGAAAGCTAGTAGGGTAGCAAATCACCTTCGAGGACTATGCAACACAGTCAAAGAACTTCCAGTAAAGTCAACCAAGAGGGCTGTGAAAGCTTGTGTTATTCCTATTCTCACACATGGCCTGGAGGCCTGGTACCCAGGAATCGAGAAAGCTGGGAGCTTAGGTGAGACATCAGCATGTCGCATTAAGGGGCTTCTTAGAACAATAGATGCCGTACTACGAACGGCGATCAGGGCTATCTTGCCAGTCTGGAAAACACACCCTGGACATATCTTATACTTTGAATCGCAGATTCCCCCAGCAGGAGTTCTTGCAGAGTCAATAAGACGACGTCACGGCCTCCGATTAGGACGAATAGATCAGAGACACCCTCTGGTTGGCAGGCTCCAAATACAAGCTCGCAAGGATCCAACAAGGCTACAAAGGAGCTTCCAGCTAGTCCCTGACTTCCAGAGACCAATACTTACCAGGCCATCATGGAAGAAACGCCCAATCCGCAAAGACAAAGACAAAGAAACAGAGCTCTTCAAGCAATGGCTACAAGAGAGAAACATGAACACTGACCTTGTCATCTACTCAGATGGATCACAATTGGATGACCAAGGCGCAACCCGCACTGGATGGGGTTATACCATCAGGAAAGGCGGCACTATACAAGAAGTATACCGGGGAAAGGGCAGACTTCTCCAAGCAGAAGTAGTAGATGCTGAAGTCCATGGTGCTCTCCAAGGTCTTGTAACAGCCAGGGCAATTGGACACGGAAAACAGCTATATGTCTGCCTGGACAACACGTCAGTGGTAGATGGGCTCAATAGGACTCCACCCGAGACATCACAAAACATTTTTCTACGATTTCAAGAACTTGCCACAGCACACACTCCTGGAGTGACCGTCAAATGGATTCCTGGACACAGAGATATTGATGGCAACGAAGCTGCCGATACACTAGCAAAAGAGGGTACCATGCTAGAAACAGACACAACAAATCTTCCTACAATCTCTTGGGTCAAGAGAGATCTCAAAAGACAGGGCAAGAAAGAGTTCAACCAATGGTGGAAAGACCAATCAGAATCTAGGTATTAAGAAGTATACTCACATGCAGTAACTGAAAGAGACCTTATATCTTTTAAGAGGAGTACTTTACACAGACTTCTAGCGGCCAGATCTGGACATGGCGACTTTGCCAGATACCATGAACGCTTTGGGCACACAGACTCGAATGATCACTGCAGCTGTGGTGAGAAGAAAACACCACAACACATTTTCTTTTGTAAGAGGCTGGGGAAAAATCGGCTACTGCCTAGGCATTCGCCTAGGGCAGCTTGTTTACAATACTTAGAGGAGAGGAGCACAAAATGGACAAAATTCGTGGAGAAGAGCAAGTTCTTTTCAACAATCTGCCCCTGATAGATAGCCTTCCTTGAAGGACCAGATGGATGACCCCAAGGTCATACCGCCGCAACAACAGGGATGGGCCCGTGAGCGGGACTGACTGTACTTATTATCTTGAGACCTCCACAACCCTGCGATGCAGAGGCTCTGGGAGGCGTGGTTTGCACTACTGAGGAGCTACCCCCCACGTTAAATACAAAACAAACAAACAAACAATGGACGTCACGAACGGGTACTGCCGCCTCAAAATGCCAGGCATCGTCTGGCTCTTCTACAGCGCGTCGGGCTTCTGGGGGTGGTTCGCAAGGCCAAGGCCCGAGGAGCCAAAAGACCTCAGCTTCAGACAACAGATCCGATTCTACCTCCTCCACCAGCGCTGCCTCCTGCACCTGGCTATCCTATGGGCAAGTTTGTTAACCAGTCTCCACAACAACGTCTGGCATCTATGCTACCGGCCTGGGTGGATAATCAACGCGCATATCGAGGCCTGGGTCATTTCGGCTGCGGAATTCTGGCTCGAGGTTTGGATTTCGTGGGTGCTCCGCGACTAGCCTCGAGGCAGGTTAAGCAAGGTCAAGCGAGGCGCGGCTGGCTGTGAAGCTCAGGGGACATTCGAGGGGTAGGGAAGGTGTTACACGAAGGTGTCACATGCACGCAGTTTACACCCTTTGATGGATGTATCTGTCTCGGATCGGGCTTTCGGGGCAATAGGCACGGGGCATTATCGGCGGCAGCTGCAGGTACCCGGCGGGACCTGCTGTACCTGCAGGTGCCTGCGAACCCTTCAGGGCAGATGGCGTCCTTTACGTCATCAATCCAACAGACTCCCTGGTGACGATTTGAGACATCGGCACCTGCACTCTTGTCCCGACTGGCATATGCCCGGGCATGGCAGAGCCAGCCTCTTTACACCTATTACGACCCCATCGATAGACACCATCGTGACTGGGGCAGCTTATGAGAGATGCGGCATCGAATCCTGTGGCACCTGCGCATGGCAAACATCTTGATACTACACACCAGCGTCTAGGTAGCTCAGTCGTGTTACCCATCCCTCGCCTGATGTTTGCCATGACCGCGGTAAGTGAGTCGGCAGGTGCAGTCATTCAGGCCTAAGGGAGTCAGATTACACCGAGGAGGAAGGCAGGCGATGATTGAATACGGATCACCTGCGCTCCCGGTCTTTCCCTGTTTGTCTGTTTGCGGCCCTGTGCTCCTGCGTCGTCGCTGTGGCACTGGATTTTCCATTTCCACTGCAGCCAGCCTTCTTCACCACAGTGGACATTTCGCAGGCACCGCACCCCCACCGCCCACCTCGGTTCACCTGCTACCTTAGACGAGACGGGCACGACGACGACGAATCCATCACCCGAAGACTGCGTCGTCGCAGCATTTACCCAGCCATACGTTACGTCTGCACAATCCCTATTCTTTTCCTTTTCTCTTCCCCGCCAAGGTATCTCGATCGTTTGCATCCCCCGCCAAAGTTGACTCAGGTTCGAAGCTGCCCTTCCCAGTCACGTCATACCGACTCACCTTCGAGAAGATAAGAACACATCTTCGAACTCGCCGAGTCGTCCCTTTTCCACACGACGAATTGCGTTTGCCACAACAGGAGGGCAAGTCGATCTCACTTATTCACATCCCAGCCAACGCCCAACGACGGGATCAAGGCCACGATGAAGTCATTCGTTTTAATTCTCCTTTTCACCTCTACGGTCACCAGCACCGCCATCCTGCGTCCACGACAGAGCAACAATGGCTGCTGCTTTGGGCTCACCTCCGTCGGCACAGTCAACGAGACCGTCGAGGAGAGCCACGGTGGTAATCTGCTTCTGGGGGGCTCGTTCCAACAAGGTGGCTTCTGCCTGGTCAAGTCCACCAAGACCATCCAAGACACCCTCAACCACAACTGCTTCATGACAACACCCACCCGACAGTTCGAATGCTTCGCAGGCATTGTGGGCGCCACAGCGTTTGACGTCTTAGCAAACGCCGATGGGAAATCGTATCTCCACTACGACAATGGACCTGGCCTCTTCTATGCCTGTCCCATTGGCTCTGGCGCCGACCAGTACTACGATATATTCTCGACAGCGAAGGCTGACAGCACTGGGTGTATCCAAGTTGCCTTGGCCCTTCACAACCCGTCAGGTGCATGTTCGGCCAGCAACACCACCTCAAGCTCGGGTACGTCTGTCTTAAGAGCGACGAGCTCAGCGCCACTCAGCACGCAGACAACCATCGCTCAGTCAGACCCCAGCGTGACATCTGCTTTCGTCGCCCCAGGATATAGCTATGTCCCCGGGACCGGTGCAGTGACGACCATCGTACCGAGTGGAATTGTGAGACCCCAGTCCACCAGCAGTACATCCGCGGCCCCAAAGTCCACCGCGGCAGCATCTCGAGTCTGCTCTATTGCAGCGTCTGCGCCGTCGATTGCCCCATTCAAGGTAGCCACACCGAACAACCGCGACCAAGACACCTCGACAGACGTCCTGATCTCGACGAACAACAGCGCGCTCTTCCAATACGTCATCCCAGGCTCTTTCCTCCCGATCATGGCCGACGCCGCCAAGCCGCCCCTGTGCGCCCTCCAGTTCCGCATGCCCGTCTGCACAGAGTTGCCCAAGGGCTACCCGTGCTACAGCTTCAGCGGGCTCGAGCAGGAGATCCTCTCGAACTCGGGCATGGCCTTCGCGTTGAGCGACGACGACGCCGCCGTCCCCGTCGTGGCCTCGTGGAACGCCACCGAGCTGCACCAGGTGTTCCCCGGCGAGAACTCGATCCTGGGCACCTTCGAGTGCGGCAAGCCCGCGGGCTCGTACGGGGCCGCGCGCAAGATGACATGGCGTGCCAGCAGTGTTAGGAGCTTTAGTCTCGAATTCCTTCAAGCTGGCGTTGGTGCCGACGCGCAGTTTCAGGACGGCATTGGGGCTTGGATTCTGCCTTGCTCATGATCTGCCTCTCTCTGTTCTTTTTCATCCCACCCCTATTTCCATCTCTTTCGCACCCCTCAGCACGGTTAATGGACAAACCGACACGTTGTCTTCGAAGGGGCGCGCGTTCTTGGCATAACAAAAAGCACGCACACACTGAACGACGATTTCGGTGTAGATTGATGGCTGGGTTTGGGACCATCTTCCCCCGTTCCCTCTTGGACGAGCTACCACAACTAGACGCTTGCCGTTATTCTTTCTAGAGATGCGAAAGAGCGAGTACGTAAGGTACGTAATGGGTAATGGGCGCGTAATGGGCGGGTAATGCGATGGGTGTGTTGTGTGGTGGTGGCGAGCGGCGAAGAATTCACTGACTGACTGGCCAGACAGGCAGGCCGGTCTTCAATTGTAATTACCTAGTCACTTGCATACAGTTTGCACGAGATACCTGCGATATATACCAATTCTGTCTTCCTCAATACCCTGTCAGGAGCCTATAAATAATGGCGTGCTCATATGCGTATCTGCTGATTGCTTCGACATCTGTGTTTCGGTGCTAAGTCTCGGGATGGATGCGTGTCGTGTGTATTCTGGACATGCGTCCGCGGTGAAGCAATCGTCGCGTATACCCAGCGAGAGACAGTGTCTGGCCTTCCATAGCCATTGTTCGCGCCCAAGGGAGTCCGTTGCTTTGAATCAGTCCAGTCCAACCGCACCCCTGAGCGACGGTCCTGCAAGTTGCGTGGCTGCAGTGCTGATAACATGTGCTGAGCGACTCCCCGTTCCCGGCCCCCGGATTATGGCCGGGATAGGTACTTGGATATACCTAGCTAGTCATGCGCCACGTTGCATTGCGGATGCGACGTCGGGCGTTCGTGAGGTTAGGACACGTCCAGAACGATCCATCTTGGGTTAGGTACATGGTCCCGCCGATAAAATCAGAGCGGCCACGGAGCATAGTAGGTAGTATCACCCATGAAAAGCACTTTCACCAGAATGATTCCCATTTTATATTACATATCAAACGCATCTCTACCAAATATGGCATATCCATCATAAAGCTGGCTATCCTCTGGTCAGCCACCGTGCCTCCTTTCTTGAACGCCTCAACCTCATTCCTTCCAAGCCCCGGGGTATCATCATAGAAAGGAACTCATAACTCATCTGTCTCGTCGTCATCGGACAGCCAGATGGCTATCGATTGCTTGACTGCTCTCGCTGCGCCGTCCTCGTTCTTGGGCATCTTGGTGTCGCTGCCAAAAGAGCGACTCGCAGGCTTGGGCTTGATGACTGGTGTACTGGGCGTTGCATCTTCCATCTTGACGTCTTCTACCACCTCCGCTTCAACGGCTGGAGACTCAGACTTCACACCCACAGCCTTAGAGTCCTCCAGCTTCACATCATCTTTGCCTTCGTCCTCCGTTTTCGCGTCAACATCGGGCTTGATAGCACCAAGACCCTTGAGCTTCTCAACGCGCATTCGGTAGAAGAGATCCAGGCAGTTCCTGCGTTGCTCCTGTGTCATGGTCTCAACAGCCAAGGCGAATTCTGTGGCACTAGTAAAGTCGAAGGTCTTAGCCATTGTGCAGAACTGCCTCTGCATGACGTCTTTCGGCGGATTATACTGGTGATGATACGAGTTTGAGGCGCTCTGCGCAGAACTGTCTTGGCTGTTGAAGAAGAGGGCAAGACTGGCCCCATCAGCATCTGGATCGGCGGCGAGCTGAGCTTGTCGAGATAATTCGTCCTCGATCTTTGATGACCCAATAACCTCCGAGTTCTCGTGGGTGTACTCAACACCCTCGGAAGCTAGAATAGCCTGGATGGGGTCGCTCCTGGGCTTCGAAGCTACTTTTAACTTCGGCGCCTTTTCCTTGGCGTCTTCTTTGGTCAACATTGCTGAGAGGTGTCTCAACCCGCCGCTGTCGTCGTCGGCACCCTCCTCTTTCTTGACAAACTCGTCTTCCTCGACATCTTTGATTACTTTGTCCATGTCAATGTCCACCAACCTCACACCCGCTTTGGCTTCGGCGATATTGGTCTTGTTGACAATGTCACGAAGGACACCTTGATCGCCATTGTACGTCAGTAAGTTGTGGATGCCGAAAATCTCACCCTTTCGGTCTGAGTTCTGCTGAACACCCTTGAAGTATCGACGCTCGTTCGAGGCGTTATACCCGATGTTTGCCTGTTGCTGCTTGTAGATCTGCCGGGCATATGTGATTTCCTCAATCGTACCAGTGGAGATCAAGCGATAGACCTCCACATCACGAACTTGGCCGATTCGGTAGGCGCGGTCTTGGGCCTGAAGATCGTATGACGGGTTCCAATGAGGGTCCATAATGACTACTTTATTGGCTGAGGTGATGTTCAGACCTACACCTCCAGCTTTGGTCGATATAAGGAAGACGAACTGATTAGGGTCCGAATTGAAGTCGTCGACAACTTCCTGCCGCTCATCGTAAGAAAGTGAGCCATCCAAGTAGCTCACATTATAGTTGGTCATGCCAAAGAGTTGCTGGAGGATCCGTAGTAGTTTCACACTATGCGAGAAGACTAGGACCTTGTCGCCATTGCCGTGCCAAAACTTCAACAGCTTCTTCAGGACCTTCCATTTCCCGCAGTATTCCGGGTTGGCAAGGTTGATCATGTTATCCCGCTTCGCGTAGTGCTCCGCCCAGTCATTCGGCATGGCAGCCTCTAGGAATCTGAGCTCCCTTCTAAGCTTGTCGGCAATGTCGGCAGTCCGTGGAATCATGAGGTTGAAGTGGTTGGAAAGCTTCTGAAGCGCCATGACAATGGGGAACACCAGGGCTTTCCATGACTCTCCATCTGCGTTGAGCTGGAAACAACATCTTCCCCCTGTGAGTCCTGAACCGCATGAGCATGCCTCAAAGGCGGCGAGGACAAACTGCACGATTGAACTAGAGAGTAGATTTTCATAGGCACCGCGCTGCAGATCCGTGAGAGCACAGAAGACAACTCTGTCGCGCTTCTTTGGCAGCTGATCGGCAATGAGACTCTTCAGCCGCCTCAGGAAGAACTTGGGTAGGAGGTTGAACCGCATTTTCTTCGCCGTCTTGCGCGCTTCGCTCAGCTGATGTAGAGTGGCGTCATGGGATTGGCCGACAGTCAGGGGCTTGCATATTTGCTCTTTCCAATCCAACAGCGTGCCGAACTGTCCGGGATTGGTCCAATTTAGAAGGGCCCAGAGTTCCTCGTACTTGTTCTGAATTGCCGTGCCCGTCAGACCGAACCGGCAAAGACAATTGACCTCGTTCATCGCTATGGTCGTTTCGGCCGTGACTTCCTTGATAGAGTGGCACTCATCAGCGACAACGACATCCCAAGGGACCATGTTCACCTCCGTGCTGCTGTTCTTGTAGGTCGCGTATGTGGTGATCATGACCTCCAGTCTCCCAGCACGGGCGGAACCAAGAACGTCGCTCTTGCCAGCGCCATGATACAAGTCAACATCCCACCAGCCCCATCTCTCCAGTTCGTTCTTCCAGTTTCTGATCAGGGACCCCGGGCAGATGATCAAGGCTCGGGGGTACCAGTCATTCTTGGCGCGTCGGTACTTCCTCATCCGTTTCGCGTCTCGAGAATCCCCGGTCTTGCCAAACGCTGCGGTCAGAAATGCCGCAACCTGGACGGTCTTCCCCAGGCCCATATCATCACCAAGAATACCGCCCTGCTGATATACGAAGAGTCGATGAAGAAACTCGACGCCTTGAATCTGGTAGTCGCGAAGATACTGGGCAATGGAGGCGGGTATGATACCACCGGAAGTCTTCATAACAATATCCTTGTACGGGTGGCATGGCTTGATACCACTTCTCGGGTCAAACTGCGGCTTCTCCTCCAGTTCCTCGAGCCGTTCATCGTCAGAGAAGTAGACATCGGAGAAGTCAGGGGGGAGTAGCAGCCCGCCTTCGCGAAGGGTCTTCCTGTTCTCGTCAAAGGCCTTGCGACGCTCTCCAAAGTAGGCGGGAAGTGAGTCAACAAGTTCGTCCGAGTTCGAGGCACTACCGTCGTCTCGCCAAGACCGAGACTGCGTCTTCCGCCGTTTCGCGCCTTTGGGTGGGCGGCCCCTTGCAATGCCCTTTCCTTTGCTCTTGGCCGATCGCTTTCTGGACGCATAGCGCTTCTTAAGCGTTTCGAATCCAGCAGCCGAATCGTCGCTCCAACCATCGTCTGCGGCAGTTAGGTGGTCTGCTTTGCGCTTGTCCGGCAATGTCTTTGTCTTCTTAGGCGCTGCGGGCTTGCGCCACGCGTCTGAGGAGGCAGTGACGTCATCATCTGAGATGGCAATAGAATCTGACCGACGCGGCATAATTCTGTTCACTACTTGCCCCCATGAGAGCTGCAGTGGACATGGTGAGCAGGAATATGGAAGCAGGTAGGTGTTGAAAGAGCGAAGTGAGCAACGGCAGACGCGCCACCATAAAGGAGATTCAAGGATGGTGGGGCTCAGCGCGACGCGAAATGGCAGCGGGGTCACTTCCGTAGACGTCACGTGATCCCTTCATCATGATAGTAGCGCGCGATTCTGGTGAGGGTCAATTGACACGCAGGCGTTGTGCAGCACTGTCGAAATTCCAGGCAAGTACTTGCACCTACATCGAACATAACGCAAGAACAGAGCTCTCGAACCAATGTTTACGAAAGAGTCTACGCAACACTGATCTATTTTCTCTCAAACGCTATACGCGAAGCACATACTTTCCCGCAGCAATGCCCAAACACTTCGGGTATGTTTCATCCACACTGCGCGTACCTACTGCACAGCGGAAATGGCAAGTGCAGTGAAATCCAGATCTTCCCTTTTCCCACCGTCACGGCACAATCAAGCCCACGTCTTGCGGAACTTCTCGTCGAACTCGTCTCTCAGCATCGTAAACGCCTTCAGAACGTCGACCAGGCTGGCGCCTTCTCCTTCCCAGGCGGGCAGAACCATCTCCGGTGTCGTAGAATCATCCGTAGGACCAGAGTCATCATCGTCCATGCTACCATCAGGCTCGATGAAGTTGGTGAGACTTGTGACGACCGTGGCAAGTACGAGGGAAAATTCCTTCAGCAAGAACCACACGTCGCCCTTCTTTATCTTGTGGTCGCGGGTAAGCGCCGCGTAATCCCCCGACTTGAAGAAGGTGTAGATGTAGGAGTTCAGTCGGGTATCAGTGTCATGCGGCCAGATGGGTATGTAAGGCACCGCAGACTCCTCCAGGAAGACGCCATTCCGTACGGAGGAGCACAGGTCATGAATGCTCTTGAACTCATCAGTGTGCCCCGACAGTGCAGCGAAGGGCGATCTCAACTTTGGGGTGGCAACGCATCCGTGACGTTCAAATGACTCGACGCCGCAGCCCCGACGGCGATACCGCTGAAAGGTAGACGCCTGTCCGGCTCGTCCACCAAATGTTGATCAACGTAAGTACCTGCATACGTCTTGAATATTTGCGCAGGGTCTCGTTGTTGTTGCTGACCAGGATATCTTCAGCACCCTTGGGAAGTCGCGGGAGCAGTAAGTTGGACACCGCTGGGTCGAGCGTGCCAGGGTGGTACTTGCTGCCCACTCTAGCCGGAATCCGGTTGAACAAGTGCGCAATCACCAATGCTAGATTTCTCAAGGTATCAATGGGATTCTTGTGGATGCCTGAACAGAGGCTATGAAAGTATCCGCCTTTCAAGAGCGAATGGAAAGCGAACGCGGCATTCTCTGTGAAGTACAGGTGTCCCACTAGGCCTGCAAAATTGAGAGGCTTGCCAGTGGCTGACAGAAGACGTTGACGTCTCAAATACTCGATGGAGAATCTGAGATGATGTCTGATGGACATGCCCGCTGCTGGGCCGCGCAAGTAGATTCGGTTCTGCAGCAGAAGGGACTTGACAACACCGGTTGCGTAGGCCGAATTGCTAGTGGCGTCAAGAAGACCCATCGTTCGCAGGACCAAAGTCGTGGACAGTGGGAAATGTCCTTTCAGGTCTGGCAAGCGTGACGACATCAGCTCAAAAGCCCGTGTGAGACCGATATTGCAGAAGACGACGTTTCCGAGGAGATCGAAGCCTCTGCGTCCAGCACGTCCAGATCCCTGGCGATAGTTGAGTGCTGTCAGGTATGTCGAGTCTCCAAAAAAGACAACGGTCTTACAAGGCATACTTATGCCCAGAGCGAGTGTGCCAGTGGCAATGACTACCGTCAAGAATCCCTTTCGAAAAAGCATCTCAACGACCTGACGATACCCCCGGTTCACACCAGCATGATGTACGCCAACGCCTCGTTTTAAGGCAGCAATGAAATGCGGCTGGATACGTTCCCATGCGAGGGTCTGTAACGCATCTTGCAGTTCAGACTTCGTCAACTTCGTATGGTCGGCGAAACTGAAGTCGGCGAGTGCCCCGTCGATGTCGAAACTCTCCCACACGCTAGCTTCCACGTTTGCGGTCTTTCGCATTTTCTCGTCTTTCGTGGCCTTTTGGACCCTTTCCAAGTCCTTTTGCTTGGCTCGCAACACCTTCCACGCTTCATATTTGTTGACCTGCTGAGCCCACTGTTTGTCTGACTCTTTGAACTCCTTTTCCGCTGATTCCAATCGGCTCAGAACAGACATCAAGGTATTCTCGCACTGGACGCGATCGTAATTGAACAAAATTGCCGGTAGTCCTCCTGCGCTGTGAAGATCAGATAGCAACGGCAGAATAACAGACTCGGCGTCACGATCCTCGCGCCCCTCTAGAAATTGCTTGGTTGACGCCAAGAGGTGCGTGCGTATGGCCTCGAAGGGGGAAGCACTATCGCGCATCCATGTGTTGAGGACCACTTTCAGTTTGTTCACCCAAGCGATCACATCGGACTTGGTGGCAATACCAGACAGCGTCTTGTTCGGATCCAGAGCAGGATTTAACTCGTAGCCTTGAGTTTGATACTGCTTCATACAAGCCCAAAGCGTCAGGCAATCTCGAGGCTCAAGACTGATCTCACGAAGATCGAATCGGGTCCTAGCAAAAGAATTAGTACCAATGCTGACGAAACGACTACTACGTCATACTAAAGGTCTCCGTTTCGCACATCGCTCAAAGGTCTAGAGAGCTGTTGTGGTGCCCAAGTTGTTTCAATATACCGGGCCATTGTTCATGCGAGTACCAGAGTGTTTGTTCCAGACACAATGAGTGCCCGTGAATGCCCATTCCCTTGATCTGGGTTGTACGGGGACGTTTGAGGGTATAAAGTAGATGGACGCTCACCTGTTCACTAGAGCGGCGATAGGATGGATGAAATGAAATCTCGAGCCCACATCATTCTCCTTGTCGAGTCCTGGAATTGGGAATCGAGCAACGGAAGTCAAGCCCTTGAAGTGGAAATGCCTAGGCTTAAAATAGAAAAAGGCCCGAAGATCAGAGTACCGGGTGTGGTGTTGAATCATCTTCAGTTTAAACCCTTTGGACTCCTAGGATACTTTGAGCCATTCGAAGAACTCCGGTCTGTTTTTGGCCTTTCGCCTTTCCGCTCTTCTCGTTGCTGGTCGAGGGCTTCGGGGCGGTGGTCTTCACACCACGCTGTGCCTGCTTGGATGGCTTCTGCTGAGATGTCACAATGACTTCGGGCTCTATCTGTTTCCCAGATGCGCCAGTCAGACTGGCAGAGTACGCCAACGTATCTCGCATGGAACGCTGCGTCCTCCTCAGTGCTTTGGGGTGTGGTTTGATAGGGGCTCTCTTCGGGTCGACAGGGGTCTTGGCATTGTGCCAATGCGACAGCTCTTGAAATATTCTTCTTTCGCCATAACTTTCGCCACCTTCATCAATATCCACCTTAACTAACAAAAGAAACTCATCGAGCACATCATAAGTAAACGGCAAGACTGATCCGTATTCCGCAGCCGGCTGCGTCGGCTTGGGAGATTTCTTAGTCGAAGTCGGAAACAGTCCATGGCCGATCAACGTCACGCCGCTCAGCTGTTCAACGCATGTGATTATTGCTCTGGCCTCTTCGAATATGGCAGAAGGCAGAGGCTGACCTAAGGATACTTGACGGTAAGTCCACCAGAAGATTCAACCGTCTTACAGGTCAAACAGATCCGGCTTGGCATCGCGAAGCCAGGAGCCCTCGCTTGTGGTCGAGTTGAGGACTGATGTTGCCTCAAGTGCAAAGCGATCCATGAAGGATAGACAGTTGTCAATACTGGGCTTAGGCATGTCAGTAGATGGATTGGGGAATGACCGTCCTGACAATGTCGCACGGCCGAGGTAGGCAGTGTGGAACGCCATGGCGATGGAGGCTAGGTGCAACTCCCTATAACCAGCCGTCTGTAGAAGCTTACTCAGAATAGCCACGGTTGCTCGCTCCCTGCAGCTACTCCCAGATCGTTCAACTCGGTCAAGATTAACCGAAGATGCCGGTTGATCATGAGCTTGATTCGCAACATCAGATTGGGCCGGAGGCTGCAAAGAAGGGATTACGGGGGCAGAGGTGACCATGGAGGTGAAGACCTGTTTGTATCGGTTAGCTTCCCTGCATGACGGCGAACGGCGCAGCAACATTGGGACAAGGTAGGCATAGGTTGGGTACATATCAATGTTGTGCGAGGATACTCACCCTGGAGCTGCTAAACTCTACACTGGATATGAGAGCTACACTTCGTCGCAGTCGGAGGAACTCGTGTATCAAGTACTGGTATGGATTTTGGTGTTCCGAAGTATCTCCTGACTCATCGAAGCCATCATGGCAGAGGAGAAAGGTCGCCAAGTTCTCAGCGAGGTATGCGGTGAACGCATCACTGCCAATGGACGGGAAACAGAAGATAATGTCACTGTTACTACTGTCATCAGTGGCGCACCGTTGCAGATGTTGTATCAGGATGGTCCTGGTCAGCCGATACTTGATCTGCTTTGCCTGCGGAGTGTCGGGAGAATGGCGGTTTTCCTTGCCCTTGTCGAGGAACACACCATGTTTGGAATCGTCAAAGAACACAACATGGAAGCTGCAACCTCGCGACTTCCAGTGGTTGAGGAAGGTTTCCACCGCCGATATGGCATGCAGAAGCTGAAATGCACCAGCTGCGGGTTGAGGTTAGCAATCGGAGGGCAAGGTTTGGGGACAGCGTGAAGAGGTGGGTTCAAGTCCTACCGTTGAAGTCGACCTGCGACGAGTTGATGCAATGCAACAGGAGGGAATCGCCGTGGATGAGGAACAGTTCCTTGCCACCAAAGTCGCCCACAATGTCGACGGTGCGGAAACCCAGGGCCTCGTGCCACTTGGTGAGTTTCTTGGTCGCCATGGTCGGAGGTCAATACATGGGAATGACCATGGTTGATTGAGGATGAGAACGAAGAAGTTACAGAGTAAAGGAACTTGGCTAGGAATTGATGTGTTTCCGCGGAAACAGTCTTGGTGCGGGTGCAGCTGGATGTACAGGTCGGGTGTGAAATGCGGATTGCAAACGAAGGTGTCTTTGGGATGGACGGGAGCGATTGTGCAAACGGTAGGTTCTACGTACGTTGATACCCCTTTACCTACATGTGTATGCCCTACCTAGGTACCAAAGGTCAGGTCCTAGACATATTGTATGGACTAGAAGACTGTGCAACACGGCATGCACGAGTCTTGCAGAGGTGTAACGCATTGCCGTGTGTATCGGAATCAATTGACCACTCACTGCCTTACTGGCGTCTGCCTAAACTCCCTGAACGCCTTCCCAAGACTATTTCCCCATCTTGATCTAGACACCCAAACCCAACCAGCTACGGTTCTCATGAGTTCATAGCAGCTCGAAATCATCCAGCTTGTCCCTGTATTTCATGATGCTCTTCTTGATCTTGCTGCCCACCGTCCATCTGTATTCCGAGTCAGCATCCCCTACTTCTGGAAGCAATGCACTTCAGGGAGGAACTTACGTGATGAAATCCTCCAGTGACCTCGTGACGAAGAAGCTCGGGTCCGTGATAGTTTCCACTCCTACTCTCACATGGCCCTGCTCGATGAGCTTCGTGGCTGCTTGGACCGTCTCCGCCATTCTATACGTACGTCAGTATCAGTTGAACGAGAAAGAAACACACTGTATAAGGCACGAAGAGTTGCTACGCAGAAAGGGAAGGCTCTGTTACTGACCTCAATCGGGTCATGACGACCGGTAGTCTCCGCCGGGCTAGGGCAGAGACAGTAGCGCCGTGCTCGACATTGCTCAACTTTGACGCCGACGACAGGATGCCCATGTCATACAGCTTGTCTAGTAGCAGCTTCTCGTGTTTCTGTCGCACGGGGCTCTCGGGAGGCAGCAAGCTGATCTTATGTGAAAGTTGCCGCAGGGACTGGTTGTATGTCAGTGAGGCCGACCGTATACGCTCTTGATGATGTGGACATACGCCGCAAATCTTGTTGTATCTGTGGTAATCTTCTGGCTTCTGAATCATGTATCTCCGTACCACAGCAGCCTGCACGGTAGAGCGCGTCAGCAAATGCGTTCATTCAAAGGGGGTGGTTCACTGACATCGCGGTGTCCCTGATCGGACTTGTAGGTAATAAAGTCTGTTTTTCGGAGCCTGGTGAGAGTCAGCACCCCATTTCCACCCCATATTCAAATTTCGCATGGCCTTCGCCGATTATACCAGCAGGGACTGGTATAGGAGGCCTGGAAAACAGAAGATAGAGAACATTCCACGTACTGGGAGAGTGGTTAGCTCATTTCATGAATATCGGACATGCCTTTACTCACCAGCTTCCCCTCATGATGCTTGAGTGATCGGACCATCTTGGCGGTTTGGCGATCAAAAATGGCAAGTGTAGAACGTGATGGGAATTCTGAGCAGACGACGCTTGCAGTTCTGACTTTGAGGCTCGACTTTTTTCGCACCTCCAATTGTCTGGCCGGCCCCGCAAAAAAGATGCAATAAAGCTTGGACCTCTAGAACTTTAAGGGTACTGGGGCCCGAGCGCCCTATCCAAGTTTGCCGTCCTTCACCGCCCAGCATCTAGATTTCCGTACATTGAAGCTTCAAGAAGGTCGTTCGACGACATCGACAGCACCCAATTCGGAGCTCTGGGAGCAAAATACGCCCGAAACACTCATCTCACAATGCCGCCCAGAATACCACTTCTTTCCGCACTGCGGCAGCAGGCCTCTGCCTTTGTCAAGGCACCATGCGCTCCCCTCTCCAGCACCGCATCCTCCCAAGCCAGTAAGTCGCCCTTCCTATAACCACCATGGCCATCATCACCACCAACCACCATTCCTCCCAAACCACACACCCACTAACCAGACACGCACAGTCCGCACCGACAGCGCCACCGCCTCCCTGCTCAACATCGACAGCCCCTCCCCCTCATCCTCCGGCAAACCCTCCCCCAACAACTCGGACCCGACGCGCGCCGCCAGCGACATCTACAAGAGCATCGGCAACAACCGGGGCAGCGGCCCCCGAGGCACGCCCGAGTCGCGGCAGCGTCTGGAGCAGGACCTGCGCGCCAAGAACCAGACGGAGGACTACGCGCGCCAGATGACGCGGCGGTGGCGCGTCGGCGACGTCTACGCGCCGCACGACATCTCGCCCTCCGAGATGGGCAAGTGGCGCCGCAACCAGGCCCGCAAGCAAGACCTCGTCGACATGCTGGGGCTGTCGCCGCTGGATATGTATAGGGTGAGTTCTCAGTTTCTACAGGGATTCTATTTTGTGGCTGTGTGGCGGCAAGCGGAAAGGAGGGCGTGCGAGGCAGTGGACGATGGCCAGCCAGCCAGCCACGGAAAGGGGTACTCATGTGGGATGCATAGAACGAATGCTAATACAGAAACCACAGAACTTCTCCGTCATCTCCGAGTTCATGACACCGCACGGCAGGATAAAGCGATCAGTGGACACGGGACTGCGACCCCCGAACCAGAGGAAGATGGCAAAGGCGATCCGGAGGGCCATCGGGCTGGGCATCCACCCCAGTGTGCACAAACATCCGGAACTGCTGATGAGGGAGGCGGACCGGACCTACCAACAGAACCAGGCCACAACCAACAAAGCATTGAAGTGGTCGTAATTACTACATTTTGTACAACGTCTTGCTTTTTCAGTATGTACATATAGCAAAGATCCGTGTATAAATTGTATCGTACAAATATATGCACATCCCTGCCTCACGCCTTCCACGGCCGCGGGAGTCTGAAGGTCCTCAACCCCTCTGCGTCTGCCCTCCTTTTGTACTTCTTCTTGAGGGCCTCCCACGTTGGCGGGTACTCGAACTCTGCCCAGGCCTCGAACTCGTCCTTCAGTTCTGGCGACGGCAGCGCATTGTATGTGTAGGCAAGGCTTGGTAGGTATCAGTCAGCACATGAATATTGACCGATCATTGTATGACTTACGTGTGGACGTTTGGACGTTTTCCAGTTACGTCCTCTGCGCCCTCCATGAGCACCTTCACCTCGGCCAGCTGACCATGTGCGGCCAAGGCCGTCATGTAGGCTGAGTAGACCTGTATCGGCACATCGATCTCCATCCTCTTGATTTTCTCCCACAGCTCTCTTGAGGGTTCATCGCCGTACGGAGCGACTTCGTACGCTCTGAACACGAGCTCGAGTGTCGAATATGACGGTCCTTCGGGGGAGTTGGTAATCTCATTCCAGAAGTCCAGAGCCTGGTGCGAGGTGTCGCAAGCAATGTAAGCTATCATGAGTGAGTTGTACAGCAGTGTGTTAGGTTGGATTGTCGTGTCCATCTTCAACATGTTGTGGACCATCTTCAAGCTCTCAAGGTCAGGGCATCGCCCGATGCCCTCAAAACAACGAACATACACCTCCAGCGTAGGGCGGTGCATGGGATTGCCATGGGAGCGCATGTGGCCGAAGACGTGGCAAGCCATGTCTGCACGTCCTCTGTCGAAAAAGGCATCCATAATCGAGACTCGATCCTCGTTTTCCACTTCCGGGAAGAATTGCCGTAGTAATGCATATGCATCCCAGACTCGTGCTGTACTGACCGTCTTGTCTAAACAATAATCGACGAAAGCTTTTCGCACCAGATGACGCTCCGTGATACTGTAATGAACCGTGTGTAGTGAGAGTGTGTCGATCACCTCGTATGTCTCGTCATTCTTCAAGAAAGCCATGCAGATGGATACCACTGTCTCGGGTTCCAATGTTATGTGCCGTTGTTCCAAATAGCTGGTGACTTCAAGGACTTGCTCGTACTCTGGTTTCGCTTCCGAGCAGAGCGCACGGATGAACTTGTTCAACACGGGCATCTCCATGTCTCCTGAAGGCTCTTCCAGGCTCTGCAGTGCTTGGTAGGCTCTGAACGCACCGGCAAGGTCCTTGGCCCGGATTCGATAATCCAGTTGTAGTGTATAGGTCTGGAAGTCGGGCTCCAATCGCAGGTCCTTCGACAAGGAGACGACTCTCTCAGCCAAGTATGGGTCATCCTTGTCAGTGGCGGCCTTCAGAAGACCGTTGATCGTCTCTATATCGGGCTGGTACTGGGATTTGCCAGGTATCTTTTGGGCGACTCTGATCATATGCTCAACGTGGTCGATTCCTTTCCCAAGTAGTAACACTGCCCACTGGAAAGCCGTATCCCAAGACAGCTTGGCTTCCTGAGGCGAGCCAGACTCTAGCTTCTTAATCAGGCTTTGGTAGATGGCCATTGCCCACTCTTGCTCATTATTGCGAAGAGCGAATTGGAGAACGTCGTAGTATGTACCAGGTGCTACGTCCCCCTTGTCGCCCCCCTTCATCGGATAGTGAAACCAGGACTTGGTCTCGCTGGCATTATCTGTGTGCGCAAAGAACCCCGTCAGAACCGCCTGGAATTCCGGGTTATACCTAATACGATATGTTTCCGCCAGAAAGACGAGATCCTTCAGCGCTTGTCCGCGACCTTCCTTGGCTAGCCCGCGTAAGACAGGCATCCAATTGCGCCGGGCACGGTATTGGTCAACGCCGTTCAACCTTTCGTAGTATTTCACCAATAGGTCTCGTGCTTTCAAGGCCTTGCCATACTGTGATAGGGCCACTAGCAGCGAACGGAGGTCGTGCTCGTAGTCGAATGTGTCAATGGGCTTCATACGAGATTCCAGCTCGGTGTCATGGGCAGGTCCCGGCCTCACGCCCAGTACCCTCCTCCTGATTTCCTTGTACAGCATCCTGGAGAGTTCGAGGTGGTGAGTCGCGTCGTCACGGGGCGGCTTGGACAGGCACTGCATGGCAGTTCGAAGGTCTTGCACGGTGAGGTGCGCATCTTTGGCGGGCCTCTCCTGTTGACAAAGATGTCTAAGCACACCGTGAGCGCACATGGCTTGTGTCGAGTTCACTGCGCGTCCATATCGAGTCTTGTGGCCAAAGAAGTCACGCCATGCCTTCGCCAGTTCTGGCTCAGGGGGAGGTCGAAGATTGTCGTTTTCTGCAGCGCGATGCTGGAGTAGGGTCTCGTAGCCCGGCTCAGTCCCGAGTTCCTTCAAGGTTCGGGGTGGCTTTTGGAACAGCTTCAGGAAGGTCCTGCGCTGTGCTGTCCTTGGGACTCGGCACCCGACCGGATATGTGCGGAAAGTAGGTCTCGGGAGGGAGGTATAGAGAGGCAAGGTGCCTGGTGCCCGGCCAGCAGGAAGGCGTCGCAAGACATGGCGGGTTACTTGCGACCGCATAGTTGGAGGTGGGGAGCTATGTATAGTGATTACTGCATAGCTGTTAGCTGTCAATTGGGCCCTGACGGTAAACACGGAGGCTCTTCAGACTCGCCTGCGCATGGCTGAAGCTGTCGCAAAGGCCGTGGTGGGATAGGTATCAGCTTCGACGGAGATTGGATGGACCCGAAGCTCCTGGGCAGTGGGAAAAAAGATGGAAGCTCCGGGCGCGTCATATTCACGATTGGCCCCTAAGGCCCCAATGGAAGACGGGACCCCTTGTCGATAGGCAGGCTTGGTGACGGTCCGCTGCTGAGTGGTGCCAGCTGTCGAGACCATATCCACTAGCTCAAGCCCCTATCTCACATCAACCCCTCGATACAAACCTACTCCTGGTTTGAAGACTGGATCGTCGTGGAAGTTTGACCGACTTACAAGCTAATAGTGGCTTCTCTATATGCCATATCGCATGTGCGCGTGGTGTAACTTATGCTGTAACAACAGTCAATCACCACCTGCGACTGTGCTCTGCCTCACCATCTGGCGACTCGCGGTTCCGCCCTCTCAGTCCTGTTGAGCATGCGCCCCAGAGGCTATAGGTGAGGGAGTTTCGGTCTATCATTGACATCCACGTCAGTTTCGTGGGAGAACAGCTGTGTCACAATAGCGGCAATAAGTCGCTTAACGATGATGGAACTCGGCTCAGTGGTATCTATGAAGGCAACTTCCGCCGGCCCCGCCAGCCAAGTCTACAGTTTAACTGACCATTGTATAGAAGTACCCAGGTCATCTCTTGACAGTGCAGTATTGTGATAATTGCATGGGCAGCAGCCTTTAGTCTACCATGATCTGGTCTTTCTTCCACGTCAGGAACGTGACCGGGAATTGAGCCACCGCAAACCCAACCAAAACCCGCATTTGCAGGTTGAAAGCGTTCACAAACATGCCTTGGACTCTGTCCTTGACAGCAGTAGGCAGCAATCTGATGGTGTCTGGACGCATCAACACTAAGGCAGTTTCTTCGGGGCTCAGCACGCCCAGCATGACCTCTTGAAGCCGGATGTTTGCAACGGCCGTTACTATTGCCAGTGCGGTAGCCCCGCCCAGGAAGCGAAACGGGATGATCGAGGCGGTGCCGACAGCTGTGGTTGATGAGCAAAGCGAGCCTTAATGTCAGTTGACCGAGTTGAGTCACCTACCGAGATCCCGCTTCTCCGTCGCATACGGCATCATGAGCGTTGTCACTGCGATGACAGCTCCCACTCCCAGGCCTAGAATCACCTCAATCACGTACATGGCGCTATATCCCGGATTGTTGGGCGACCCTTCGGACAGCAGAACGACGCCCACTAGCTGCAAGACTCCGGCCACCAGGGCCAGGTACACCGGAGGCAGTCTCCGCTTTGCAATGATTGTGGCCACCAGGATGGCTCCAATCTCCATGGCGAGCGTGAACGGGATCAGATGAACACCGGCGCTGAGCGCGCCCATTCCTACGGCGGCTTGCGAGCGAATCGGGATTTGGATCATGCATGTGGTTGAGATTGCCCCACTGAGAAAGCCGTTGAGGATGAGGCCCATGCAGACCCGGTTTTGAAAGAAACGCCACGGGAAAACGGGCTCCGGTTTTCGTGTGGACGCCGTGACATAGTATTGTGAGACGATGAAGCCAATCCATAGAAGCCCGGACAGGGATAGCGGGAGCAATACCAAGATCGACCTCCACGAGTGCAGGTTTGCTGCCTCCTCTAAGCCCGTGATGTGTATGGTCATCGCCGCCAGGAGGAGCGAGGCCCCAACAAAATCGATTCGATGAATCGAGCGTGTGCGCGGACAGGGACGTTTGCGATGTGGGAAATGCTGTGGCATAGAGTTCGCGACCAGAAGCATGCAGAAGACTCCGAGAGGTACACTGGGAGGTGGTCAGCTACATTGTCACTCAGGGTCGGTTCCGACACCAGAGAGAATGCACTGACTTGAGCAGAAAGACCCATACCCACGACGATCGATTATTGATCGCACCGCCGACTATGGGCCCCATCGTCATGCTGAAAGCGTACATCGTCGTCAAGATCGTATAATAAAACGTGTATTTGGCCGGTGGCACCATCTCGAAAATGACTACCATCACAATCGAATAGACTCCACATCCGCCGATGCCCGGAAGGCACGGCAGATAACACTGGGCGGCAGAGTTAGGATACGGCCCAATCCAAACAATGGCTGTGGTCACATACAGTTGTATCATTGTTTGGGCGGCCGCACAGCCTGCTGAAAATGCCGTGAAGATGAAGATGGACAATAGAAGCATAGTCTTTCCGCCAAACAAGTCACTTAACTTGGCGGCGGCGATGATCATAAAGCTCGTATATGTCAATAGATGTCAGGAAGCACTCCTGGGTTCCTTTGTTCCCATTCATGTACATATACATGGCCCCCAGGCCTGAATAGTATGGTAGCCCTCTGCAGAACAACATACATCTATACCCCCCCCCCTATGGTTAACCTTCTCGCCTTCTGACAATAGATACGCCGTGATGACCCAGCTGCTCTGGCTGAATCCTTGAGGTCCTCCGTGATGGACACCAGAGATGTGCTTACAATCGATATCTCGAGGTTAACAAGAAAGGTTCCCATGTAGATACTAATTATCGTCAAGTTCAAGGCGTGCCCGGGAGAAAGAAGGCACAAAGTACCCACCCGAGCGCCAGGGTGTAAAGCCTCCATCCTGAGAGGTAATATGAGGCGTCTGGAGCCTCATCGGACAAATTCCCGGCATCCGGCAATATCGTAGACGTGGCCTGCCCGTCCAGCTCCAAGCCCGATTCCGGGATGATCGATGGGCCCTTTGGGTGGTTGTCGGAGGTCATGATGGGCTGCCCGTGAAGTCAAAAGAGCAGTCACAGATCGTTGACCTGAGTCTGGTGCCGTTTCAGGAGACTCGGCTTGACGATCAGGGTCATACAGTGGGCGTGACGATGCCAGAAAGTATGTCTTCGAAGGGTTAGCGAGTGATAGAGCCTAGCCTGTATACCTTCTGCTCGACCGAGGTCACTTTTGTCCTCCTTTGCCAGATACGCCGAAGGTCACTCTTGTCCATCTCTGGCAGATACGCCGGAGCGCGGCTTGTACCTGGAGACCTCAGCCTGTCCAGTGTATGCTGTGGTGCTGCGTTCACACACCCTCTGCCGTGCTTTGCCTGGGCAGATTAAGCTGACGAGGGGGCGATGCGACGCTGTGCAGGGGGTCACTCGGCGGCCCATTATGTTTGCTTCCGCGGTATGCATACCACTCACCAGCCTGATGGCACACCGCCAATTGGCCAACATACATACAGAAATGACAGATCCTTGAAACTGGCCCGTCCATCGGCTGCAAAGAACCCCGCACCACACCCCCTTATCTGCAGTGGCAGGGGTAAAACAATCTTTTGCAGGTAACAGCCGTGACGTGTTATGTTAGAGAACAGCAATGCTATGAGTAGGTCTACTTGCCGTTGACTCTCCATCGGCTCTAAAAGGCAATCGAGGCTTCGGCACGTGCAGATAGATGTCTCTCCCCTTGCCCGAGATGATCTCGACGCATACTAGTTATTAGGGGAAAGTAGAATGGTTCGAATTTGATGCGTTCCGAAGATCCTTCCGTTTTACTAAGTTTTTCCTATACCTGAGATCCTATAAACTATCGGAGGTAACTTTCTATCCATTAAAGATTGGTGTAGGCTTCGTTTCGTGTCGCCTTCCAGATCGTGTGATTACCCCAGTTACTCTCCTCTTCAGACATGAATACCCTTCTTTCCATCATGGGTAGCAGGATATTCGACGCTTGCGCCGGTGTTGCTGGACAATTTGGTCCTTGTATCGCCGGTAGTGACTGGTCGAAGGGAATCTCCGTGTCAGTGCCGTGCCTGCTCGGCAGTCTGAAGTGGCCGGTCTGTATCATGCCTGACTCCATACCCAGGAGTAAGTTCCTGATGTAGGGGATGCAGACTGTGATGATGCTGAGTCCCTGCACAAACACCAGAGTTAGGAGGTATTTCCAGGCATGAAAAGTCCAGTCAAGAGGATGTGTCTTTAAGCTTTGTGCTTCGTAGAACTGTGCCACCAAGGCTCCCATGACCCTGCTCGATGTTAGCCGCCCGACGGCATTCTCAAGGGCTCCACCAAGTTCAGGATACATACAATAGTCGAGCGGCGAACCCGCTGATCACGATGGCCTTGCGTCGTTTCTCCATCCTCAAGGGATATATCACGAATACAGGAAGAAGAACCAGGGCGCTTTCGATCACGAGGTTCGCTCCTGCGAACGCTTCCCAAAAGGAGAGTTGGTCGATGCATTGAACCCCTAGGATCCTCCACACATCTGGTGGACGACAAGGGAAGACGGCCACAAGGAAACAGGTGGTGGAGAACAGGGTGAGGAAGCCCGCAATGGCCTAGATCAGCCTTTGGTGGAGACGGTCCGGCGTCAGCTCGTGGAAGAAGATGAGAACTGAGCCTTGCACGCAGGTCGAGACTAGAACAAGCAGAACGTCGGCTGGGTAGACTGCTTTCTGTAAGGACTCTAGCTGATGTGTTGCCAGTGTGCTTTGGTGTCTGCCGACTCCGTTCGCCACCGCAAAAGACATGGCAATTGTGAAGCCAATGCTGAAGCCCTGGTTGAGTAGTAATCAGCATGACCGGACTGCCACAGGTCACAGATGCTCCGTTCTTACCGTGGCGAGAAACAGTGCAGCGTCCTCCATGTAGCGCTTGCCCGGCATGACGGTCGATAGGGTGAACTTGATACCGACGGCGAGGAGGATCGAAGCCCCCATGATCCAGGTCAACAAGCTGACGACCGGACCTAGGTTGGATGCCGTGATGGCTTCACGCTTGTCCATTCTCGATAGTCTAGCGTCGAAAGTGGAGAATGGAGAGAGCAAGCTGCAGAAGGAAGGGAGAACAAGGGTCAGTCGACCCTCGAAAGCAAGGGGCCATAGGTAAAGGCATGAGGCTCGAGAAAAGGGGCTGGCAAGGCTGCGTCCACAGAGCTGTGGCAATGCCCAAAACGAGTCAGCCGTCAGTTACATTCGGAGGGCCTGTTGTGGGTATGATGAATGGCAATGAACAAGGGTCCAAGATGTAATTAATTATACTCTGGTAGCGAAGCTTACGAGAATGTCACCAAAGGGGCGTATCATGACCGACCATCAAGGCATGAATCATAGCGACAGGCTATGTGCACTTTGTTCCGACTCGGCTGCCTGACATCACCGCTGCTACATTAATGGTGCCAACACGAATATTCAATGCCCGACAGGTCGGCGATGTGAGCCTGCCTCGGCATTTTGGTCGGTTGATCCTGACCGGTGAACATCCACCAGCAGTAGTCCTACATCAAGGAACAGGTTAATTGATTTCGTATCGCCTTCTGCATCCTTGGGGTGGCATTGAGAACCCATGTGTGTGACGAGCATGGACTTTCCTAGAGCCTTGCGAGGCACCCAACCAGGATCTGAGGAGCGGGGATGAGTATCCCGCGCAGGGTTCAATGTCGCACCAGGAGGTCAACTTCACTTTGCCAGACCGCAGCGCAAGAACATGATATCCAGAATCGTCTTTCCCGCAAAGTAAGTCAAGCCTCTGCTGGCTATGGTAGGTAGGCATCTAGATGGTAGTGACGCTCTGACGTAAATAGCCCTCATATCATAGGTCAGGCTGGCTGTAGGAACAAGACATCTCACTCTTGTCACAGGGCCTCGACCTTATGTAGGTAAGGTACCTATATGTGACAGAGCCTCGTACTTTCCGCGGAACCCCCTCATTTCCATCGGGTTGCACAACATCGACCCCAACCGGGGAGTCGCCCTATTCGTCGGTTTGCACCCAGGTCTGACCCCTCTCCCAAATCTCAGCCTCTCAGGTCGTTCCCAAGCAGGTTGGAATCAAGTGCAATGGGTACTCCACACGTCCCTCTCAATTTCCTTGTCATTTTCGTCCCTCTGCCCTCCCAAAGGCCACCTGTGTCTTACCGGTATTGAGCTCCATTCTTTTCCGACCGCGTGTCGTACAGTTGTCTCAGCACGACCGTCCTCTTAGTAAGTTGACACATTGCAGCTTTTTGGACATTCCACCATTGGACAGTTCATCAGCCCCAATGAACGTCTCGTCTGGAGTATCCAACGGTAGGGGGGAGGTGATGGAAAGGACCTTTGATGAAATCCATGGCAACACTTGGAGAGAGATTCACGTGGCCTGGCGCGCATGGGAAAGTCACAGGTGCTCAAGGTAGGTCCTTTTGCCTGGCTGGGCCACCATTCATCATGTCACAGCTGGACAGCAAGTCTACATGAGCTGGCTGATACTCAATGTGCCTCTATAGCGTCGATTCGGGTTTCTTTCGATTTTTGGATTCAGTTGTTGTATCCTCGCTACATGGGAGACGGCATTAGCGTAAGCATTGAAAGATTCACCATCCAGTTTCCTCAGGGGCTACTCTGCTAACGTGGGGATTGCCAGGCTCTTTACGGAGGCATTTGTCAAGTAGGCGTCTGCTTAATGTCAAGTAAGCGTCTGCTTAAGTGGAGTGAAATGGTGAACGGCCACCCCGATCTGACAGTTGAATCACGAAGTGGTGGACCAGCGGCTTTGGCGTGGGGCTTCCCCATTGCCTGGCTCTGTTCGTTGTCCGTTTATCTGTGCTTGGCAGAAATGGCGTCCATGTAAGATGCTTCGGTGGCTCTGACTTCCTAGGCAACATGCTGATCTTTGGGAATATAGCGCGCCCATCTCCGGCGGACAATACTTTTGGGTTGCGATTCTGGCACCTCGAAAGTACAAGCGCTTTTGTGGCTACCTAACTGGTTTGCTCCCTAGCTCCAGCTTTCAATGACACTTTCGAGTTTGGCACTAATGATGTATAGGGTGGCTTACTTCGATTGCATGGATCGCTACCCTTGCTGTGGGCAGCATTTTCACGGGCACGATAATCCAAGGGCTCATCATCTTGAACTATCCCGACTATGAACCACGGAATTATCACGTGGCATTCCTCGCCTGGGCGTGATTGCCGTGAGCATCTTTGTCAACACAGTAGTCGCTGGGCTCTTGCCTGTTCTCGAAGGCATTATACTCTTGATACATATTCTAGGTTTCATTGCGATACTCATCACACTAGTGTATCTATCGCCGCACAGCTCAGCAGATGATGTATTCTTTCGCTCTCTGAATGAAGGCGGTTGGCCAACCCAGGGTCTTTCATATTGCGTTGGCTTCATCGGTAACGTAGCTACTTTTGTCGGTAAGTGTCCCAACCCTTCGCGGAATCACTTCATATATAGCTCACCACAATTGCGATATGTAGGGGCCGATGCGGCTATTCACGTGAGTATTCACCCAGTGGGCCATTGAGACCCATGAGTACCTCTGACTTTCTTGAGTAGATGTCGGAAGAGATAGAGAATCCGGCCATGAACGTCCCTCGAGCGATATTCACCACTGTCATGCTCAATGGCAGTATGGGATGGGCCATGGTACTTGCCGTACTCTTTTGTCTCGGTGATATCGAATCCGTGCTGGTATGCTTCCTTACGAGCCTCTGTTACGGTATTACATAATACCTCCACATATTTATGTACATATATACCCCTAGCTTCCCCTCTCTCTTCCGACATTGCCTCTTCTTCCTTAGATATCGTTGAATCTAGATATTTCATCCCATCAGCCCTGACCAGCGCAGCTGCAGGCCTGATTGTCACACGTTGCTTCAGCTGCCAAGACCTGGCTTTAAGTTCCGTCTTTTTAATAAGAGACAGTGTCCCTTGCGTTGCCCAACCATCTCGTGGCATGAACTCAGGCTTCTTTTTCAGGCACAATATCTTGGGTGTCGCGATATTGATTCGGGATTCTTTTTCCGAGACACTATCTCATTATGCCCTCGAGTAAGGTCGGACTTTAACGGTGAGAGGGTTCATAGACGTAAATGCACTGAGAGAACATCTGCAAAAACAAGGAAGCATCAGCCCGGGCACCACTAATTCCGTCGATTTGGAATTCCAACCACTTGGATAGAAAACACCGCAGTACTGACGGCACCAGGAACTGTCACGTCGAATGAAGCGGCAGCCAAGGTTGAAGGTAAAGTGTGTCTCACCTTGTGTGCCGTCACCTGAGACCTCAGGTTTCACACATCAGCCCAGGAGTAGCAAAAGAGGATGCGGTTGGTAACGTTACTGTTCCCACAATAGGGCAGTCCCGTACGATTACTTAACTACCTTTTCCACAGGGCGTTCCGGGTCGCAGCTCTGGCCTCATCGTCTAACCATTAAGTTTCAACTTACTGGTGCTGCGCATTAACTGCCCGGCTCCGCGGAAAACAGCCTGTATAAGAAGTCGCATCCCTACTAGAGGATCTCGGAAAGGGGTCCGAGGCTCGGAAGGTGGGAGTAGTGTGCTGGACCAACCCCCTCCGCTGTGCGCCGTTGCGACTAGTCTAGGGGGTTGGGGAAGCAGGAGAATATATCGGGTATATCAATAATGCCGTGAGCTAAAACAAGGCGCCGTTTTCTGTCGGAGGGAGCACCACATCGTAGCATTCTGAGGTTCCCGTCCTTGCCAGGCGATGTTCGAATTTCAGTCGCCCTCTTTTTTAATACGCTGCTTTCTGGGCATGAAAGACATTTGATCGCTCGGCAAACGCCTTGCAGGTTGCTAACATAATCGTGTCACCGCTACTCATGCACGAAAGTCTCAGCTATAATGCATCATCGACACATTAGCCTCTTGTCTAGTGCCGGGTGCATAGGGGGGACTTCCAGGTGCGGGTCTCAGATCAGAGATCTCCGCATGGGCAGCAGGAGGAACCCTGTCACGCTGGGGTCATGACGACACTTTTATACTGCTACCAACAAAGTTCGCATGCTGGGGAAGTACAAGCCTTCTTCTATCGATCCTGCAGGATCTCTGGGGAAGTTACAGGGCTTTTTATCTATCCTGCAATAGGTCTGGCTGATAATGTTGCCTCGACATGGGCGTCCGGGGGTTCCGACCAAGTGGAATGTGGTGACCAATTGATGGTATCCCGAAGCGAAGGTTCCTGGGCGGGTGGCTGCCCACGACTAATGACAGCGGTTTTTGCTTTTCATGAGATGGGCTAACCACTAATGCATGTCGAAGACACCCCTCCCAGCCTCTAGACATGGGGAAGTTAGCCCTTACACGCGTGTGCCTGGCTCATGCGGTGAGCTGGTATAAGAGTCTGTTCTCGATTTTCGTCCGAACTCCACGTCCTCGCGTGCTCTCCTCACCTTCAGCTCGCTGGTACGCTATTCGCTGCCAAAACCCGTATTGCAATGGACGGCCCCAACACCAAGCTCAACACCGGCCCGCTAGGCTGGGCCTACATCGCCCTGACGGTAGTATGGACAGTCGTCGTGGCGAGCGGGATGTGGTTCCTGCATCGTCACCGCCAGCTTCCCTTCCTCCAGATGCGGAGGCTGCCCCTGGTCTTCAGCGCCATCGTCCTGCTTCACATCTACGGGGTGGCCACTATGGTAGTCTACGTCATCGAGCCCTTGGTGCCGTGCGATGCTCAGTTCTGGATCATGAGCGTCTATCTGCCTTGCGGTATGGCATTGCTCCAGGCCGCGAATAGTCACTTCCTTCAAATAGCTAGCCAGCAGCGGAAATACGTGCGGCACAGCGACCTCGAGGACAAGCTTCTCTCGGAGAAGCCCCCACTACTCGATCCCTCTCTTCCCCGGTGGAAACGAACCATTCAGAGGGTTCAGAGCGCGGACCAGACTACGAGAACTCTGTATTATATCAGTCTGGGGATCGTGGTTCAGGTAAACACCGTACGACGTAAACACTATCAGGAGAGAGAGGCTGACAGCCATAGTTAATCATGACTTTGTTTGTCTACTTCGGGGCCGAGATGTTCCACCCAAGATACGGCTTCTTCCATGAAAACGTCCCTGCAGAACAGCAGAGAAAGAAGCAGTGCTTCACTGGCTGGGAGTGGTGGCTGTCGATCGTCTGGCAGTTCTTCTGGGCGTACTTCTACGCCCCGTATATGCTGTGGAAGACTCGGCATGTTCGCGATACCCACGGATGGCGTATCCAGACCATCGGTTGCTGCGTTGCTGGCCTGCCTGCGTCGCCTCTATGGCTGGCTGGCTTGTATAGTCCGCAGATGCAATCGGTCAGGACGGTCGTCATTCCACCCCAATGGTGAGTCTTCCACTCACTACCAGCAAAGTGCACAAGATGCTAACAACACCCACAGGATCACGTTCTCGATCGTCTTCATAGAAATATTCACGATACTCTTTCCCTGCTGGCACGTCGTCAAGACGCACAACCTCCAGCAGGAGACCCTTGACGCCATCGCAGTCTGGGAGGAGAAGAACAAGAGTTTCAAGGGCGACGACCAGACCTTTGCGACCGCAGCCTACGTCGGCACCACCCTGAGGAGCTCCATCTACGCCAACAGCCGCAACACCAAGGCCACTGCCAACTCACAAGACTCACGGAAGAGCGATACCCTCACCATGTACGCCCTGGAAAGCGCACTGCAGACCAACCCGCAGCCCCTGCTCGAGTTCGCCGCCCTGAAGGACTTCTCGGGCGAGAACATCAGCTTCCTCTCGCACGTCGCCGACTGGAAGCGCGCCTGGACGACCATGAGCGCCACGCCGGACCGGGAGCGGCAGCAGTTCATCCGAGCCATGCTCATCTACTCCAACTTCATCAGCATGGACTTCTCCGAGTTCCCCGTCAACATCTCGTCGCGGGCGGCCAAGGATCTGCAGGACCTGTTCGGCATCGCGGCGCGGAGGCTCAACCGGCCTTGGAGCATCGACACGGGGTCGTCGTCTGCGACGCCCTTCGATGGCCCGTCGGATAATGAGTCCACGTTGGAACTGAATACTGGTATGGACCTGGAGGATACGCTGGGCATGGCCAATTTGTCGTCCGTCACCAAGATGTCAAATCTGAGCGACGAGGGCCACTTCGACATGCCCATCCCGGAAGGGTTCAACTCCCAGGTCTTCGACGTCGCCGAGCGCGAGGTCAAGTACCTTGTCTTGACCAACACGTGGCCGAGGTTCGTGCATGCTGGTTTCGAGAATGCCAGTCGGGCTTCGGCGAGGGATGGAACAGGCATTTTTGATGGTGCGAGGAAGTACTTCTGCGGCTTGGAAAGGCTTGTATGATAATGAATAATACCTGTAATAACTGTGTAAAATCCAATCCAATGCAGTCGATTCGAACGGACATCTCTTGTTGGGTATATGACCATCCCGCCCTTCAGCCATGCAGGTTAGATCTTCTCATGATGCAATTAGGTTGAGAATCAAGCTCTTCAACCGCAAGGGGAAAGCCCATTCCAATGCTCTAAATGTCACACGGTATGTTGTCCTCTTGAGGAGAACCCAGCAAGTTGTGATACCCCGGCTGCAACTCCTGGAAGACGCCTTCGGGATCGTACTTTCTCGCCACCTCCACCAGCCTCTCCCGGTTGCCCTCGCCGTAGCCGGCCACAACACTCTGGTGCTGACTCGCATTATAGACGAAGTCGTCCGAACGTCCTATCTCGTCCGCGAGCCCCTGGACGAACCTCGTGATGGACTTGCTTATTCGATGGACCGCCGCGTCGTCGGTGGAGTTGTCCCACGACATGACGACCGTGACCACCATCCTGGGCTCGTCGCCGTCGAGGCCCAGCGGGTTTCCGCCGTTCTTGCGCATGCTCTTGAGCATTGGGGTGCTGATAGACTGGAACATCAGAGAGGCGGAGAGCCCGAGGATGATTTCCCCAAAGGCCACGACCTGGAGGAAGTAATCAACGATGTGATCCATCATGGCCCGATCCATCTTCGACGTCGCCGTCCAATACATGTTGCGCTTTCCTGCCGGCTGTCCTTGGGAGAATAGCTCTGTGAGGTTGCTGAGCGTGCGGTTCATGAATGCTTGCGACCAGGGCGGTATCTTCAGTGCTGTGAAATACTCCTCAAATACAGAGGGGATGGCTGTTACAGGTGCAGTGTACTGAAGCATCGTACTGGCGACGACTGACCCCTGCATCCATATATTGTGGGGATCCGGCGCCGAGGCAAGCACAACAACGGCTAGTATATGCGATGCCTTGGGGTTCTTATTGACGCCTGTGACGGTGATGTTGTAGAAGGCGTCCAGCAATGGCGGTATGCCACCATAAACAGCGTGCGGTGGTGCCCTCAGCTCGGAATCCCCGTCATGAGCCCATCTTTCCGCGGTGGCCACTCGCGCCTGGCCTACGCCGCCATGGTCGATCGTCAACCCTCCACCCCAGACAAGCCCCTGAGGCAAAGGTACGGTGAAGAAACGGAACACAGTCACGATCCCCAAGTTGTTGCCTCCTCCACGGAGGGCCCAGTAGAGGTCTGCGTGCTCCCGGGCACTCGCCACGACGACCTCTCCAGATGCCAGCACGACCTCGAACTCGGCGACGTTGTCACAGGCCAGACCGTGCATGTTCGAGAAGAAGGACATGCCACCTCCGAGGGTCAGTCCACCGACGCCCACATCCGAGTTGCGGCCGCCGACGACAGTCAGGTCGTGGGGCTCAAGCGCGGCATAGACGTCGCCCCAGCGGGTGCCTGCTCCGACGGTCACTGTCGCTCGATCGGCGCTGAGGGTGATGTCGCTGAACGACCTCAGCGAGACGACGATGCCGTTCTCGATGCTTGAGCTTCCCGCGAAAGACGCGTGTCCGCCACCCTTGACCGCGAATGGGCAGGCTGTCAGGCGAGAGATGAGGAGCTGGATGGCGATGCCCTTGCTGCTTTCTGGTATGAAGATGCACGCAGGAGAGACTTCGGCTTGTTGCATTGACCAGTAACTGCTAGTGAAGCTGTTATACCCTTCACCATCGGACCTGCTGATCACCTGGCTTCCAAAGACCTGCTTGAGTCCTTGACACTGGATATCACTTAGTCGCGTGGTTATACTATGATGAGGACGGATACACGCTTGACTTACAGCGGATTTGCAATCCAGATTTCCTCGTGTGCTTCCCAATTGAGGCAAGGTCTCGAGATGCACTTCATGCCTGCGAAGCGCCGCCTCAATCTCGGGGCGGTCGGCTTCCAAGACCTGCTGCGAATGCGGTACCCTTTGAATCGCATTGCAGGACTCAGGCAGTATAGCGAAATATAACACGAGCAAAATCGACAGCCATCTGCGTGCGCAGGGACGTGAGAGTGAAATCATCTTGGATGAACGAGGCATCCAAAGGTTAACGTTCGGACGTTATCTTCATGATGACGGCGGTAACCAAGGAGGGGAAGAGCAATCTTTCATCGGCCCTACTAAATTAAATCCTTCAGCGATGCTATACCATACACTCTCCACCGGGTATGTTTTACCCCCTCAGCCATAACCAACAAGTCTAAGTCTTCAGATATGGCAAGCCACACTTTTGCTGTCTTTGAGTCAACCTCCAAAGACTTCGGTAGGTCTTCTCAGAGAGGCATGGTATATTCCCGGCCCTCTCGTAACGCAGGTCGCGGGGTTTCGGCTGAGCGGGATGGTAACATCGCTCAACGCTTCGCCAAGCTATATGCTGTTCGTGTCACATTCACCATGCTTGGAGAGCATTTCGCACACGTATGCCCAGCAGAAGTTCTGCAGTCGGCTGGCGAGCATGACAGCCAAATACTTGATACCCTGCCCGTCAGGTTGCGGGTTTCTCCGTGGTTGCCGCATACGGGAGCAGCTTGCCATCGTGGACCAGGACGGAGCACTGAGGCGCCTTGAAGGGGTACGATCTGCCCCGTGGCTCTATATGCGGTGATAGGCGACCTCTGTTGATTGACTGTTCGTTTGGTCCCCTTTGGCTTATATTCATCTGATATGTATGAACCACTTCCCCAGGGCTACTCCCTCTTCTTCCCCGGCCTGACACTCGACTCCTGCACCACTTTATCCTAGAGACGTTTCTCTATACCCAGCGAAATTGCGGAAGCCGCATCGGGGCCTCAATAAGACGATGGAGGCATACAATGAGGCTGCCGCTTTCTTGCGACGATGTTTTAGCCCAGGGCAGAGACCCTACAAGAAACATCCTGGCCGGCTCTCCTCGGTCAATCGGTACTTTTGGGCACGTTCGCCTTGGAAACTCTTTGGCATTGGCCCACAACTGGCGACTAATACACAATAGGAAGACCCAAGCCTGTGTGATCACGAGCTTGGCTTCCGCCCCGCGTCAACTCATGGGCAGTTGAAGCGACATAGTACATAGGTTTACACAGTGGTCGCCCTTTCACTATAAGGGAGAAGGTAACGGTGTAATTTCACATGCTACTTGCAAACCAGACCAAGAAAACATAATTTGCTGCCACACGCCTTTCATTGAGACGTAACCCATACCCTCCAGCGTTCTCAACCCCCTCTTCTCCAGAAGGCGTTAACCTTCTTGGACATCGGTGAGTTTCTTCTCCACGAGAACAGACAGATCTTCAAGACTCATCGTTGTGCTCAAAAGGTCCAGGAATGGTACGTCCACCTTGAAAGTATTCCAAAACCAGGCTCCGAAGTCGGCCGCGAGCATGCTGTCCATACCCAATTGCGCCAGCGCCTTGTGGCCATCAACATGGTCCAGGGGAATCAAGACGAGTTTCGAAACCCTTTTCCGTAAAAGACGTAAAACTGCCGCTCGTAGCGAGCCTGCGTCAACTTCAGACACGAGGGCCGCTCCGACGCTGAATTGAAGAACTTTCAGCCAGGGAGTAGTGGCTACATGTGCCGTGCGTCGCGGTCCCCCTTGGCTAGCAGTGCTGGCTTCCTGCTCTGCAACCAGTGCCGACAACAGTATCAAGGCACGAGGATCCTGTAAAGTACCATTGTCGACCTCGAACCCCCTAGACATGAGATCGCAAAGCCCAAAGGGCTCGAGACCCGTCAACATATGTGGCCCACGAATGTTGTCGTCGAATCGCCCTTGGTCGTTAGCCTGGCGTGAACTGACGTGGGAGTACGATCTCTTCGGGTAAATAATAACTCAAACTTATTAGCAGGCTACTGCGTTACTAGGATGGGAAGCGAGATCGGTGTTTGAAACTAGGTCCTGGCATCGTCTGTCACGATGAACAAAGCTTCACTATCGTAGCCCCTATGCCACCAAAGGGGTTGAAATGCAATTTATTAGGGAGCTGACAGTCGAGCAACGACCGACGGAGCTTACGCTTGCGGCGGTGGACGTTCTTGTCGATGGCATTGAAGATATTGACTGTGCCATTAGCTTGCCTGGTCAGGTCATAAACGAACGACTTTCCCACCCGATCGTTCAAGTAGATGTCTTCAAGATTAGCGAAACGACCGTGGGTGGTAATCTTGGGGATGGATTCACCTTGTAAGGCCGGGACTGAATTGAACACAAGTCTCTCCGGGCCGTGCCTGACTATTGGGGCCTGTGATGATAAGTGAGCTTCGTTACCATGAAGCGGGCTTGACATGTACACACCGTACTTGAGATGATTCTCCCGCGTAGCGAGGTGCAGTCTCTGTAGCAAAACGAAGTATCCAGCATAGGCGTCAGATAGCTTCGCGAGGATGGGTCCGGGGTGTTTTCTCAGCGGATGAAGTAGAATGCGGTAAATGTAAAGATAGAGAAACTTGAGCGTTCGTCAGCCATACATACACCTTTTGGTTTGAAGTCAGCTCGGCTGACTTACGTAGAATACGGCAGCGCAAATGCCATATCTCGCGAGGCCTACGCAGATACCCACGTAGCTGGACATGTTGGCGGCAACCAGGTGAATCATCAGATAGACGGTGATTGAGATAATTATCGTAGTTGGTAAGTGATGCACTGCTTCCTTGGTGTTTGCTGGTCGAGGCGCTCACAAACACACACGCATCAAAGAAGGTCAAACGCGATGATATCCACAAAGCTGATCACCTTGCCGGCAAAACACAGATTGAGACGAGATATGATCTTGTCGAAAACCTACATTGTGATTAAGGTGATGGTTTCTCGGGTCTGCCTTTTAGGCTCTGCTGATGTTGGCTCGTGGATGCACACAAACCTGCTTGAAACAAGGGATGGCTTTTACTTACATAACCAGGGCGATACCAATGTACTCACAAAACCGAGAAACTCGCCAAAAACCCCCTCCAAAGCTCAATATCCGGACCGCTTCAGGACAATGACCCAAGAGCGTAACAGAGATAAACGATCGGTCGGTGTTGACACTCGGAGAATTTTTGTATTGAAAGGGGGGAGATATTATTACACTGGGAGTCCTATGCATGATACACCAGGCTCACGGAAAAACTCTGCCAACATAAACGAAACTGCTCGGGTCCAACTGGTCCAGGGAATACTCCAGAATCTCGTCGTTGGTCATACCGTAAAACATGGCGTCCTCGCTGGTCGATACTGCCGAGAAATTGAGCGCTGACGGACCTCCGCTGAATTTGACAATCGGTATGGAGTGCCACTGTTGAGCCCACCAGTCGCCCGTAACTGTGCCATTTGGAAGCAGGGCCAGGGACAGCGTCTCGGTGAAGTTCCTCATCACCGTGGCGGCAAATTGCAGCATCGGTGAGGGCAGCGGCAGGTCGGAGATCAAATATCCATCTGGACACTGTGTCAGTCTTGAGAGTCCTCGGGCACTCTCTGGAAACCTGCGAAATGCCAAATGGTGACGCACCGTCGGGATCCCACGCCCCGTTAAAACCTGTCTTCTGCATCGAGCCGCCCGTAGCGGAGGTCAGGCTCTCGGACACAAGGGCCACCCGGTCGGCCCAGACTCCGTCCAGCTGCGCCGTGATCGCCAGGCTGGAGTTGTCGGCCACGCCGCCTCGGCCGACAGCGTTGGGTGCGTTGACCCAGTGGCTTGCGTTGGCCATGTTGATGTTGCCGTCGGGGGCCTGGTAAGCCACCAGCCAATTGCCGATGCAATCGCCGAGCCGGCAGCGTTGCCACGCCGCGTCCAAGTCGGAGCCCGGCATGGTGCGCAACGTCGCGCCGTTGAGATTGTCAAACTCCCAGGCCTCGGGGTGCGCGGTGGGACTCAGGAGCCTGACGTTGCGGATTGAGTAATTTGGTGTGAGGAACCACAGTTGGACCTCGATGGTAGTGTTGTTGTACTTGCAAGCCGCGCTCGCCAGGGGCGTATTGGGCAACGGGTTCAGCGAAGTCGTGGGGCCTTTGATGATTTGGGTCAAGTTGGTCGTACTCCAGGTCGTGTTCTGCACATCCCATCGCCGCGCTATGATGGAATTGTAGGGATCTTGAAAGAAGACAGCTCGGTGGGCAAAGCCCTCGGCGTCGGTCCAATTAGTGGATTTGAGCCTTGACGAGCTCAGGACGTTGATGTTCGCAATTCCCGGCTTACTCACTGTGTTGTTGCTTGGTACGCCTGTGCTTGAATCACCGCCTGGGTCAGGCGATGTCTCCTGGTTGTGGTGGTTCACCAGTAAGGCGCCCTCAACGCCCCCCGCGGTTGCGCCGACGATCACCAGTAGTACGATCACAACGGTGATGTAAAATATGCGTCTTTGTATACCGCAGATAGTCGATACGGGCTTTCGTTCGATAACGGGAGGTTGAGGGCTGTGAGGGCGCTCTAAAGTCGCGTATGCTTCTGGATCATTCACGCTGCGTGGGAGCTGCGCGGCAGGTACGACTTGGGGATAGAGACTGTCGTGCTGATGTGTACCCTCTTTCTGGCTTATGTCTCGATCATAAGGGCCATGAAACTCGACACCTCGAATCTCGAGGGTGCTGAAGGGTTGCTGCATTGCAAATGTCCTCTGATACTCAACAAGAGCTGAGGCAATCAAGCTCAAGATGGATGTGCCATTGCCCAGCTGATACCTGACTTTGTTTATCAGCGTTCGTCCCCCAGTTTGAACTGGCAAAGCACCTTCTAGAGGCATGGTACACGGAAAGGGGGCCAAAGCACTCAGTAGCCCCCACGAGGCACTTCGGCCCTAGGTCGTCTATATGGCACAGATTGGGGGCCAGCCGACATACTGCTAGGACTATCCGTCTCGGGTCGCTTCAGCCTCGACACGCATATCCTCGACGATGACTCATTGGTCGGGACGTTCGTGTCTTCATTTATATAAACACCCGATGTGTCCTTCCACGGCAGCCTTGGCGAGGCAAATGTCCAGTAATTCCCTGCTCTGCGTAAAAGCACCAATGGCTGAAGTGTGAAATACTTCTAGCCATCCAGTGGTATCAGCAATGCCACATCTTCGCAAATCAGCTGAGGCGGTACTTTGCAATTACCTTGTAGTCTGCTCTTCCACTCTTCCATAGGTGGAATAGGGGCTGCGGTGGTGAAATTGTGCTCGCCTCACAGATAATGCCAGGCCCAGCTTTCCACACTGAGCTTGTTCTCTCCTCTAGTAATGCAATAGCATGTCAGCGTATTTGAGTCCTCACCCCAGAAGAGATCCTACCTGTCAAAGTTTCAGTTCCTGTATATTGGCGAGACCTTTGCGTGGGTGGACCACTACGGCCATAGCTTGGACATCGAACAGGTGGCTATCGACTACCCTTATCTCTGTCGTTGAGACGCCAGAGAAGAGGCCTCAGACCCACCCATGATTCAGCAACAATAAAGGGGCTGACTGAACGCCACAAGCTGCGAAGAGCATTTGGACATATTGGACATCAATTAGCGCAGGGGCACTTCACAGCGTATTTGGATGCTGGAGTCTCTAATCGAACTGGCACACATTGTTAGAAGCTTGCGACTTCCATCCAGTTCGCTAACCACAGTAGATCACCTACAGCATATGAAGTCTCAGCGGCTATCCCCGCCCAGAATAGGCAGTATCGTGATCGGTATCAGGCTTATTTAAGGCAGAGCGGACGGGATGCCCAGTTCTCCTGATCCTATGGTCGTATGTGGAAGAAATTTGCCAACTACAATTCATACACTCTAGAGCTTCCAGGGGCCTGTCTGGAAGACAAGGTACTGCAGTCAGAAGCTTGGAGAAATTGATAGCAGGAGTTTGAGGCCGTGAATTGTACGTTCAAGGTTCTAATAACCAGGAAGTATCATTGTTATGAATTTGGTTTCTTATTTCATCCATGACGCGTGTTGCTGGCAAGGGGTCTCTCATATCTATCGACCGGTCACCATTGCTGAAGGTATCCCTACAAGCAATGGGCTTCAGTATACCTGCTTGGCGGGTTTCCTATTATTGAAAAGGGCAAAGCGGAAAGAAGGTTATGCATACATGACGTTCGGCCTGGCGAGCCGTGTGAAGCCGAGAGACGTGAGCTGGTATTCGATCTGGTTCTGTAGCAGGTTCGGGCCTAAAGACCTACCCCAGATGCACATGTTGGCGACTTGATACGAGAAAAATGCAAGCTATATTCCTACCCCTAGCAATACCAAGTGCTGGCTAACCCTACGTGACTCGTCCACTCATATCCGTCATCCGCGATGCGAACACACCTCTGCCGCAACGAAAGAACAACGCGTTTTCCCACCAAACCCCCCAAGACTACAGAGACTCAATTACTATAGACAGATAAACAGTAAACAGAGTCCAACGGGGTTATGAGTTGTCTGTGTGTGAAGCTCCCGTGCTGCGCCATCGACCATTACGGATAGTATTGCTGTATGGACTCGAAATAGCAACTCCAATAAAGCACACCGGGTAGAAAGGGGAAAATGGGCCACATAGACGTGACAGGTATCAAATGGATAGTCAAAGCCGCATACCAACAACGCCTGACTGACGCCGTTGAACGCCACATTCGAAGACCCAGAGTAAATATGAAAGGTAAGGCAAAATTGTTCAGGCTGCAAAGAAGTCTTGCGCAAAAGCGGCAGACATTGGCTTGCGCCCCCCAGCGTCCCACAGTTGTAAGAATTGGATGAAAGCAGCCGCATTGGCTGGTTTTTGCCTGCGAAGTTGCGCAATACGACGTGCAAGGAGGTATACCTCTGGGTTTTCTGCGATCAGGATGGAGGTAGCGTTCATATTGGCGGCGTCAGAGTCGGCCTTTCCCACTTGGATTGATGGTTGGGGATTGACTGGTAACTGATCGAACTGTGCCTGCGCGATTGGAAAGCTCTACTTCTTCAACACAGCGTCGTAGATGGAGAAGATGCCGGTGATAGCAGCTCCGACAAGCATACCCTTGTAGCCGCCGTACACGGCTGTGTTGATGCGCGCGATTGAGAACTCATTGATCCAACCACCGAAGGTGATACCTTGACCGTAGACCACGAATGATAGAAGGGCCTTGACGATGCTGAAGGTCAATGGATCGATCGCCGAGTCCTGCACGGGAGCGGCGCGGCGAGTAACGCGCCCGGGTTGAGCGCCCGTGGTCATGTTGACAAAGTAGCCAGCGATGCTTGGGAGAACGATGCTCGTGAAAGCCCAGAGGAGCGCAGGCGACCAGAAAGACGCGGTGAGCAGCAAGAACATGTCCGGGATGAAGACCGGGTAGTCGCTAGTGCCGAGAAAGGAGACAGCCGGGATGGTGAAGGCATATCGGTCGGCGAGGATCTCCGGGCGGAGGAAGTACATTTCGAAGGCGGTTACGGCAAACAAGACCGAGCTGACGGTTGACAAGGTCTCACGTGTCGCGTGGGTTGCCTCCGTAATGCCCAACTCCTTGTACATGGACGCGGCGCGGGTCCTCAAGGCGATGGTGGAACGGTCGACGGCGTCGGCGACGTCGGCCGGCGTGGCTGGCAGAGGAATGCGGCTCGCGAGCGAAAGGGCGCGGGCAGGAGTGTGCGCGATAGCTGTTGAGGTGCTGGTAGGCTCGTCTTCGGACCTGAGCGGGAAATTGTTAGTGGACGCGTCGCGAGACACAACAAGCAGTGGCGCGCGCGATGCGACTTACTCGGTAGGGGGTAGAAGGAGCTCTTCAGCAGCTCTGGTAGCGCGACGTCTTGAGACCCTGAGCTTCTCTACGGGGCCGTCGGCATCCCTCTTGAAGGGAGAACCGATGGTCCTTGCGCGACTCGAGTAGTAGTTCGCCAGCTTGGGATCTGAGGAGAAGAGTGACGAGTTTTCGGCAAGGTGCTCGTCGAGGGCAAGCTCCAACTCGGTCTTCTTGAACGTTTCGTAGCTGTTCGATGAAGTAACAGGTCAGCTATGTGCCTCTTTGCCTCGAGGTGGCGCGTGTATTTCGCGATGGTTGTCTCTCAGGTCCTGCTCGCAGTTCCAGAAAGCAGCGACGGGTTTCAGCGCCACGCCCGACAGACAACGCCGCATTACATTCCAATGCACGGCAAGACAGCACTTAAAGAAAGAACGTGTTGAGTAGGATGGATAGCGTACTTCGTGAGACCGGCATGCTCTGCCAGCTCGGTCAGGTCGGACTTGCGCTGTCGCGACAGCCAGCTGTTTGTAGACATTTTGGGGCGATGGCGATGGCGATGGCGATGGCGATGGCGAATGTGGGATGAGTTAGGAGTTAGTGATGGGTATCGATGTGGTCGCCTAAGGTTTGCGACCAAGATGCAATGTTCTCTCTGTTAATAAAAGCAGCTGGTGGTCCGCGACAAACTTGGGGAAAGCGTATTCTTGCTGATGGGTGGGCAATGGGTTTTAGAGATTTACCGCGTTGCGAGAGAGAGGGGCGTGTGTCTATGTTGACGCGAGTGGAGTGGAGTGTTCAATTGTTTTGTTTTGGTGGTCCCGGTCAGGCCGACAGGCCGATGGAGAAAGCTAGAAAGCGGTAGCGGTCTGACAGCGGGAGTGGGCGGGCTGGCGGGAGTGGGCGGGCTGGCGGGCGGGCGGCACTGCGGCAAGCGCTGCTGGAAGCCCTCCACTGGTTTGGAAGTAGGTATGGGGCAGCCGCGGGCCAAAAACGTTCTGGAGCAAGGATTACGATTCCGACATGATTGTTGACAGCGCAGTCACGACTCACAGATTTTTCTCTCAAGAATTGGGGACTTCCACAACACCATCAACACTCGACTAATAAGTACTCGACAAAAGGGAGTGATAGACAACTTCAGAAGTGTCATGATGGATTCATCAACCACTTTCGTCGTCTTTTCTGGACTACTCATCAGGTCTCTAATCGCCGTTCAATGTTGACCTGTAAAACGCTAGTTAAAAAGTCAAGTTCGGACAATAGCGGCGCCAACGTCTATCATCTCTGTACCTCACGTAGGTAGAAACAGACACCGTCGATCAGAGAGAAGAATTATTTTTTAGAACACAACTCACCCACTCTTAAACCCACAAACATCTCCCCTCACCACACCAACCTCACGGAACACACCACTTCCCACGCAACCCCAACTTCAGCAAGCCCTTCGGGCCCTCCATCGTCGCGCGCGCCCTGTCGCCGAACGTGATGAAGGCACCCCGCGGCAGGTGGTACAACTGTGCGCTCGTGTCGGGCCCGGCGAAGCCGCCAAGGTCCTCCGCGTCGGCGCCCTCGACGGCTTTGTTGCTTTCTGTGTCCTTTTCGCTATCATCGGCCTCGCTGGAGCCCGACGCCGAGTAGTACTCGGTCCGGCACGAGCTCGTCGACGTCCGTCCCGTCTTCCGACGCCGAGGGTTGGGGTTGGGGTTAGCTTGGGGTTAGGGTTAGGGTCGTTGATGGTCGTCTCGCAGTCGCAGGTCAACGGGACGCTGGCAGCGTCCAGGAGGCGTCGCCGTCGTGCTGAATCCGGTGCTGCGAGCCCGGATTGGCGGCCAGGTTGGCAGTGCGAAGTACAGAGTGTTGGCTGTGGACTCGTGGCCCGCGACGATGTTGACGAAGGCGTTGCCCATGCTGTCCGAGTCGGCCAGCGTGGCCGACTGCGGATCCTTCTTCTGCTTGTGTGATTCCACTGGGTTGTCACCGTAGCTTCTACGGACGAATGAGCCCATGGTGTCCATGACTTCTTTGTTGATGTGGCCCTTGCGCGCGTTCTCGATCTTCTCCTGGGCGTCTTCACAATCGGGACTCCGGTGTGGGGCCTGAGGTGCCGCACCGCACACCCGCTACAACGGCTCCGGGTCCGCGGCTTCAATGTTCGTGATTTGAGCAACTCAATTAACCTATCTTAGGTACCTGGTATCTGGTAGGTCTTAGATAGGTAAAGCCCAGTGATTATAAGCAATGAACCAAGTTTTGCCAGTCCTGTCACAATGCTGCCGTTTCACCCGTCACTCTGGGCCCAATGCCGTCAATGGTGTCAGTAACTTTTCAGGTAGTCAAACTGAAGCTTCATGGCATGTCCGCCGGTACCACGTATGACCGAGCATTGGAGCCGCATGAGTGTTTCGCGAGACTCGTGACTGCCTCGCATTACCTGCTGTAGGCGGTAACGGCGGCTACTTCCGAAGATGGTGGGCCATGGATGCGCACGAGGACATCCCCGCCGATCCAACGTCGCATTCCCGATTCCAAGCGAGTCAGCTGCGGCGTCTGTCTTTCTCAACTTCAACTTCCCATACCTCACATCGCGAACACAATCCTGCCGTATTTCGAGCGGGAAAGGCAAGCAATGTCTTTCTTTTCAAACATCAAGCGATTCCACCACAACAATGTCGCCACGCTGCGCAGCTCACCGCTGGCCGAGATCTCGGGCGCGCTCGGCGATCTCGGGACCCTGCTGCCGCTGATGATCACGCTCGCCGTCAACGGCTCCATCTCGCTGTCGACGACACTGGTGTTTTCCGGCTTCTTCAACCTCGTCACGGGTGTGGTATTCGGCATTCCGCTGCCTGTGCAACCTATGAAGGTACTTACTCGTCCACCTTCTTACATGAAGAGGGCCCGGGGCCGCACGGGAAGATATGCAGAGTGACTGACAACAACGCCAGGCCATCGCAGCAGCAGCCATCGCCTCACGTGCCTCGGAGCGAGAGACTATGGCCGCTGGTAGCGTGACCTCTGTCATCGTGCTCGTGCTCAGCATAACGGGGCTACTACACTGGGTGACGCGAGTAATCCCAATCCCAGTAATAAAGGGAATCCAGTTCGGCGCCGGCCTATCCCTCATCATCTCCGCGGGCACATCGCTGCTACAGCCGCTGACGCACTCCTGGAGCGTCCCGCTCGACAACCTGGGCTGGTCGCTTGGGGCTTTCCTGCTGCTCATCCTGACTCAGAAAGCCGCGCGCTTCCCCTACGCACTCATCGTCTTTGTGGTCGGGTTGATTCTGGCTTTCGTGTTCGTGGCTACGAGTGACGGTCCTCAGATGCCCTACTTTCGCGTCTGGCAACCCTTTGTTCGCCTTCCCTGGTGGAGCGCCGACGCCGTCGGCATGGGCATTGCGCAGCTCCCGCTCACGACGCTGAACTCGGTCATCGCCGCGGGTGCGCTGGCATCAGATCTGCTGCCGGATATTCCCGCGCCGAGCGTCACGGCTCTTGGGCTAAGCGTCGCTGTTATGAACCTGTTTGGCTGCTGGTTCGGGGCCATGCCCGTGTGTCATGGAGCCGGCGGGCTGGCGGCGCAGTATCGGTTTGGAGCCCGGAGCGGGGCTAGTATCATCATGCTGGGCTTGTTCAAGGTTGTTCTTGGCATTGTCTTCGGCGAAACACTACTAGACCTGCTCCGGGGATTCCCGAAGAGCCTGCTGGGTATAATGGTCATAGCCGCTGGCTTGGAACTGGCAAAGGTGGGACAGAGCCTCAATAACGGCGCCTCGGACCTGTGGGAGTCCTCGGTCGAGCATAGCAAGCGTCATCGGGATGTCTCGGACGGGGAGAGATCGGAGCGCTGGACCGTCATGCTTATGACGACCGCGGGGATCTTGGCTTTCAAGAATGATGCTGTGGGCTTTGTGGCCGGCATGCTATGTCATTACACGTACAAGCTGGTCGAGTGGGCTGAGAACAGAAGGCGTGGTGGGCGTGGACTAGGGGATAGGGAGCCGTTGTTGCGTTAGAATGTGAGCAAGTATAAAAGCCTATTGGGAGCCATCTTTCATTCTCATATCTCGGGTTCCCTTCATATTTCCTTCATTTGACCCTGTCTCGGTTCCAGCGTGTCCAGTACGGTCGAATAGACAATATGGGAGTATTGCAGATGTGTGATGGACCCTCTACTACATGGCTCAACGGAGGTTGCTCAGATGCAGCTGTCCTCTTAGCTCTCAAGCTGACAAGCTGCAATTCGCGTTGATTTGGAAAGGCGAGGACATAACTCGAGGACCAACCTGTCGCCCTTTCTCTGGACTTGTAGGTCCATCATAGCCAGCTGGACCTCTCTCTTTCTTCGTCCATATGCGTAGCGATTTTTGCGGCGATCACAAGCGCTGACCCACGGGCACCGAATATTTGCTCACAGTAGTCCTGCGCGAGTAATTCACTCAGCCACTAGTTCAGTCAGAACGGGAAGATCAGTTCGGTCTCCAAGTGGCGTCCGCGGCCGAAACTCAACTGTTTAGGTACCATCTCGGGCTGTTGTAGAGATGGAGATTACTCACATGTACCTCCGTACAGTAAGGTACCAGGTACACTGAGTCCTCGTAACTTGAAGTCTCTGTACGCTCATGTTGAGTAGATTCCAGATTCCCGATCAGAAATTTCAAAATTTCGGAATAAGCATAGCGTAATAAGTAGCTCTGGTTCGATATGTTACTTTCAATATTCTAATTCGATAATCTAGCGTTGACCAACTTGACAAGAGGATATCGGCATCCGCACATATCTACTCATAGAAGGCACGTCCCAATGGGCACTAGGGTAAGGAAGGGACCGAGGACCCAAGGACCCAATGTTCTAGAACTCGCTGGCCACTTGGATATTTCCGTCTACGACAGCTTAACACATCGGCTCGAATACATCGAGGTCTACCAAACGCAGCATTAGATTCGTCTTGTTTCATTCACATCTTTAGTCATTCCTTCTGCGGTCAGGCTCGACGGAAGATACCTCAGCCTATGGTATTGCAAGCCTCGACCCCCGATACCCAGCTAACCTTCAGATCGGACGTCAACATCACAGCATCCCACGAAGTCAACATGGACCGGACAGGCAAGGAACCTAGCCCGCACGGGAGCACCCCGACAACAAAATCTTCCGCCTCAGACGGCATGGGAAACCAAGAAAACCTCCCCATGCACACGAGCCGACCGCTGTCCTGTTGGCGCTTTTTGCCTCTCTACACGTTCCTGTACAGCATCGAGCTGACAGCATACGCCTACATCGTCGGGGCCCCGTACATCCTTTATGCTCTCATACGGAACTTGTGGGTTCTATTTACGACAATGGCGACAGAAGGACTGGGACTGGGTCTTGTCGCGATACCCATTCTGCTGGCCGTGGCTGCAGGGTGGTTTGTGATGCTCGCAACTTGCGCCTTCGCGTTCGTAAACCACGGCATGATACGTTTGAACCAGGTAGCGGCGCGCATGCCTCACAGACAAGGGCGACACTCCTCCCTGGTACGCGCACTCGCCCCTGGAGTTGGAGAGCCTGGAGCCTTCTGGCCGTTCTTCCCATGCTGCGAGACCTCGAATTTCGGAGTCTGAGTCCGGCGCCCAGTCTTGAGGGTATGGCGGAGAAAGGACTCATCCGCACCCCGAACCAGAATGCCACCGCTACCGACCCTGAGCCTCAATACTACGACCTAGCTAGGACCGACGGGTCAGAGAAGCACGCCGGCAGCGAGCGTACTGAGTTGTCGCCGTGCCGGTTGCGACGAAAAGTCAAAGCGTGGGAAGGAAAGGTGATATCAGCTGTGGAACGGTGTGCCACATGGAAGTTCGAGGAGGTATGTGATGGATTATGCCCAGAGGATTATCATGAAGGAATCCATAGAGGGAGGATACGGCCTAGGCTCCCTGAATTCCCTTGGCCATCGCTACCACGCTGGTCGGGAATGGGCGGTTGACCTCGATGGTATGGCTTTGACACAACAAACCAGAAGGTATATATATGCATACCAACAGCGTTTGAATTTCAGACAGGTACTTGGTGCCTGTCGGTCTCCAGACGGTTGACGTCTTCATACACAATCGCAGCGCTGTATTGGGCTGTCATGGGGGTATACTGGGAGACGGACCAAATTGAGCGTTCAGGCAGCAATAACAAGACAGTATTGACTACCCATTAGAGTCACCCCCATAAGTCCCCGTCCGACATCCCTCTTTCAAGTCGAGTATACCAATGTTGTGTTCATATTAATTCAGTAAACATCCCGGAATAAACAGCCTTCATCCAAAAAGCTATCTGTGACGACGGCTCCAGAGTGCTTATTCCACTGTAATGAATGCACGCCACCTTGATGTGAGAGATAATGTCAGGTAGGTCGACAGTCTAAACTATCGAATTGAATCTGAGGCATTACCATGTGATCAAAAAGAATCGACAGCTTGGATGCCCGTCAGCATTGCAGTACGCTCGTATAAGGATATTGCAGACTGCTTGCTTGGTGCGAGTGTACCAACTTACATGTAGGTAGACACCTGCAGCTGACCATGTCACAGAGTCGCGAAGTCACAAAGTCGCGAAGTCACAAAGTCGAGTAGATGTGCTGTGAACCTGTATACCTGTATACACGAGGTACTGACCCATCTGTCCCACGTGTTGAATGATTCCGTTCTGGGGGACTTGTCTGGCTGCAAGGTAAAGTTCTGCGGATGAGTGAATAAGGTACGGTAGGTATCGAATAGGGGAGAGGGGCTCAGGCATCTAAGCGGTCTTGGCGCCGACGATAAAGTTTTAGTGGCGTTTTGGGCGAGCGCCGCGCGCTGCCATTTGCTAAAAAATTTAGTCGCTGCGGGCGGAGGTGGAAGTCAGTCTTCAGAAGCTGCCTGGGGACCGCTGGAGGCCAAGCACCCAAGGCTGGCATTGGGCAAGGTGCGGTCACAATCCCATCTTTCTTCCCGGCCTTTTAACGCATCCCAGGTTTGCCAGGTCTGGGGGCTCCATCCATGCATCGCAGCCGCAGCCATCCATTCGGCCACTCGACACCCTCACCTCCCTCACCACCCTCACCTCTGTCGTCGGTTCCCTATCCCGGCACGCCGCAGACGAAGGAGCTGTCACTCAACCGACCAGCGATGACTTCGTCCAACGCTGCCGCGCCCGACCTTGGTGGCAGTCGCAGTCGCAGTCGCAGTCGCAGTCACAGTCACAGTCACAGCCGTAGCATGCCATCACCACTGCTGCCAGCTACTACCGGAACTCTTCCGCCGCCTGCTCCCGCTACCGCTGCCACTGCCGCCACCGCTGCCGCCACCGACCCCGATGGTACTTTTGCCCACGCCAGTGCCCATGCGAATGCGAATGCGCCGATGCCAGGTCTACACCCAGACATAGACACTGAGAAGAATGCGAGCGCTCTACCCCAACCTCAGCCTAACCACTACGACCACCAGAGCCAGCCTCCAGCCCACGGCGCTCTCAATGACTATCACGACATGCCCTCGCCTCCGACCGTTTCTCCTCTGTCCACCCCGGCCGCAACACACTTCAATGTCGATGACATGCCCGCCGACGACGATATCCCCGACGCGCCCACCCAGTTAGCCGCCACTGTCTACGCTGCTCTCTCGCAACCTTACTCCCAGAGTCCTCGAGCAGCCACAGCGCTGACGGACGCATATAGCATGGATTTTCACTCTGCTCCCGCTGGCATGTCCACTATGCATCTGGGCGAGCCGTTCATGCCCGAACAAGTCAACTATCGGTTGCGCGATCAGGTTCAAGCCATTGCGACAACCGACCCCAATCCCAGCAGCATGGAGTACGCGTCCCGCAATAGCCTCGCCAATGCCTACATGATGAATCTGGCTGCTCAGGCTACCATATTCCACTCCCAGGGGCCCTCGATCGTTGCTCCCTCCGATGTCTCGTTGACCTCGTTCACTCAAGGTAGCGACGCTCTGACTGCAAGCGCTGACCCAACCTCTGCCAGCGCTAGCCAGAAGCTGGAATCGTTCGCGCGCATAGAGTTCGCCGACAGTGTTTTTCAGATGACTACATATGCTGTCATACTCGGTCGCGACCAAAGGGCCATGCAACAAGCGAGAATCGATGAGAAGCGGGATGCCGCCTACAGACGGAGATGCGAGGAGAATGAGAAGATCGGGCTACCGCCACCTACCCCCCTCAACTTGGACCGAAGCAAGTTTAGTAAATCCTACGTCAGTGAGGAAGGAGGTATGCTTGGGCCTGCGTGCTCTGATGGAGAAGATGATGCTCGACCACCCCGGAAGCGTCGCCCTAGCTCGGCGAAGCAATCCTCCAATGGTGATGGCGATTCTCAGGGTGAGCATGTCAAGTCAAATCGGCAGTACGTCTCTCATACACAGGGAGCTGCCGCTGTCGACCTTGGAAATCTACAGCCGTCAACGATTCACACCGCCTTCGTTCCTATACATTCCCCGGGCCCCGATATTGCAAGCAGAACTCGTGGTATATCTAGGCTGCACCTCAAAATTCAATTCGACAAGGAACGGGGTGTTTTTGAAGGTGTTGCATTGCACAAGAATGGTTTTTTCTGCGAAGACGCACATTATCGGCTAGATGAGCCTGTGACTCTGAGAAGCGGGGACCGGCTTCAGATCAAGGACGTCGAATTCAGATTCATAGTCAGCGGTGTCCAAACCGGAAAGACCGGTGGTGAGGAGGAAGAAGAAGTGTCCTCGAGCAAGCGGATGTCCGTCGGTGGCCAAGAGATGAGTCTCGACTTTGAGCACTCGGATCATGAAAAGTTCCAAGACACAAGTGAGGACTTGTCTGAGGTCGAAGATGTGCCAATCCCGGCTATGCAGTCGGATGAGGGCGAAGACAATAACGAAGTCGCTGATGAGTCTGATCCCGGGGAAGATCTCGAAGAACTCCCCGGAGAGGTACAACAGCCGGTCGACGTTGTTCCGACTACAGAGATGAAGACAGAGGTTTACCCAGAGATGCACAATGGGTTGCCAGAGATGCAGAACGGGTTGCCAGAGAGGCACAATGGTTTGCCCTCCGAGTTCGCTACACCCGAAATACCCAAGCGGCGTGGACCGGGACGTCCGCCTAAAGATGGCATCATGTCCAAGAGAAAGCGTCGTCTGCTCAAGAAGCAGGAGCAAGAGACCTCCAGGAAAACCCTGCCTCCGCAAGACCCGCAGAGCCAGGGCGAGGAGAAGATCAAGCGGCCGGTTGGTCGTCCTCGAAAGAATCCGCTACCTGAGGATGGAGAAAGACAGGAGAAGCGGAAATACAACAAACGCAAACGAGAAGATGGTGAAGAAGGATCCGATGGCGAGAAGCGAGCCAAAGAGAAGAAGGATAAAAAAGTACGGCCGAAGTCGCCCCCTCTAGAACTTCGGCAGGAGGACTTCACGGAGGAACAACTTCAGAAGCCCAGCAAGAATTACGGTGCGCTCATCGACGAGGCTCTCACCAACGGGCCTCCTGATGGTTTGACCTTGAAACAGATCTATAAAAGGATCATGGCCAAGTACCCATGGTTCTACTTCTTCTCGGGGACGAAGGGATGGGAAAGCAGTGTTCGGCACAATCTCATCGGGAACGAGGGCTTCAAAAAAGCTGAAGGCACAGGGCAATGGATTCGTGTTCCTGGAGTTGAACTTGATGCGGGCAAGAAGCGCAAGGCAAGCTCGCCGGACCGACCAGTCGGACTGCATGGAGCACCTCATCTTCATTCGCACCTGTCGCAGCCGCACTATTACCAGAATGGCTCATATGGGCCTAACAACGCCAATCTCCCCAACCTCCTCTCAGGTTTCATGGCCGATAACAGACAGCAGCAGGGAGGATACCCAAGTCCTGTTGCTCAAAGTGCCCAGTCCCTTGCGGTACCCGCACAGCCGGTAGCTCAGCAAGTGTACTCGGCACAAGCTCCAGCACCAGCGCAACTACCCCCAGGATATGGGGCATCAGCGCTCCCGCGGCCACCGAGTTTGGCACAACAAAGCACTTACAGCTCGCCGTACGCGAGACCGCCCCCGGCGCCTAATCCGCAGATCAAGTCGGAGGATGCTCCTGCATCCAATCCACCTGTCCTCCCGGCAGCACCAGCGCAACAGACCACGAGCCAGAATATGGCACAACAGCAACAACATCAGCAGTCGACACAAGCCGTATCAAATACATTGCCTCCACAGCAGTCCCTGCCAGAGATTGAAGCGGCCATCCATCAGTTCAGAACGAACACAGTCCTTGCGCTATCGAACAAAACGAGCGAAGCTACGCAGATTGTTGAATGCGCAATCCGCCGTGCCAGGGGTCTGCCCATACAGTATTCTGTGCCGCCCATTTGGCGAGACTTGGAGTTAAAACTCAGCCAGTTGGCACAGAACATGATCAAGGAGGTGCAGAGCAAAAAGAGGAGCGCCCCATCTGCTTCTCCAGCTCCAGTGGCAGCTGTTGCTGCCACGTCAACTCCTGGTCCAGGTCCAGGTGCTACTGTCGCTGCCACGTCAACTCCCGGTCCAGTTGTAAATGTTTCCGCAACATCAGCTCCCATGCCTGCTGAAACAGCGGCTGCAAGTTCAACTTCAAACCCAGCTGCTACAGCGGTTGCTGCCACTTCAACACCGACTCCAGCTGTTGCAAGTGCTGGTGCAAAATCGACTCCCACCCCAAGCCCTGCACCAGGAATCACGCTAGAAGCCGTCATTCAGCACCGGATCAAGAGCTTCAAGAATTCCATGATTGCTTCTCTCGGGCCAAGGACAGATAAGGCAGAAATCATCGTGGATTCAGCAATTAACCGTGCACAAGGTCTTCCTCACACTGGCACAATTCCGGGGTGGGAGGGAGCAGATAAACTGATATTCAACTCCATCACGGGGATCATGCGCGAGGCTCGCATAGCCCATGGTCAACCAGCACAGCAAGCTTCTCCAGCGCCCGCGACGCCTGCTCGACAAGGTCAGCCTCAGCAAACCGCGCAAAGCACGCAGTCTATGCGACCTACGCAGCCACCGCAACCTGCTTCCCGACAAGCCCCTTCTGCATCGCCGACCCCGGCTCAGCCACCAACACCCATGACAGTAACCGCGCGAGTTGGTGATGAGACACCCGCCACTGCTACTCGAGTGCCAGCAGCCCAGTCAGCTACGATGGCCACTTCGAAGCCGACGCCGCCCTCGATCCCTCGACCGGGTGTCTCGATTCAGCGCCCACAGTCGATGAGCATGACCCGTCCTGCGGCAAACCCAATTTTTCGCCCACCGATCGTCCGCAAGGACTCTGCACCGACTATGACTGCGCCCCCTGCCCCCCCTACGCCTTTGCACAACGTATCGAGCCCGGCTCCGCCCAGTGCAGGTGTGGTCGGCCAGATCTTTGCACCGACCATGACTGCGCCCCTTGGACCCCCTGCGCCTATACACAACGTATCGAGCCCTGCTCCGCCTAGCGCAGGTGTGGTCGATCAGATTATGGGCCAAAAGCGATCTTTTGCCGACACACATAGCACCAGCTATTACCACAGCCTATACGGCGGTAACGGCCATGGCAATGCGTCTATCGACCAGGCAGAGCGGACAGTGAAGCCAGAGACGCCAGTACCCAATGTATCAAGTCCAGCACCTCCCAGTGCAGGCGTGGTCGACCAGATAGCTGGTCAAAAGAGACCTTTGGATTTAGCATCTGCGAACGATCATGCCGAGCAGCCCGGAACTAAGAGGTTGGCTGTAGTTGCAGGGTTTGACCAGATGGGTGGACACAATCGGACATCGAATGTGGCCTCAAGTCACGACCATGTCGAGCAGCCCGAGGCTCAGAAGCTGCCCATTCCTCCGACATGATCGATATGCCACGAACACTGCCAAGTCGTCAGAGCACTGCCGACAGAACCGGCGTTGAGTGTACGATTGCGCAAATCAACGGAGTTACCACTTGCTATGCGTGGGACACGAAAGCATATCATTACGCGAACTTGATTCATGAGATTTTAGGACGACTTATCATCATATTTGGACTCTGGACGTACGCCCGTCCATATGGATTATCGTGTTGGCGTTCAAGGGCGCAGGGACAATCATTGCAGTCGAGTATGGATTACCATGATACCAATCCCCTACGGGGTGATTCGACGCCACAGCAGGGCGATCACGAATGGCAGCATCCAAAAGAATCATTAACAGACCAATGAAGACGGATAGCACGTCTGGAGGAAGCAAAAACTATACTTTGGAAGGATAGGCGGACCTTCTAGGGGCACCCGAAACAGAAGCCGGCGATTCGCCGTGCTACTATAGTGAGCTTTGCAAAAACAAGAAATAAATGCTACGTTTTGAGAATATGACTTGAATTATGCTATTTGTGGACGTGATGCTTCGGCTCTGTGACTAGAAACTCTCGCGGGCAGGGAAACAAAAGGTGGTAGATTCTTGTTAGCTGATCTACGTGTCGGTATCGCATGGGAGAAAGCTACCAGGACTACCTGCCTGGCTCCCAACCTTGTGTATTAACGTTTCTTCTTTCCATTTCGAAAGGCTCTCTGCTTTCCCAAGTAGGCACGCAGCGAGTCTGGCCTGGCTCTCCTTGGGCTGGCTTCGATGCAAGTCCTAGGTACTCGTGGTAGTCTAGCTACCGCGGTTGTTGTGTCGTTGGTTGGAGCTTCTTGGAGCAATGCACGAGCCTTCGTGGCGATGTCGTTCCCGATAGGTGCTACTATGTATGTAGTTGGGACGCTTCTTCGTCAAACTTGGAGAGAGGGCAGTGTCTCGGAGTCGCGTGCGCGCTGCTCATGGCCTTTACGGTGTGCTTATCTATGACTCCTGACTAATGCCTGCGGGCAAGGCATGTTTGCAGCCGCTGCAAAAGCGTGGGGAGGTAATGAATGGGCATGCGTTTCCCCTCCCTTTAAACTGGCCCTATTCGCTGACTCCCGTCTCCCAAATGTGTGCGGTGGTTATGTGCTTCTATGAGCTACGTGACCGAAGAGTAAGAGTCCGTCCTTGGCACCATCAGCCGAGACAGCCAGCCAGCCGTACCGCACTTGCTATTGTCCTACTCGCCTCGGTCTCATGTGTCTCAAAATTCCAAAGGGCAAGGCCCTTTGAAGTAGCCAGAAGCCGACAATAGGTTCTGGCCGCCGCTGTCTTTGTCGCCGTATTCGTGGTCATCCGGAGGTTACCTAAGAACCACCCAAGCCAATGCTGCAGCCACCCCGAATGATGTGAGCACTCGAGTGCTTGCTTGCAAATCTTTCGCGTTTTGCGCTCCGTAGTCACTGACACAATCGACCGGTTTTTAATCGGGCACCTAAGCCCAATAATTCGAGTGTGGAAGGGAAGGGAAAACTTGTCCACCACGAGGCTCGACGACCCGTCCTTGGCCTGGCGTGTGCGTCTTTCTCCCTGTTAAGTGCTCGCCTGCCTTGGGACTTTCGGTACAGAGAGGCCAACAGGATCGGGTTGATGCACACGAGACGAAACCAACCAGATAAAGGACTTTGGCGGCCAGGACAGGACAGGGCTGTAAATCCAGGTCGTGCAGGGATACCTATGAAAGAGGCAGACGACCGCATGTGCGGATCAGCGGTGGTTTGAAGCTCACTCTTCGCGCCGTAATGCCGTAATGCCGTAAACCTGAGACCAGAATGATGCAAACGATGGGTTCCACTACACAGGGGAGGGAAGAGGACGCAGACATCCTTTAGGCAGTGAAATTTATTTCCCAAAAACAAAACCAAAATTGCACAGACGCCATTTGAACCACAGACCTCCAGACAGTGTACTACAAAATTGCAAAAAGAACAGCCGGAAGAGATGGAGGGGTTAGTTCACTTTCGCCTTCCTACTGCCGGAAAACCAGTTGGTTTGTCCTGGCGACTAAATTGACCATCGTCTTACAGGAAACTTTGGTGGGAACGTCAGATGCTGATTTCCGCTGAGATCTAGATATATACCCTTCTCCATCCATCCCCTTGGGTTTCAATGTTCCTGGTTGGGCATGCTGCTGTATGCGCGCCGCGCTCTCGTTGCCCGTTGGTAGCGTTCTATGTTGACCTTTCCATCTCGACCTTTCCATCTCGACCTTCCATCTCGACCTTCTTCCATCTCGACCTTCTTCCACCTTGACCTTCTTCCATCATTGACCTTCTTCCAGCTGTGCTCCCCTCCTGTTCGAAGGTGTCAGGGATTGTAGGTAACAACGGGGCGCGATGTTCCCAATAGTTTCTTCGATGCCTTCCCATGATTTTAGCTATATGCTCTTCATCATCGAACCTACTTGATGATCAAGGTATTCTGTAGTCAAACCCAACTCAAGCGGTTAGATTGTATGCCTTATGTCCGCTTGAGGATTAGGCCATCAATATGAGCCTGTGAGTGTGATGCGGCAGAGCAAATGCTTGCGTCTGGGTCCTGGCAGGCTGGCAATGGCGAGTGGCCAGAGAGATGCCACTTGCAGGCTTTCTGTGCGCGAGCGAAACTCATCAAGGCACAGCGGGAAGTGGAAATTTGTACTCAGGACGATCATCACGTATGCCATATCTCAATCGTTGGCAATATGCGAGTCGTTTTCTTCTTTATCATTGGCATTTGGTAGTCATTGTACAACTGCGGTCACCAAAGTGCAGGGAAGCCAAAGCAGGTTCAGTGTCATCATCTTGCCTATGACATACATACTACACATACACTTTGTTGTGTCTCCGACCGCCAGACGAAACCGCTTCAGTCCAGCTCAGTGCGAGTAGCCGAGAACAGGTTGTGCCCTTGTGGCCTCGCGTCTGCCTAGCTACGACCTGCCTAGGCCGTAAGCAATCGGAAGGCATCGTCGTACGTCGTCATCTGTCTATGAAGCAAAAGAACATCGTCAAAGATATCCGTAATGGAGAATAGCACAACGTGTGGGGGGAAACGCCGTACGCCCTCTAACCCCTTGGTCGATCCATGTCCAGCCGTTGCTGATGCAGTCGTCGCAGGCAAGAAGAACATCCATCCCATCTTCCCAGGGACCTCTGCGTGGTAAAACGAATGCGAATGATACTGCCGAGCAAGCAAAGGAGAGTTGTGTTCCAGTAATCACTTCTTCTTTCCCTTGGACTTCGCCTTGGAACCGGACGCCGAATTCGTAGAAACAACGCTCGATGCTCGCGATGGAGTCGCCGACTTGGCTTTGCTGCCACCCTTCACGTTATCCAGGGCTTTGTTCTACACCAGTGTCAGCAAGTACACATGTGAACAAGGGGCAACATTGAGTAGGAGAATGAACATACCTTGACACCGTTCTTGGACTTCTTCTTGGCCGGGGCCATCCCGAGGATGCTATCCTCGTCGTTCTCCTCATCTTCCGGCTCTCTCTTCGACTTGCCATTAACACCGTTGGCGCCGGTCGGATGCACATCTTCAAACTCCTTCACAATAGTAGTGAGAAGGGTAGTGCAACGACGACTGATCTCTGTCGGTGTGCGGCTGAGGAAGAACCAGTCAAATCGGAATAGAGGGCTTTCACGTATCTCGTCGCAGATGCGCTCATGGATCCCCTCCGAGTCAATGCCATATCGGTCGAGGAGGACCAGAAGGAACCTGTCTTCCTCTTCGTTGTAGACCTTCTTGTTGGTAGTGGAGACGGAATAGTTGATCTTCATCTGCTGGAGCGGCACGCGGTATTGCTGCATCTTCTTGCGGAGCATCTTCCGTTGGTGTTCGGTTTTACCGCGGCGCTCTTCTCCAGCATCGATCACCCCGAGGTACTTGGGATACTCGGCAATCTCTGTGTATCGCTTCCAGAACACCTTGGCGTAATCCTTGATCTCGGACGGTGTCTTGTTGGCCACTTCTCTTGATATTCTCTCGTAGTCGTTGCGCCCGTACTTGGCAGAGCCATTGATGAATTGCTGGAAATCTCTTCGGTTCCAATCCCCGAAGCCCTGGAGTGATAGTTTCTGCTTCTCTTCCTGTTCCTCCTCATTGAGGGGGGTTGCATTGTCAATTTCCTCCTGGTCCAGGGCTTGCTCCGCTTCTCGTTCCGACAAGTTTTCATCCTCGCCTTCAGGTAGAGTGGCTTTGTAACCAATCTCCTTTCGATAGTATGAGGTCTCACGCTCTTGGAGCTCCTGGAGACGCGGAGGATAGAACTGGTAGTCGTGGGCAACAACTTGCTTAGGTGCTCGGGGCGCCTTTGGCTTGGCCTCTGCCTTGGTGGTGCCGTAGATGGCTTGTCTGTAGAACTTGTCGACCGAGTATGACTGCTCTTTGCGTTCACGTTTCGCAGGGTTGATCCAGTTGATTCCGATCTCCTTCTTCTTGCCGCCAAACTTCTCGCCGTTCCACTCGTAAGCAGATTCCGACGAAAACTTTTGCAGATCATCGATACCCAGTTGTTCGTACTTGGCGTTGAGTTGCTTCGTTCGGTTCTCGCCCTTGGCCAATATGGCGTCCATATCATCGTCATTGAACTCGGTGCCCTTTGCTGCCGCTCCAGTCGCAGCTTTAGTCTGGAAGACCTTCTCAGCTCCATGCTGGATCATGGTCAGAAGCTCATCTTTGGCGGCCGGTCCTTTGGCTCCCGGGTGAGCACGACCTTGTTGGATGACCAATTGATCGAGGCGCAGCTTCTGCGCCGCCCGCTCGAGGACTTTCTCCTCAATTGCGTTCTCGGTAACAAATCTGTACACAACCACTTGCTTCGTCTGTCCAATTCGATGGGCACGGTCCATAGCTTGAAGGTCAGCTTGGGGATTCCAATCGCTATCGTAGAGGACGACGATGTCGGCGCTGGTCAAGTTGATTCCGAGACCTCCGGCTCGAGTTGTGAGAAGGAAGATGAACTTGTCGGAGTCCTTCTTGTTGTACTCGTCGATCGCAGCAATACGATCTTCATGTGCAGTACCTCCATCAATACGACAGTACTTGTACTCGCGGAATACGCAGTAGTCCTCAAGGATGTCGAGAAGACGACTCATCTGTGAGAAAATGAGAACACGGCTGCCCTGCTTCTGCATTCTCTTCAGAAGTGTGTCCAGCAACGCCATCTTGCCTGAGTTGTACACAAGGTGCTCGTCCGTCGTGTAAGGAGGGCCAGGCTCAGCCCCTTCGAACAGATAGGGGTGGTTGCAACACTTCCGCAGCTGCATGACGATGTTGAGGAGACGAGTTTTCGATTCGCGCTTACCACCAGCACCGTTTACGGCGTCAATATCTTTTTCGAGGATCTTCTGATACCACTTGACCTGCATGTCTGACATGCCGATGTAAAGGTTGACTTCCTTCTTGGGTAACAGATTCTTCTCAACCTCGGCCTTTATGCGACGGAGGAGGAAGGGTCGTAGAACCCTGTGTAGCTGCTGCACGACCGTGTCCTGGTCCTGGCCTTGTCCCGAGAACCACTGGTCGAAAGCCTCGGAATCACCGAAAACATCTGGCAGCAGGAAGTTGAGCAGAGCCCACAGCTCGTGAAGGTTGTTTTGGAGCGGCGTTCCCGTGATCAGTAGTCGGTTTCGGGAGGTGAACACGCGGATGACTTGAGCGAGGGAGGATTCTTCGTTCTTGATCCGATGCGCCTCGTCAATTATGATGTATTCCCACGCAAACTTCTTCAAGTGCGACTTCTCCCTGAGAATCATCTCGTAACTGGTGATGCAGACGTCGAATTTCTCGTCGACAAGGCGTTCGTTGATCAAGGTATGGCGCTCCTCCTTGGCTCCCTGTAGAACCAGCACGTTGACTTCGGGTGTCCATCTCTCGAATTCTCGGCGCCAGTTGTCGAGGGTAGATTTTGGTACGATGACCAGATGAGGACCGGTGATATCCATTATATGCCGTAGGTAACCCAGAAAGGCAATTGTCTGTAGCGTTTTCCCTAGACCCATCTCGTCGGCAAGGATACCCGAGATACCATTCTCGTGTAGTGAGATCAGCCAGTTTAAACCAGCAACCTGATAGTCCCTCATCGTGCCATTGATGAATGCAGGCGATTCTCTGAATACGGTCTCGGCTGAGCCACCGTGTTTCTCGTCCTTGAGCAGCTCAGCATCTTCTTCGGCCTCAGTCCGGCGAGCACGGCCCGTAGCCGCACCGCCTTGACGAGCACCCTTCTTGGATTTTGCGGCGTCTTCATTTTGACGGTCGATCTCCTGAATGACTTCTCGGATTTTGGGATTCGGGTTCGTCTCGATGAAGTGGCGGAACAGGTCGGTCAGACCTAACAGGTAGCGAAATCTCCGAATACTATCATCCTCCTGTTGTCACATGTACATTAGCTGGTCGTTCCATGGAATAAGGTCATATACGTTTGATCTTGTCCCTCTTTGTCTCTCTTCTGTGTCCATCAATCGCTGGGGTTTAATACCTTCGATTCTCCCAACGTGTCGTGCTTCTTGCCAAATATGCTTCTGCGGAGTTGATTTGCTTCAGAGCGCTTCTTACGGCCATCGACAAAATGATCTCCTACAACACTGCTGGCGGTGGTATTGGGGTTCGTATCGGAGTCGGTGAAGTCAGGTGTCTCGTCCACTTCCTGTTCGTTCTTGTATCAGCTTGAGTTACCCACAGACGCGACATCTCAACCCTTGTGTCAAGCTGTGGCGCGCGCGAGAAAGAGTCATGGCTGCACTTACCACTTCGTCGGCAGGATTGGAGACTGGCTCTGGAGCATCTGACATGGACGCGTCTGTGTCGACTGCGCTGGCCCTGGGGCGAGGAGGTGCCATGATGGGTGGCTGCGCTGCAAGCACTCAACGCGACTTGGACGCGATCTGATATGGGATGCGTATAGCTCGAGTCCGACGGAAGCTGCACGATGTGGTTCTCTGATCAGAACCTGGCGTGCGGTTCTGAATGAAGACGAAAGGGTTGGCGAAGACGTGGAGTGAATGAATGTAAGGGATAGGCGCGCCTGGGTTGTGGTGAATGTGACGGAGGGCAGGAGGGAGTTGGTCGAAAAGATTGGAGTGGGCAGCAGAATACCTTGCCTTAGGTACTTGCCTTACATAAGGCTATCGAGTTCGCAACGTGCAGCGGTGGGATGTGCTACTATGGGGATATGAGCTAGGATGAAAACGTATTAGCCTCCGAGCGCCACTTCCACACGATCTCAGCCACAGAAAGTCATATGCATCTGCCCCGGTTTGTGTGTGCAATTGGGCCGAAGAGGACCCCGCAGCAGCGTGCACTCCGGCAGCCGCAGCCGCAGATGATGCTTGGCAACTGAATGGTCTGTGCTTTTAGATCCGTTTCCGTTTTCCGGCGAACCAACGAACCAACCCCGACCCGACTCCTCACTCCTCCAGAGGCTCATGTGGCATGTGGGTACTGAACCAAGAAACCTAACCATGACCAAGCCCAAATCATCATGTCACATCATCACCTCGCTCTGACGCTGACAACAACTACGACAACAACAAACTGCTTTTGTTCTTTGTGTGCTCCTGCAATTGTTTCAGAGTCAAACCACTGCCGTCTGCTGTGCTGCGCCTACTCTTCATTATCTTCGCGGTCCTTTGACGCCCATTACCACTTCCCCAAGTCCGCCGATACGACGATCCCGCAGTCCCGTTGCTAGATCTCCATTCGTTGTCGACTCCGGCCCACACCCGACAAGCCCGCAACGGCCCCCCACCAACAAACCCAACGAACCTGCGAGAAAGAGAAAAAGAGGACAATTTCGTCATTCGAGAGGGCCCAATCCACACAACACCAACGTACACATACTGTTGCCCACAAAGAGCACTTCCCCGTCCGCTTGATCGCTCGTCGCCACACCACCTACACAATCAGCTGGCGAAGATGGATGCGATGAGAGGTTCCTCACCCCCGAAGAACCTTGTCAGCTCCGACTCCCCCGAGCAGTTGCTCGATGCATTCAAAGCTGCGGCATTATCCGTGACAAAGCTCTACAAGACCTCAGCTGCCGCCCAGGCCAAGTCGAGATCCGATGGCTACCAAGATTGCCTGGATGATCTCCTTGCCTTCCTCGACAGGCGGCACTTCGGCCTGAGCGACGGAGAGGGATGGCAGATTAGACGATGGGCCACCGAGCGCCTAGATGGCAGAGACTCGGTCTCACAGATTATGGAGAGCGAGGACGAGACCGACAAGGCCGAAGCAGGATCGTCGCCCGAACTTCACCGCCCGGGTGGTGCTAATCACACGCCCGCCATGCGAACCGAACCGCCGCCTGCTGCCCAGACACCCGCTGTCTCGCCCATTGTCGAAGAACCGCCTACTATCACCGTTCCGACTCAGGATAATTTCACTTTCCAATCCTCACATCCGTATCCCCAAGACTCGTACCTCAATCTGGCAAACCTCGACCTGTCTGACCCGATAAGATCGAACGACAATACGACGCAAGCCCCTTCGGCGGTCTCGGTTCCTCACCCGACTCGGCCGCGTAGTACCAAGCGAGGACACAGGTCACGGAACACGACTACGAATCACCTTGGCAAAGGCGCTGGTCAGAAGCGATCGATCAATTTCGCCGAGCTGTTTGACGTGGGAGGGGTAGGTAAGGACATGTTCGCAAGGGAAGGAAAGAGAAGTCGTCACACGTAACGACGTGCAGATGGAAATATACACCGCATCTTTCGGCGTAGGGGTCTGGATCTATGGGTTCGCTTCTGTAGCACAAATGGGTTTAGACGGACGACGAGTACGTCGTCCAGGTGCATTGTTCGGGGTTCTTGGCATGGGGCATCGACATGGCGGCCTTGTGCAATATTCGAGGCGTTTAGAGGAGCACAACAACAACAGCGACACCGGCTGGCCCTGATTTCGCCTGGTTTGCTCTTATACAAAACGAATATTACGAGTTGATGGATTCCAGAGCCGTACGTGCTAGCTAGTTTAGTATCTATTAGTAGCGAGTTTTCCCTACGGGAATGGAGAGGTTACCAAATGAAGCTACAGTCCTGTGTAGATAGAGTACTTACCGTCGTCAACAACTGCTCGCTTTCACAGCCAAATCACCAGTGCCCCAGTACGTTTCCTAGCCAGTTGTTGTTTGCGCGCAGTGTATTCGAGGAACTGATGCCAACTTCCCAATTAACTTCCGAGCACGCTGATGGATTCTACATGAATGCCTATACGGCTGACCTCCTGAACCACCCACATATTATATTAATTCGTGGAGGGTCCAGTTGGTCATATAGACAGCTACGTTAGATAATTGCTCCAGGAAGAAACGGCAGATGTTGCTTTCTGGAACAACATACTACTTATATTTGCCACATGCGCAGATATGACAATTCATGTGTAGATCAGAACTGCTGCAAGCCTCCGCCAGAATTTCATCTGGGTTTACCCTGTTGACTCACAGTTCATCAGTCTCTTAGGTCTGGAGAGTGACGGTATGCTCCTACTTGAGAATCCCGGGATATCGTCTCTCATCTCGTGTCATTTCAGTACGCACGAGGGTTCAAGCCACCCCAACTGTGTTCGACTTACCAATGCTTGGAACCAAGGTTCAACGTCGAGAACCCTGTATGAAACTCGGGATCCGCCAACCTGTGCAGCATTGCCGCGGGCGGGACTAACATGATAATATAGAGAGGCGTCGCATCATATCGTGAATGTACAGCAGAGCAGGAGTTCGGTCAGGGGTAGCGACGCATCATATCATGAATGTGAATCCTACCTACCTACCAAGATCTATCATACGATCATGACATCGCTCAAAGCTCGTGATCCCATCCTTCGTACATGACCGTTCTTGGCATATATGAATTCTGTCCATTGTAGTTATAATGCAGGTACTTAAGCTATTAACCCATCCCATCCCACCCGTCCGTGCGCCGCAGACTTGCCACCGCCTGGAATATTTCCGCCCATATCAACCATCCGCCAGTATGCATACCTGATAGCTTTGATATCTCTGACTCCCATATTCCGAACCCAAGAGACGGGTATTCCAAATAAAAGAACTCCTAATACACAACATCTACCCGCGCATCTATTGCCAGACGCATCATCATGTCCCATATCCCAGACACAAAAACTCTAATCCTCAACAACAAGCTTCGCCTCCAACCACTTCGCAAACCTAACAACCGGCGCATCAACAGCGCGCCAAAACACATCCGCCACCCACACAATCAGCGGAATATTAACCAGGCCCGCAAGCACGAACCCTCTCTCATAAGCCCCGTCCTCAGTGCCCGTGACGCCCCAAGCCCAGCGCTCAACTCTATAACCCACCGTATGCAGCACGGGTCCATGCAGCAAGTAAACAGCATAACTAATACGACCGAAATACTGCACGAGCGGCGTAGTGAAGACGCGCTGCCAGCCCGGCGACCGCGCCGCGCAGAACACGAATAGCACCGCGCCCCAGATCTGCCAGAACCGGTACCGCTCGGCGAACCAGTCCGGGATCAGGGAGGCTAGGTACCGCCACCCGGGCACGTCGCCGTCGGGCCCGGCGTCGGGGCATGACATTAGGTACAGAGCCGGGACGGACACGAGCGTCCAGACCAAGTCGGACGAGCAGGCGCGCTTCAGCGCCGCGGAGGCCTTCGCCTCGTCGAGGGGCAGCAGGAACGTCGGGGAGGTGGGCCGCGAGGGCGAGCGCGAAGGCTCGTGGGCGCCACGAATCAAGTCGAGCTCCGCGATGGCCATCCCGGCCAGGAAGAGCAGGACCTCCCAGTGGCCCAGCCGGAACGAGAACCACGACAGCAGCACCAAACAAACCATGCGCGGCGGGGCGCGCTGCCGCGCCGTTGCCAGCTGCGTCAGGAACAGAAACAGGGAGCACCGGAACTCGAGGGGGATAGTCCAAAGATGCACGTCGTAGCCGGTCGAGCCGCCGAACTGCTCCCAGCCGAAGACGTGCACGAAGTCGAACATCTGCCAGGCCCAGTGGCGGAACTGCTCTCTACCGGACGGCAGCAGCGGCGGGTGCGTCTCACGGACATTTCGAAAATAGACTGGGTCATCCACGAACCCGCGCACGCCCTCCAGCGCGCCCAATCTTAACAACACAACCACAGCCAGCGTGGTGGCCATGGGCGGCAGGAACAAACGAAAAGCGCGGCGGAACGCGAACGACGACAGCGTGCGCAAGAGGCCATCATATGAGCGCGCGCGCGCCTGCTTCAGCGGCTCTAGGGATAAAGCGTAGCCCGAGACGACGAAGAAGACGCACACCATCGAGGGCCCGGAGTACAGGAGCCGCACGAAGGGCAGGCGCAGCAGCTCGCGGTTGGCGCCGTCGACGCCCCAGCCCGTGGCGATGACGAACGACGTGTATGCGTAATGGCAGAAGACGACGAAGAGGGCGGCTAGGCCGCGCATGCCGTCGAGGTAGGCTGTTGGGTGTTGCTTGGGGGTGGTGCTCGCGTTCCTGTTCCAGCTTACGTCCTTGTCTTTCTCCGTGGTGATGGTGGTGATGCCGCCATCCCCGAGCCTGGCGGGTTCTCCTCCCAGGAACGGTAGCCGGTGCTGGTGGTGGTGTAGGAAGCTGGGAAGCAGGAAGACGGCCGTCCGTCGTAACATACGGCTCCAAGACGGAATCCGCAGGCTTTTCGAAAACGGATTCGCTGTGGTCGAGGACCACGCTGTGGTCTCGGAGAAGCGGTCGTCGGAATCCCTGCTTCGTCCGCTTTCGCTCTCGATGTCTGACGGCTGCCGTTCGCCTAGGTATGCCATCTTCTCCTTCTCCGACTCTTGCGAGAGCATCGACCTCTCGGCCGCGTTTCCGTTCATGACTGTCATGAAATGTTGCTGGGAATCTCGGGGGACACGATGAGGGCGAAATTGGTGGCGGTAGGGGTAGTAATGCTGCTGCTGCTGCTGCTGTGTGTCGTTATGGTAGGTTTCACCCCGGGCTTCCATTATCCTGGGGTTTTGGCTAAGCATGACGGTAGGCAGTCCACTGGGTGGATTGCTGGTTTCGAAATATCAAGGGTCTGGTCTACAGGAGCTGCTCTCTGTTTCGTTTGATCCTTGAAGCACCACGGCAGCGAAGAAAAACAGCATATGGCGTATCACGCCGCGTGGATACAAAAAAAAGGTAAGCCAGTGTCATGAGCAGATCAGCTGTGAACACGCTCGGGGCTGGCTGCCACCTATGTCATCGGCGGGGAAGAGCTATGGCTGTCTTGCACGAAAGATGCCGTCTCAGAATACTGGGCCCGGCGCAGCTGAGACGAGAAACTGACGAGCATGGCAGTATACGGTAGGCGGGGCTGATGATCATTATAGAACGACGACTTCGAATAGGTAGTGAGGTAAAGCGAGTACCAACTCTAGCTCCGCGGCTCTGGACTCCATAGCCTCGGGTATGTAGATGTCGTAGGCGGCAGCACGCCTGCAGTTGGTGCTTGTATAGCCGAGGGAATAGGTGAGAGCCTCTCGTGCCTCTACCGTACATCGCTAGCCGCGGTAATACCATAGACATGGTGGGTAGAAATACTGCCTCATTATCACATTCCTGTGAGCTTCCTTCAATGGGCTCCTTTTAGTATAGCCAAAGGATAGACCTATTAGGTTAGATGTGTACCTATTAATGAGTTAGCTTGTAACCCAAAACGTACCCGAATCAACCTAAGACCAACCAGCAACTGTGAACAACTCCACCATCATCATCTTATCACAAGCTCTCCTCTTTTTCAACGCCTTAGCTGTCTCGTAGCTAACAACCAACCGCTTCGATACCACCAACCACCGGAAGGCGGAAGGGTAGGTAGGCAGGCGTCTGCGAAATGCGCTCTGGATCTTTACTAAGGTTAGGCGAGGGATGGCGTAATGAAGATCCGGCCTTCAGCGCGCAATAACTAAATCCTTCCATCCTTCAGTTCAGGCGTAAGTTGACGAAGAAGGACGAATCCTACAGATGGACGCCGTTCAGCTTACCCAATCGTTGATCATGCGTATTTTTAGCAGCCTGGAAGGAATGCGGATGTCCATGTCCTTGTGAGATGGACATGAGTTGAGGAAGGCCAGTGAGGAAGGCCAGTTTGCAACAGTAAGGTAGGTAATCCTACCAGCATCACCACTTTATATCTCACATCTTGGACGGGTAAGAAGCTGATACTTATTACTACCAGGACCCCGACGGTCACGGTTCACCGAGTAAGCACATGCAATCACCCATAATTTCTTCAACTTCCCATGTTCATATTATCATTAAAGAAGACCGACAGCAGACCTCTCTATTGCAAGGTATCTATCCCTCACCAAGCTGCAATCCACAACCCGCAGTCCCCTAATAAGGAGCCGCAGCGTCGCTGATGCCACTATAATGATTAATCCAGTTAAAGATCTCCGTATGCCACACCATACTATTCTCCGCGTTCAAAACCCAATGGTTCTCATCCGGAAAGCTCAACAAACGACTAGGCACGCCGTGGGTCTGCAGCAGGTTGAACAGCAGGATGCCCTCGCTGATGGGCAGGCGGAAGTCCTTCTCGTTGTGCACGACGAAGTGCGGCGTCGCCCACTCGTCCACGAACAGCAGCGGGTTCCAGTCGTAGTACGGCGAACCCGGGGCGAGACCCGTGTGGTTGAAGGGACCCCGGAAGTCGTGGTTCATGAACCATAGCTCCTCGCTCGCGTACTGGTCTAGCGTCGACGTGCTTCCGTCGTGTGTCACCAGCGCTTTAAACCACCGGCCCATTTCGTGGCCTTGGATCCTGTTGCGCGGGTTAGCATCCATCTGTCGTCTAAGAAGGAACATCGCCGGGTGAGGCCCGGGAGGGTGTTTTGAACGACTTACCAGTTGGTCATGTACCCGCCATACGACGCACCGGCCTCAATGCCGTTCGCCGTGTCGACGTACGGCAGCGTGCTGTTGACGTACTGCCACGCGTGCACCAGGTCCCAGTACGGGTAGCTGCCCCAGCGCCCGGCGATGGAGTCGGTCAGGTTCTGGCCCCAGCCGGAGCTGGCGGTCGGGTTGGGCGCGATGACGACGTAGCCCTGGTCGGCCCAGACCTTGAAGTTCCAGCGCGTGCTCCACGAGTTGAAGTGCGCGCCCTGCGGCCCGCCGTGCGAGATGAAGGCCAGCGGGTACGCCTTGGTCTCGTCGAAGCCTTCGGGGTAGATGATCCACGACTGCAGCTCCTGCTCGGTCGAGTTGGTCGCGAAGTAGAACTCGGACACGTCGGCGGCGCTGAGGCCCGCGAGAGCCGGATCCACGAGGTTGGCCTGGAAGTAGGTCTTTGTGACCTCGCCCGAGGGCGTCACGGCGTAGATGTCGCGGCTGGTCCAGATCTTGGAGTCGGACACGAGCAGCGAGCCGTCGGGTAGGGCGTAGAAGCCCGCGGGAACCCCCTCGTCCGTGATGTTAGTCGGCACGTACGAGTCGCCGGCGGTGAGCGGGAGAGGGAAGATGCGCTCGCGGCCCAAGTCGGGAGCTGAGACGAAGATGGTCTCCGAGTCCGGAGCCCATGCCATGGAGTCAGGCGATCTGTCCCAGTTGAGTGCCAGAGCTGTGACATTGAAGTCATCCGCGTTGGGACTGGCAATGTACACAATATCACGGTCGGATTCGTATGCGATTCCGTTCATCTGGAAGTACGCAATGTGCTCTCCGCTGGGAGAGAACTTGGGGCTCGTGCAAGCACCCTGTGCCTCGGGGTAGGCAGTGCTGCCACGCGCATTGATGGGCACGACGTCATCTACGGTGCCGTCGAAGGGGACATAGTAGATGACGTCGGCAGTGTAGTTGGCCAGCGGGAGAGAGGTGTCCTTCGTCAGGAAGACAAGACTGCTGCCGTCGGGCGAGATGTCATAGTCGGTCTGGTCACTCTGATCGTACGGGCTTTCGGCGCAGGTGACGTTGCAGATACCAGTGACATAGTTGGTGAGTTCGCCGGACAGGACGTAAGTGCCGTTGCCCCCCTTGAGCACTCCGCCAAAGACGGCGTTCTTCTCGGGTGTCAACCAGGTATCCTGACATCCCTTGTTAGCTGCGTGCCGCGCATTTCACATTGGTGCAGTCTACATACCCAGTGGCGGACATAAGTCGAGTCGTAAATCCTAGCAGTGCTAGCAGGTACGGTCGCGAGAGCCTCGTTGTAGGCAGTGCCATTGGGGTACGCCTTGGTGTACATCAAGAAGTGGATGTCTCCCGACGCAGTCTGGGCGGCCTTGATACCGGAGTAGGGGGCCGGTAGGGAGGCGATTAGCTTCGCGCTCTCGACGGAGCTGGCATCGGCCGAGTACAGGCTGATGCCGCCGTCGCCCTCGGCGTTGGAGCCATTGACGTAGACGATGCTCGTGTCTGTCGGCCCAACAAAGACGACCTCTGAGATGTCGGGGCTGCCCCACTCGGTGATGTCCCCGGTGGCGAGGTCGAGCTTGTTCCACCACGCGGCGTGCTCCTTGGTCTCGAAGGAGTAGTTGGACACGGAGAACAGGGCGAATTCCTAGGTGGCAGTGTCAGCCGGGGTTGTCTAGCTCTTTGGAAGTCATACTCACACCAGAGGGGTTCGGCAGCGCGTCGCTATACCGGTTCGCCGCCAGCATTCCTTCGGGCGTGATGGCCCACACTCGGGGCAGGGCAGCCAAGGCCACCGCCGCCAAGGAGTGCGACTTCATATTGGCTCAGGCGTAGATGGATAGCTTGTCTACGGTTGATTGATTGACCTGAGGATGACGAGGAGGTAGACGTATGAGCACAGTCTACCGCGGTCTACGAAGGTGAGAGAGAAAGGGCAAGAGCGAGAGGCCGGCGGTACGATGGGCACCCCGAGGACTATAAATTGACTCGGAGAGGTACCATCGCCAAGACATCACTGATAAACATCCAAGTTACCTTAGGTATCAACCACCTGCATTGATTGACTCCAGAGCTGAGCGAGCTGATAGCCATCATAGCCTGCCTCAGGCCTACCTGCCTGCCCTGCTCGTCATGCCTGTCGCGGCCTGCAAATGGGAGCTCTCGCGGCGCGGGGCATGTCCAAGTTGGTCGATATCAGGCGAGAGAGAGGCAGGAGAGGTGGTATTGCGCCATGCGTCTGCAGGTTCCGCGAACCGCAGACCTGGGCTCGACCCGGCCATGACCTGGCCTGCCTGCCTGCCAAGGCCTTCCAAATAACAGATAGCTCTACGCCTTGATCTACGCAAGGGAGCTGTGCCGTGAGATGGCCTTGGCAATTCGAGCTTGCGGACGAAAGAGGCAGGTGAATATCGAGACAGTTATTAGGAAGTGGGCACTTCTTCCGCAAGTTGGCACTTCTTCCGCAAGTTCGTGGCGTCGGGTGGTTGCTAGAGTCAGGAGAAGGGCGGACGCCGGAAAACGCACAGGACTGATTCAGTAAAACATACCAATCAACCCGCTCCCGACTTCTTTTACTTGCCAGCCTGCCAGCCTGCCAGCCTGTCTTGCTTGTAAGGTTAGGTTTTGGCGTGGTTCTGGCTGTAGGTATGCTTGTTCGCGATGGGACGATCCGAAAGTGGCCGCTGACGTTGGACGCTAAGAGTGCCAAGCTGAGGGGTAGTATTGAAGTAATAAGGGGCTCTCGGGGAAGTGGCGGGGAGGCTGGTCGCCCTCCTCTTCCAAGTTCTTATTTCCCTCTTCCACGCAGCTGCTGTGCCACGGCGCAAATGAACTTCTCCTCACCGACGCATCATTCCCCCGATTCTAGAGCTGCTTCACTGGGACATGATTGGCGCTGATCCCGAGCCCGAGCACGCCTTGTTTTGCCAAGCCAGACCGTCAAGAGACCGTCTGGGTAGGCGGTCGTGAATCCGACGCCTTCTCTGGGGTATGCATGGGATGACCCATCACCGCAATGACTTTCCGTGGCCAGTTGCAGGGTCCTTATCTACGGCCTGGAGTGAAGAGAGACCGTCGATTGACAAGTTCATTGTTCTAGGAGAGAGTATCCCGGATGATCGTAGACTGTCGTGGGTCACTGAGATATTCATGAAAGCCACGTAATAATCCCAGCAGTCACCCGCTCCGGCTGGTCAATCATGACTAGATGTCCTGCCTCCGGAACAACGACAAAGTCCTGCAACTGCTGCGTAAGCATACCCGCCAGCGTCTCCATCTTATGGCGTGGAATCCACGCATCCTCTGCACCAGTCATGATCTTCACCGGGCATTGCAACTGCCCATAATAACTCGATTGCAACTTTCCATCAGTCCCTTGCTCAAGCATCTCAGCGACATCGCCATCATCAGCTTGCGCGATCTGCCTCACGAAGCTGCGTTGGGCGTCGGAGAAGACACCCACGGCGCCGCGAGCGCATCCTCCCAGCCTGGTGCGAGCTTGGCTGGGTTGTGGCAGGCACTGCGTACCACCGCCCGTACCATGGCTTCGAAGACGCCCAACGGCAGCTCGGTGAAGACCTTTGGCTGCGAGCATACGAGCTTATAAAACCCATCACCCCAGGGTAAGATGCAATTCGTATCGAGGAGCATCAGGCTGCGGTACCTGCAGCCGTGGAAGGCGTGGGCCCGGAAAGCGATCGTGCCAGCGATGTCGTGTGCAATCACGGCCGGCTGGCTTCCTGGCCCGCTCTTGCCGTCGAGCTGGAGGTGTCCGAGCAGGGCTGAGAGGACGACTGCTTGCGCCTTGACAGATGTGTCGCCTACAAAGCCGTTGCCGTCTGTTGGCTCAGATTGTGCGCCTTCTTCTCGGGTCTGGGACTCGCCATAGCCGGGCAGGTCGTACAAGAGGATCCGGCACCTGAACGTCGCTGTTAGAGCTTCGGCTATGGGTCGGAAGACGATTGAAGACCATGGTGTGCCGTGGACGAAGACTACTGTCTTTGCCGCGTTGTCCACGTCGCGGAGTTCGTACTTGACTCGCTAGCCGGAGTTAGAGAAACTGTTGGGTAGAGATGTCTGCATGGCTGCGATGTTGTGCTGAGAAGAATGTGAAGCTTCACCTGGTCTTTAATAATAGGAGCCTGTTCGGGAGGCCAGTTTCATGCTGAAGAAAGATCTCTAGATGTACCTACCGCCTAGACGCCAGACTTATTAGACGAAGGATCACTAGATGTAGAATTAAGGGCGTGATTATTAGCGTACAAGTTTACACCAGTCAGGTTAGTATGTAAAGGGGACGGCCTTATCGTCGTTTGATCATTTGGTCGATTGTCGATTGTACCACTCGTAGCAGCATAGGTACTGCACATTCGCAGGCGATGAGCTCATCGCCAGCGCGCCTAAAAGTATCCTGGATCATGATCGAAAAACGGCAGTCAAACACACGGCAACGTCGGCAAAGGTTCGATGGCCTCGATGGCACGATGAGTGACGGATCGGCCTTGAGCGCTTCAAAAGACCAGCTGCGAGCGTTGTATCTGTATACGTCCGGTGCTCAGCTTTTATGCCCTGCCCTTCTCGTCAACTCAGAGTCAACATTGAACATGCCACAATAAAGGTATCAACAAAAGAGGAAAACAGCAACGGGAAGAATTGTTGTGGATCACTGTGATATTCACGATGACCTTGACCTTTCATTGCCTCTTGAGCAGAGACACTAAATCGACAAGGCAACGCGAAGTATTACACCAACAACACAGCGCTCCTAATACGCCCTCTTCCCGTGCCGCGTCGGCTTCTCCGGGAAGTTATACTTCCTAGGCCCCAACATCCGCCTCGTCACCGATGTCGTCGCATTGCGCGTCGGGAAGTCCCCCCAGCCCCTCCCATACGTCGCGACCGCATGCGAAATGGCCTTGCTCGTGATCTCGAACGCGTCCGTCGCCAAATTCGTCACATTGTCGGCCGCCGAGTGATAATTCTGGTCGTACCACTCCCCCGCGACACCTCCAAACAGCTCGACCTCCTCCGCCGTCTTGGTGCCATCAGAGCCCGTGTCGAGCCCGCCGCACGGCACCCCGGCCTCCAGGAAGGGCCCGTAGTCGCTGCGGCCGCTGAACTCGGCGCCGACGAACGACAGGTCCTGCGATACGTAGTAGGCCTCGAACAGCGCCTCGGCCTGCGCCGACCCGGCCGGGCCGCTGACGTTGAAACTGCTGCCGTCGCCGTCGTAGATGCCCAGCACGTAATTCGGCGACGCAATCATGTCAAAATTAAGATAAAGCCGGATCTTGTCCATGACGGCCGCCGTCGCCGTCTCCGTGTAGTGGTACGCGCCCAGCAGCCCTTCCTCCTCGGCCGTCCACCACGCGAAGCGCACCTGGTTGCTCGTGCGCCAGCTCGCGAGCGCCTTGGCGATGGTCAGCAAGCCGCAGGACCCGGACCCGTTGTCGTTGATGCCGGGCCCGGCCGACACGGAGTCCGAGTGCGCGCCGAGGAAGAGCACGTTGTCGGCGTCGCCGTGCTTGGAGGACGCTACTACGTTGTAGCTGGTCGTGTTGGCTACGTAGGCCCAGAATTCTCCTGTGCTGGTGAGGGGCGTGCTGCCGGCTTCGTACGCCTCGAGGAGGCGGAGGCCGTCTGGTCGGGAGATGCCGCCTACGGGGATCTGGGAGGGCTTTTGTCAGACTTATTTGTTTGGCAGTAGGTACCTACCTGGCAATGATGCCTCTCTCCAGGGGGTCTTACCAAGTCATTCGCGCCGCCTAATGTGCCGCTCACGATACCAACGTCCTCGTTGTTATAGATGATAGCACCAACGGCGCCCTTAGCCCCGGCGAACTGGATCTTCTCGACGAAAGTGCAGTCACCCCTAGCAATAAGAGCAATGTTACCGGCGAGGGTGTCCGGGTGGTCGTCCTATTCACCCAGATCAGCTTCATACCGCTTACTAGACTGTCTACTCATGGCCCAGAGAAGCGCTTTCTTACAGCAGTGCAACCCAGGTTAGCGACGGGAACCAGCGGCACATCCGCCCAAGTCCCATTGTTCGAGAACTCAAAGTCGCCCGCCTCGAGGGTCTCGCCGTTGACGGCGAGCGTGGCCGCCGAGGCGATCGTGACCTCGGTCGTGAATGCCTGCTTCTCGATGTCGTAGTAGTCGCCGAGGGCGCTGAGCTCGTCGACGAAGTACTGGACGCTGTTGAGGTGGCCTTCGGTGCCGTGAAGCTATTCCAAGCAGTGGTCAGTCCGTGATTAGTTCATAATTCATGACTGACCGGGGAAAGACCAGATATATGCTGGGTGGTGGATGTTTGTTTGTGACATACTCGGTTTCTGTATGGTGTCGCGTAGGCGATGTCCTCCAGGCTCTGGGCGCAGGTCATCAAGTCCTCGAGTACGATGGAATCGACGAGGGCTTTCTGATACCACACAAGTCAGTACGGCGCCATGACCGAGCTTGTTGCTGAGGCTATCGTCTCACATCTTGCACCAAAGGCAGCGTGCTATTGCTGCGTCGGCCGATCCGCTCTGCGTTGCCAGTCCAGGCAAGCAGGCTGGTAGCCGTGAGGGCCAGAGTAGAGCTGATAGACTTCATGATGCCTCAGTGGAAGTAGCGACAGCAGTCTGGGAGCGAGAGACGGCGTCTTCAGGTCTGGACGAGCAAGGAACGGGAATCGCGAGCTTGAAGTACCTGGACAAACAGCGGCATTCTATAGGCGGCCAGCGAGGAGGCGTATGGTATATTTTACTACTTAATTCTCCATACTCTCGGCCTGCTCTTGGCTACATATCAGATCGTCTATGATAACCCTTCTTCCTATCGAGAGGCAGGTCGAGGTCTCAGTCCACCACTCGTGGTTCATATAGTAGCAACAGCTCCAGACCCATAGCCAAGGAGGCCAAGCCGTGCGGGCAACCATGATAGGAAAATGTAGGAGGAAACACAACCTCTGGCCAAGAGTATCGTGGTATCGTTGGAGCAGAGCAGTGGGCTGGTAGGAGAGCCAAGATGTCGCCGCGATACGGTTGCAATGAGGTCGGGCCTCGCACCTCGGCAATGCCAGGCACGTCAGGGATATGTCTATAAGTCGTGATTGCATCACCTTCCCGATGCAGCCGCCAAGTACGAAGGCCGGGTTGTGCGGGGGCGAACTACTATGGAGCTATCTATCGAAAGAAAACGCAAATCCGGAGCCAAGCCATCGCTATCCCTTACATATGGAAATATTCTTGATCGTCTTCCGCCAAGCACGTTCTGCGTGACGACTTGCTTAATCACGTCAAGCCTTGTTTCTCGACAAGCCAGCAAGCAATTCAACAACAGGAAGCTGCTTTTCTTGGCTCGGGTTCGTACCATATGTCTAGATCTTGGGTTTCATGTATCGTAGCAGACATTAACACCCTATACTACTTACAGATATCTCCCAGCGTTATAATGCGTATACCTTACAACAACAACAACAACAACAACAACAACAACAACAACAACAACAACAACAACAACAACAACAGCGGAGCTCACTCATGGCTGGCAGCCTCCTGAGAAGGCGAATGTACCTATGACAGATCGTGCCTGGACTCGGGGGTAAAGCGGCCGAGGGCGAGGATGGCAAATACGGCCTGAAAACCCAGAAGAAATGCTCTGGGACGAGCGAAGAACTTGACCCGTTCCTTTCCCTTCCAGTTTAAGAACATCCCGTCCCATTCAACCCATGCACCCCGCCCTCCTCCACGAACTCGCACTTCCCAGTCCCCGTCAACCTCGTCGCATTCTCCGCCGTCCTCAGCTGCAACCCCTCAAAATCCACGTTATAGCACGGCCACTCCTCACTGCAGTTCACGCTCGCCGTGGTGCTCTTCCCATTCAGATAGCCCGTGAAGTTGACAAACGCCACGTTCGAGACGGCCATGTGGCTGGTGCCGGAATAGCTGCCGTTATCGCCGCTGTCCTGCGTGATGGCGGGCCCGGCGTCGGCGCCGTGCACGCTGAAGTTGGCGAACAGAACGTTGCGCACGACGCCCCAGCCCCCGCCGCGCGGCTCGCCGGCCGATTCGTAGCTGGTTTGTGGGACCAGCGCGCCGACCCAGGTCTTGATGTAGGCGCTGTTGTGGAGGTCTTCGTTGTAGCGCAGGACCTGTATGTAGGGTTGAGAAGGAAGATTAGCAAGGGGTGTTTAGGGGGACGGGGTTGTGGAAGTTCGACGACGTACGGTGACGTCGGTGATGCGAATATTCTCTACACTGGAGTCCTCGAGGTACTGGCCGAGGCTGCCAATGGCCATGCCGTTGCCGCCGTGGCAGGTGGCGTTCTGGACGTCGATGTTGTAGGACCGCGGCTTGATGGCGATGCAGTCGTCACCTCCCTGGTACACGAAGTTCGTCAGTCGGATGTTTCTGGCATCCATGGTGTCTGTGATGGACAGTCTGTTCAGTAAAGTCTGTTGTAGTACGGAAAGGCACAGAGATTGAAGCGAGCTGTGCGCACCAAAGCCATCAGTGTTCTGAACCCAGTTGCTTCCCCACGGCGCCTGCGTGGCAGTGGCGTTACAATAGATGTTGTCAAAGGCCATATCGGTGCCGTTCATGATATTGATGCTCCAAAGCGGCGGCTGCTTGACGAAGAAGTTCTTCACCGTAACATCGCTGACATTCCAAAACACAAACGGCATCGGCCTGCCCGGTTGCGTGTCGCCCGCTTCGGTAGTGTACCAAACATCGCCGTTGCCATTGATACCGCCCGTCCCGTAGCCGTCGATGTAGATGTGATGGCCGGTCAGGACGAAGCCCGCGCGGTGGTTCTGGAAGGCGACCGGGTACGCGTTGTTGCGCCAGTAGTCCAGGTCCGGGGAGAAGGTCCACTGACCGCGCCAGGAGATGCGGACGTCGTCGACGACGGGGTTGAGGCGCGTCGCGATGTAGTAGTTTTGGTCTTCGGGGAATATCACGTCGCCACCGGAACCGCAGTCGTCAAAGGCCTGCAGGATTGATGGGACATCGTCCTCCTCGCCGCCGCTGGCTTGCACTGTACATTGTTTTCGCCCATCGAGCAACGATTGCGTCACGCTTCCGGCGAGGGAAGGGGCGAGAAGATGAACTGACAAGACCAAGAAATATGACAGAAACATGACCGGAAGTTCAAGGTTCGAGACCCGTGGTAGCATGAAAATATGGCGATGACGACCTCATATAACCTCCGCTGATCGAGCCGCAGCCTGCAAGGCATTTTCGTATTTCCATTTCGATTGGCGGCAAATTGGCCCTGAAGATCATGGAGACACTGTCGCACCTTACCCGCGGAGACCCCAGCATTGGCGTATTTAGAAGACCGTGAAAGGTTCGGTTGATGTTCGACCGAGGCGATGGAGGTGAGGAGGTACTGCCACTTACAAGCGAAGTGTCGCTGGCCCACCTAACCATGACCAACCTGCCACCCTTGAGGGAGTCGACGGATGATATCGCGTCGGAACTTTGATAGTCGGAACTCATGTTCGATACAGTTTGCTGTTCGACTTACAGTGGCTGGAAAACTTCTACATGTTAGAGTGGCTGCTCCGAATGTTGTCGACCCATCTGCCACCGGCACAGAAGTGATCTGTGATTTCGTATGGCCTTCGGAGAAGCGTGAAGCCAACCATCAACGACTATTCGTACCCGACTTCAACAATGCCTCGCTAGAAGGGGAATCATGGGATAAACAACCAAAACCTGTAGTCATTCCCCAAGCCAGCTCGTGGGCTTCCAGTACCCAGAGCTTGGAGGTTGAAAAGTCACTGCACTTTCGCCAAGTAAGCTTCGTAGCACTCGCCTTTTCAGTATGGTATCTTGATTACAAGCAATACGTCTGTGTCGTCTAGACCAGACCTGGTCTACCGAGCCAGGGCACGTCTTTTGCTTCCAAACAGGAACAGTATCCTCAGAACGCCAGTGCCCCCAGATGCAATGCCACGAATATCGAGAACGCCCGGGAATTTTCCTCCATCAAACGATCAGAACCTTATTGAGCCGCTAGATCTCAGACCAGCCTATAGTCTGTTTTCTCTCTCGCGCTCGACCTCATACTTGAAGTCAAAGTATCCCTTGTCGAAATGGTGGACTCGTACGTAGCCGTCCTCTCCGCCACTTGCGTAGCTCTTGCCGTTCGGGGCTGCCGCTACTGTGTTCTGAAATGGTTGTCAGCTCAAAAGCACTGTTAAAAATCGAAGAGCTATCATGCTCGAGCGCAATTCAAGAAGTGAAAACTTACCAGAGGTCCGAAGTGGCCTCTTACACGGCCGATCTCGTCTTCGAAGATCATGTGGTAGAAACGCGCCTCGAACTTTCCTTGTCGTGCAGCAGTAGTTGTGACGTCCATAGCGGCCTGACCACCACCTAGAATGACATAATCCTTCTTCGGTGTAATGCATGCGCTGTTGAGTGGCGTGTCAGAAACGTAGGTCTTCAAGAGCTCGAGGTCCCGAGCGGCCATTAGCCGCGCAGTTTTGTCCTTCGAAGCTGTGATGAAGTAGGTGCGGTCAGCCGACCACTGTAGATCTGTCACTGCCATGTCGAGTTCGTGGATGGGAACGTTGTCGATGAGTTCGCCGGTCTGTGTCAGCATTCGTTAGCATCCTGTCCTGGCTATCGTCCCGGTTTTGGCCAAAGAGGTCGTACCTTGCCATCGTATTGCGAAACGGAGCCGTCCTCGTGTCCGGCAATGATATACTTGCTCAGGTAACTCCAGCCAGCGACGGTAGCCTTGCTCTGGTCGCAGACGATGGTCATATCGCGCTCATCGCTCTGCTCAGCGTCGACACTCAGCTCGATGGGCAGCACGACAATGCTACCCAGGTGGCCCATACGCTTTTCCGTCACACCCAGCAGGCGGCGACCGTCAGGGGTGAACTCGACGCGCTTGACGGCGGTCGGGAATTCCCAAGTCTTGAGGCATTTGCCGGTCTTGATCTCCCATAGGCGGATGGTGTTGTCGGCGCTGCCGCTCGCGATCATGGTCGAGGTGGGGTCTACGTCGACAGTCCAGATAGCACCCTGGTGTCCCTTGTATGTACCGAGACGTTCGCCATTGTGTGAGAACCAGGCGCAGATCTGCTGGTCCTTGGCCGTGGAGAAGAGGAGGTCGCCGTCGGGGTTGAACCTGCGGTGGTGGTGGTGGTTAGTAGGAAGGCTTCGTCGCGGGGTAGATTCGCTCGTCAGAAGCTCGCAACGTACTTGATCTGGGTCAGGGCACGTTCCTGTCGAAGATGTCAGTATGTGTCCAGAGCTGAGATACTGGCGACAGCGGGCCTTGGGCGACTTACGTGACCTGAAAGAAGAATAGGTCTCATTTTGGCGGTGTTGGTTGATTGACGTCTCGAGGCGAGCAAAGCGGCAGTGAAGATCGTGGGGTATGCTAGGATTTTTGAAGGGTTGTGCGTGCACGTGATGATAAATGGATGGAGAGAGAAGGTTCGCAGCTGGCTGGGGGTACGGTGGGATTCAACCACTAAGATCCGTTTCTTCCAAGGGGCTTCCAGCTGTATCAGTCCTGTAAATGTGGCCAAAACTCTCTCGCCCCCCCGCCCAGGTGAACATCAAAATTGTATGCGAATGGCTCCTCCAACATTGACTCACCTCGTCAATTGTCTTTGAGCCCCTGACGTACTTTTAGAATTGCACACCGCGGCATAGGCGATTTGAGTCCACATAGAAGAGTCATCTCTTCTTCGGGACTTCCTGCACCGTATCTCAACATGGATAGCCAGCAGACGGGAACCGCCAGCATCTATGTCTACTTCCTTGTGATGAGTCAAGATACCTAGAACACCCGATATCTATTAGAACGCTAGTTGAAGTCCTTCATGCAGTTTCGCAGCCCATAACCTAAATGCAACATGATTAGAGCTTTTTTGTTGACTCATCGGCGGCATTGCATTTCCTATCTTTCTTGCAGCATCTTCAGACGAGTCTCGACACCGGATCCACGCTTGCTTCATTTTGACAACCAGATTTGGTTGCCATCTTGGAGACGAGCGTGCTGGCTGTTGCCCACCTGCACTAACTGATAGATCCCGTTAACTCGACAGCGATCGGTACCTTGCAGCAAAGCCTATCCATAGGTGCCCGGGAAGGATTCTGGTTGAGTCATTGAATAGTCAAACTGAATAGAGCGTGCTATCTTTTCTGGTAGGTGGCTAACCTTAGCTCTTTGCGGGCCAGAGGCTGGGAGCATACGAAGGAACGATGACTGTGTCCAACCGACTTCGTTGCTGTCATCACAATCTGCCTTCCACGACGCCAATGACCGTCCTGTCTATGCAGCGTCAGAGGTTGATCCCAGCTGCACGTGTACGACCCGTCACAGTCACATTCTCTGCGGAAAGTAGACGCAACTACAGCTACAGCTACAGTTACGGCCGCCAGCAGCGTCAAGCCTCCTCGATAGTAGCTCCGGATTGCGGCACCCGAAAACCCTGCAGATCGGCCAGTTCCCAACTTCCCCTTCCGGTTCAGGCACGCCATATTTCTTCCTCCGCCCGGCCTCCAGTCTTATTTCAACCTCACACTCGACTTGGTGCCTGCGAAGTGACTCTCGCGAAGGACAAGCCATTCCATCCCGCAGCTCTTCGCCGGTCATTCTCGACAAGCTTCCCCGCCATGGCCGCCACAAAGCTTGACGGGACTGCTATCGCAAAGTCGATCCGTGAGAGGCTTGCTGCTGAGATAGTCGAGCGCCAAAAGACCAGCCCGAAGTACCAGCCATGCCTCAAGATCATCCAAGGTACGTCTCATGCCGGCCTTCATACCTCGCTGGCTGCTGATACTAATCCAATTGGTGCTTAGTCGGTGATCGATCTGACTCTTGTAGGCGGTGACTCCTTCGCGCCCGCAATCATGTGTCACAACTAACGATCAATGCCTCAGCGACCTATGTCCGCATGAAGCTCAAGGCTGCTCAAGAGGTATGCACTCAGTCATCATGTAGAAGTGGCATTACCACACGGATTTATCTAACATATGTGACTCATCAAGGCCAACATCAGCTGTGAGCTGCTGCACTTTCCTGAGACCATCACCGAATCAGAGCTATTGGCACACCTGCACATACTGAACAATGACGCTGCGGTAACTGGCATTTTGGTCCAGCTGCCGCTGCCCAAGCACATTGACGAGTATACTGTCACTTCTGCCGTCACTGATGAGAAGGACGTCGATGGCTTCGGCACCACCAACATCGGCGAGCTTGCCAAGAAAGGTGGCCACCCTTACTTCGTCCCTTGCACCCCCAAGGGTGTTATGGTGCTGCTGAAGGAGGCGGGCATCGATCTTGCTGGCAAAGATGCAGTTGTTTTGGGCCGGAGCGACATCGTCGGCAGCCCTGTCAGCTACCTGCTGAAGAATGCCGACGCAACTGTCACCGTATGCCACTCCAAGACTCAGAACGTCGCCGAGAAAGTGAAGCAGGCCGATGTTGTCATAGGAGCGATAGGCCAGCCCGGTTATGTGAAGGGAGAATGGCTAAAGCCGGGGGCTGTGGTCATCGATGTTGGCACCAACTACATTCCTGATGCGTCCAAGAAGTCCGGCCAACGTCTCGTGGGTGATGTTGACTATGAATCGGCTTCTCAGGTTGCTTCATACATCACACCCGTTCCAGGTGGTGTTGGTCCAATGACGGTTGCCATGTTGTTGCAGAACGTCGTCGACGCCACAACCTCCTACTTTGAACGGCAAAAGCAGAGACATATTGTCCCACTTCCTCTCAAGCTCGAGACCAAGGTGCCCTCGGACATCGAAATCTCAAGATCACAACCACCGAAACAAATCACACGAATGGCAGAAGAGGTTGGCATCGCACACCATGAACTGGAGCCTTACGGTGCATACAAGGCTAAGGTCGATCTGACCCTGTTGAAACGCTTGGAGCACCGACGTAATGGTCGCTATGTTGTCGTGACTGGCATTACGCCTACGCCCCTCGGTGAGGGCAAGTCTACCACTACCATGGGTCTCGCTCAGGCCTTGGGTGCTCACCTAGGTCGATTGACCTTCGCAAACGTCCGACAACCCAGCCAGGGCCCTACCTTCGGTATCAAGGGTGGAGCTGCGGGAGGTGGTTACAGTCAAGTCATCCCCATGGACGAGTTCAATATGCACCTGACGGGTGACATTCACGCTATTTCGGCGGCGAACAATCTGCTTGCTGCTGCCATCGAGACCCGCATATTTCACGAGAATACGCAAAAGGATGGTCCTCTGTACCGGAGACTGACGCCCTCCAAGAACGGCAAGCGGACTTTCGCGCCGGTCATGTTCCGCCGCCTGAAGAAGCTGAGAATCGACAAGACAGATCCAAACGAGCTTACAGAAGACGAAATCCACCGGTTTGCTAGATTGGATATCGATCCTGAGACCATCACCTGGAAACGTGTTCTGGATGTCAACGATCGTCATTTGCGCGGTATCACCGTTGGCGTGGCACCCACTGAGAAGGGCCAAACCAGGAACACTGGCTTTGACATCTCAGTGGCTAGCGAGTGCATGGCAATCCTTGCGATGAGCACGAGTCTTGCCGATATGAGAGAACGACTTGGCCGAATGGTTGTCGCTAGCTCGAGATCCGGTGATCCTGTAACCTGCGATGATATCGGAGCTGGAGGCGCCTTGACTGCACTGATGAAGGACGCCATCAAGCCAAACTTGATGCAGAGCTTGGAAGGCACGCCGGTCTTTGTGCACGCCGGCCCTTTCGCCAACATCAGCATTGGCAACAGTTCCATCCTGGCAGACAAGATGGCCCTCAAACTCACTGGAACCGAACCGGACGAGGACCACAGCGCCAAGGCAGGTTTCGCCGTGACTGAAGCCGGCTTTGACTTCACGATGGGTGGCGAGCGGTTCTTCAACATCAAGTGTCGCGCATCTGGCCTCGTGCCTGACGTGGTCGTCGTTGTCGCAACTGTCCGTGCCTTGAAGGTCCACGGTGGCGGTCCGCCCATCGCCCCTGGAGCAGCTTTGGACAAAGTGTACATGGAAGAAAATGTCGAGGTCCTACGCAAGGGTTGCGTAAACTTGAAGAAGCACATCGAGAACGCAAGGGCGTACGGATGTCCTGTCGTCGTCGCCATCAACAAGTTCGCCACGGACACCGATGCCGAGATCGCCGTCGTGCGTGAGGAGGCCATCTCGGCCGGAGCCGAAGATGCAATTCTAGCCAACCACTGGGCCGAAGGTGGCAAGGGAGCTATCGAACTTGCCAAGGGCGTCATTGCCGCCTCGGAGAAACCCAAGGATTTCAAGCTGCTCTACGACGTGGAAGGTGGCTCCGTCCAGGAGCGCATGGAAACCATCTGCAAGAAGATGTACGGTGCCGCCGCCGTCGAGTTCAGCGAGGTCGCCCAGAAGAAGGTCGACACGTACACGAAGCAGGGCTTTGGCAACCTGCCCATTTGCATTGCCAAGACGCAGTACTCGCTGTCGCACGACCCGGACCTCAAGGGCGCTCCGTCGGGCTTTACTGTGCCCATCCGCGATGTTCGCATGGCTGCTGGTGCTGGATATCTGTGAGTGATTCTGTTTTAAACGCTTCGAGCTTGAGTTTGCTAATCGTTTTGCTAGGTACGCTCTTGCGGCTGATATCCAGACCATTCCTGGCTTGCCTACCGCGCCGGGATATCTGAACGTCGATGTCGACTGCGAGACTGGCGAGATCGAGGGGCTTTTCTAGATGTCCATTAGAACTACATTTGCGTATGGGACGTGAGGACACATAGACTGAAACAAGAACGAGGACTCGGTTCTCGAAGGAGATACTCAACATCATGGATAGATATGAGGGAGGGGAGGGTCATGCGGGCATAGATACCTAGATCCAGCCACTTCAACCGGTCTGGAGGGGGAATCTTTCAACAACACAGCATCATAAAGGGAGCCAGGGCGTCACCGATCTGGGGGGCAAATGTACCGCATCAGGAAGACGGGTCGGCGTCCATGATTTTATACAAGATACCTTCAACAGCAATGCAAACCACAATCTTCTGCAGCCAGTCTAGAGATGGTCAGTCTAGCCCTACTAAAGTTCGTACTCGCAGTTAGTTGCTCCGCGATTCAAGTCATGATAAGTCGGCCGAAATATGCTCTCGTATGACTGGTACTTTGAAGACTTCTACCGTACTCTACACACAAAAGCGAGCGCTCAGTCCACGGCATGGCACAAAGCCCGCACACATTATGAACAGTTTCCATATTTGATATGAATAATAATTTTACTGCTGAACAATGATATCGCATCTCATCCGTCTCTTCTGAGCATGACCTGGTCCACCCCAGTCTCACAAGCCATCTATATAACCGTGGTTGGTGTGACGGCTCTTTTCTGTACCCCCCTAAAGCCTTCTTTTGAACCGCTCATGTGCGTCATGCCATGCCATTCCATCGCTGCGCTTCCGCTGCCAGTCCCGTCATCGATGATCCCTAGAACGCCATACAGCCAGCTGGCAGTCTATCTGATCTGCCTGCCCAGCTGTCCCAGCCCTGAACGCCTCCCACAATCACTATATGCCCAAAAACAAGATCATTCCGACGACATTGACAGGGGAATGAATGTCGATCAGATCAGTTGTCCAGCCAGTCCAAAAACTCGGGCGTGAAATAACTGATGACGATACTGGCACCGGCGCGCAGGATGCCCTCGGTGACCTCAAAGGCCATGGTCTTCAGGTCGAAGACGCCGGCCTTGGCGGCGGCGTGCACCATGGCGTACTCGCCGCTGACGTGGTAGGCGGCGACGGGCAGGTCGCGGCCGAGCTCCTTGGCGTCGCTGATGATGTCGAGGTACTGGCTCGCGGGCTTGACCATGATGATGTCGGCGCCCTCGCCGATGTCGCGCACGATGGCCCGGCGCGCGAGGCCGCGGCCCCCGGGGGGCAGCTGGTAGCACTTGCGGTCGCCAAATGAGGGCGCCGACCCGGCGGCGTCGCGGAAGGGCCCGTACAGACAACCCGAGAACTTGGCCGCGTACGACATGAGCAGCGTCTTGTGAGCGATGCCCTCCTCGATCAGCTTGAGCTTGATGGCGCGGATGCGACCGTCGTTCATGTCGGACGGCGCGACGCAGTGCGCGCCCGCCTGCGCGTACGCCACCGACACGTCCGAGATGCGGTCCACCGACAGTTGGTTGTTGAGCGTGCCGTCGTCGCGCAGAATGCCGCAGTGGCCGTGCGACGTGTACTCGCACAGGCACACGTCGACGGTGATGAAGAGCTGTGGGAACCGCTGCCGCAGCACGCGGATGCCCTGGATCACGGGGCCCTTGGGGTCGTCGGCCGCCGTGCCGAGCGCGTCCTTGGTGCCGGCCGCCAGGGGCACGCCAAACAGGATCACGGAGCGCAGGCCCTTGCGCACGAGCGGCTCGAGGAAGGGAACTAGCTTGTTTATGCCCCAGCGGTACTGGCCCGGCAGCGAGGGGATCAGGGTCTCGTCGTCGTCGATGTCGGAGATGAAGAGGGGGTATATCAGCATTGACTGTGATTCATCCGGTCAGCGAGTGTTCGTTCCCTTGATATCCTTATTGGTGTGAGTGCATTCACTGACCTTGGTCAATTGCCGCTCTGCCTGCCATGAGCGGGCCAGCGGGTGGTGGTAGCCGCCGTGCAGCTGGCTCGAGATGTCGCCCGCGATGCTCACACTGGTCGCGGCGGTGCTGGCGTAGGACATGGCGCGGGAGATGTGCGATGCGCGGTCGTCAAAGGTCGAGACGGAGGGGGCCATGCCAGGGCGAGTGCGGCGGGGGGTGTTGCCGTCGCGCATGGACAGGTCTTGTACGAGGCTCGAGAACGACATGTTGAACACGCAGGGGAGGGAGTTGGGTATCTGTCGAGAATGGGAATTGTCGTGGGATAGGGGTTGGCGGTGTTCCTATATCTCTGCACGAAGGGTCCGGCGGAGGGGTCGAGGCGAGGGAGGTGAGTCGAGGTCCGCAAGGAGAAAATGGAAAGGCGAAGTTCCGAGGAAACGATGTGATCGCAACGGTTGCTCAATTCGGGGTATATATGTCAGCAGAAGCAGCAGGAAATCGACGTAGCATCGCCAGAAGAAGGAGAGCCGAAGTTATCGTTGGTCGCTTGGGAGTGCAAGAGTGAGATGGAGATTCGCTTGGGTGGCGTCCAAGGTGCAGTGGTGGTGACTGGTGAATTTAGCAGCGGATGTCTTTTTACGCTGAATGGCGGAATGGCAGAATGCGACAGCGGAGCTTTTTCCAAAGGGGATGCTTGTTTTCGATTCGTTTCAATTTCGCCCCTCGGACCTCTTCGCAAAGTCGCATTCACGCTGACACGCCTTTGCCCCGGCATTAGAACCGCCTCGGCTAGAAACACAGTCGGGACGGAGACTCGGAGTGGTTCAATTGGCATTCACCAATGACATTCCCACCATTGAAAAGCAAAGTGCCGTCCCCCAATCAAGTGATGGAGATTGGACTATCCGAGGACCGGATCTGCGATGGTCTGCATTTTCTAGTTAGGTAGTGCAATGATTGCTTTCATCCGTGCATTTCTGTCATTTCTTTCGGTCTCCCATTCTCCCGCTGACATGCCGTCGTCAGATCGGGCTGACCGGAAAGCGACCAGAACGTGGCGTCGTGGGATTACTGAGATATATCTGACTTGACGACGTTCTACAGGACAGCACATATTTTCCAAGAGGCCTTTCCCAACCTCATACCTTCTTGAAAACATCCTTCATATAGTCCATCGCCCCGATCGGTGCGCCCTGCGTGCGAAGGATGCAATAGCCCGACGTGAGGTGGAAGTGGAAGTTGGGCATGGCAAACTCGGAGAAGTACGTCTGCGCCGTGTCAAAGTGGAACTTGCCGAACTTGCCCCTGTCCATGATAAGGGGCTTGTCCGCGTGGCTGTCGATCGCCACGGGGTCGACGCCGTTCAGGTACGCGACCGTCTTCTCGATGCGCGTCTGCAGCTGCGCGAACGTCGTCTCGTCGTCCGCCACCGCCGTGTGCTCGAGCTCGCCCACTCGGTCGGCGAACCACACCGCCGTGTTGCAGCACGACTGCACCTGATAGCGAAGCCTAGGAGCGGTCAGCCAATCTGCGAGTCGAGGTCAGTAGCAGCACTGGAAACTCACCCCTGCATGTCGGGGACGAGCCGGAAGTCCAGTATCTCCTCGTGCTTCTTGCCCGTGTCGTCGGCGAACGCCTGGCCCTTTTGCGCGATGGCCCCCAGGTTGTTGAGGTACTTGACGAAGACGGGAATCGATTGCTTGTAGAGGGACGTCATGATGGCGGCGGCTATGTCGAGTCCGAGAAGAGCTGCTTAGGTAGGTAGGTCGGTGATGTGATGTTTTATGTTCTCTGGATTGTATCGAGTGATCAGGTTCATTCCGTCCTTTCATCGCCGAGTCGGTCTGCTTATATATACATTAAGAGACTTGTAAGGAGCTTGGCTTCGATCCACAGGAACCAACAACCGGACCCAACAAGACCGGGATTGGTAAGCACGGGCACCAGGAACTTCTTTTCAGCTGGCCGACCGCCTCTTCATGTTTGTTAGAAGGTGGACGCAGATGCAGGCCTTGTATTAGAGGATCCTCGTGGTCCACCCCTTCTCGCCAAAAGTACGGCGCCAAAAAGTCCCAAAACACCATACTAGAGGATCCACGGAGACTTTTGTCAGCTCATTGTACCGTCCCCGGGCGGGGTCTTATCTTAACTACCGGAACCACTGCGCCGCAGGGAGAACTTTGGAATAATAGCATTCAACGAACAGAGGCGAGCACAGACCCTGAGCCGCCTGAGTGTTGGTCGCAGTATCGATGCTGACGTGATAACATAGCGTCCAGCGTTATAGCTAGATATACCCTCAAGTATTCATGCCAAATTCGTTGCGGATGAGCCGGCACAGTTGGTTATATGACCAAATGGGTATTATCACGAAGCCGAACTTCTCGATTACAAGAGACTCGATATCGTTCAACGTGACAGTCAACATTGGTGTCCATGAGCACCTCACCGTTTCTCACACTGCTCGCTCTCTATGGTTTGGCCCTTTCCATATATATTACGACAGAGAATACTATAATCTCTCGGACCCGTGCTTAATCACGTCGCAGCTTTCAGTTGCTGCCTTTACTGGTAGCATTCATACCATGTAGTGCCTCTAGGACAATACAACTACACTGGGTAGGTATACTTGGGATATAGGTACGTGAGTGATAGTTCACTCACTTTTATCTTGAAACCCATGACCGCCTCCAGACGACGCTCGCACAACGAAGCAGGCCCTCACAAACTTCACCTCCGAGGAGCTGGACGGCTTGACCCCGAAGCCTTCTCCTCTTCTCTGCATCCTCACTATCGGTGTCGCGCGCCGACGACCACTCGCCGTCGTGGCTGCTGGTTTTCACCACAATAGTAGCCATGACCTCGATACCGTCGCCAACCTCAGGCTGGTTGGTCGCGCCATCCATCTGCACTTGTACCATATGACCGGCATCTTTGGCGCCGTCAGCGCGGCTGCGCTTTATGTCAAAGGTCCCACGAGCAAAGGTCGTCCCCCATGGCCCGGCATTGGTACGGCTGTTTCGTCCCGAGATCGAGTACTTGTGTCAGTAGCGGTCGTTGTGACTGCCATCGTGCGCCGGCCGCGACTCAGTGAGCTCGACCAGACGACAAGGCTCTTGAACTCGAGCTTGAGCTTGACGCTGTAGACGAGGCCCTTATACGCCGTCTACAGCCATTGTGGAATTGGCGCCATACACGCAACCCCATGGTGGGGCCGTGGCAGACGACGGCGTTGACGACGATCATGGTCGGGACGAACTTGAGCCCGATTCTCATCTCCTTGAAGGTGGTGAAGCGATGGCGTTACACTCGCGAAGTTGTACAACGCAATGGAACAGAAGCTAACGACGATCAGGGATGTCCTGACATCAGAGGCAAACGAGCTGCCATGATCCTCATGATAGAAACCGGCCCCTTGAAACTCGGTGAGGTGAGGTATATGAAAAGGACGCGCTACCTTTCTCGGGGACATGGGGCGAAAGAATGACATTGCTCGGGTATAGAGACCATAACCAAAGCCTTCCGCGTGTATGAGAAACTTAAAGGGGGGGTTTGGCGGTGACTTTGAGCATCGACCATTCGGCAACGTCTGATATACATTACACCGTCATGTGTGGGTGAAATATCGCCGCTGGCACTTGTGCTCCTCCCGCGGCGGCACACGACGTGGACAACGCGAAGCTCGACTCAATCACCCCGACTTGGCCGCCCCATGTTCCACCATGGCTCCTCCCAGGTTGATGGCGACAGACACGCCACGAACCACCGCAAAGCAGCAACAGCAGCACCACCACGCGCTGAGGGGCACGGTACTGGCGCTCGCTGGCGGGCTGCAGGTGCCAGCGAGTGCAATCAAAGTCAAGGACATGTTTGTATGGCAAAGTAATATTGTTGACGTGAGGTTGTATCACGGGAAGGCGTCGCAGAATGCGAACTGCAGGAACTGACCGCCGCGTTCATGGTAAGGTCAACTTCATAAGCACCGCTTGACTAAGTGGCTCTTCGGGAGGTAGGCACGATGGCAGCGCGTTACCCCCGATGCCTTCGTGCTACGGTCCACCGGTGCCTCCTGCCTGACTGTCCATTCAACGAAAGCAGGTCAGCCGACTTGAACGCTCCTTCCCGGTACTTGTACTGCACGTGTAACAGCACACGACGTTGAGTTGCCCGTGGCTTGGATTCCCCATCTGCAAGCTGCGGTCTTTCACCGAAACCAATGTTTGCTGCCACCTCGGCGGCTTCGTTTCAGTCGTGACGTGTCATGGCTGGTGGAACGACACCACTCATCACTTGCTTCTCGGGGTCCTCATTCGAATCTCGTCCCTTTCCCCGTTTCCATCGAGTCTCCTCCCATCTTGCTTCTTCAAGCTCATAGGTTTGCTTGGTGAACGAATCAGATGAACCAATGACCACTTACACCTACACACCCATCGAGCAACCGGATGAGATCCGGCTGATCACAATTCAGCCTGGTGATTTCAGCGACGACGTCAAAGTCACTCTTCAGCATGTACTGCTCTGCCTCAAGGTCGAAGCAACGAACACTCGCGATCTTATGCCAGCACCAGCATACGAAGCCCTCTCGTACGTATGGGGCTCAGAGAAGAATCCCGGCCAAGTCATCGTCCCTGGAATATCCGGAAACACCACCATCTCAATCACTTGAAACCTGGAGGAAGCATTGCGGTACTGTCGATATAAAACTAAACCCCGCACCATGTGGGTGGACGCTCTTTGTATCGACCAAGGCAACACCATCGAACGCGGCTCTCAAGTCCTCCGCATGGGTGATATCTACAAGTTGGCCCAACGCGTCATCGTTTGGCTCGGACCAGCAGCGGGTGACAGCGACTACGCCATGTCCTTGCTGCGTGATATAGCTAGCAAGATCAAGGTCGACTGGCAATCTTATACAATGGTGCCTTCAAAGAAGGGCAAGGAAAGATCCTGTCTGGGCGGATATTCAAGAGAGCCCCTTCAGGCATCGGGAACTACGAGCTTGGACGTGCCTGTTCTCCCACCCATGGTTCGAGCGTCTGTGGGTACGCCAGGAATATACCATCGCCAAAAAAGCCCTTCTGACTTGTGGACGAGCCTCAGCAGGACGGCATGCTTTCCAGAAGTTCATACTTTGCCTGAATCGTCACCTTTTTTGGTCATGGGTGGATGGATTTGAGCGGCATCACTACACTAATTTCTTCAGACGGTTGAATCTGGTCTTCCATAAATGTTCGAGACATCAGCATCTCAACTACCGCAATCTTCGCGAAAGCCTTGGTGGCACGACATGGAAGGACCCCAGAGATACGGTGTATGCTGTGCAAGGTATACTGTCTTATCCTGATAGCACACTTGGGATCACCCCAGACTATCGTAAGACCACCACTGAGGTCTACAAAGACGTGATCGTTCGAATAGTCAACCGTGGCAGCTCTCTCGACATTTTGGCATCTTGTGACGCTGCCCTACGAACCCTCGAACGATTACCAAGCTGGGTGCCTGATTGGTCCGTTGAAAGTGCATATGCGTTTCATCTCCCCAGTCATCAGTACAATGCGTCAGGTTCGATGCCTCCTTTGGGCCGGCTTCTCGATGAAGACATCCTTAGTGTCCACGGCATTAGTGTAACGTCTATCGAGGGCGTGCAGCATACCCGAACTACTCTTGACATGACGGTCATAATATTGCTCACTGTATACTTCAGTTGCGTATGGACGATTGTGTTGAGTCTGCGATTACTTACATTGATGGCAATTATTTGCTGGGCGCATATTGTCGCACGTTGTTCCTTGACGCATTCGACAAATACCACTTGGGTTTCGTCAAAGGTCATTGAGGACCATATCGCGGACGGCTGAGCCTCGAGGATAGCATGGAAGCACTCAAGCAACTGCTCAAGTCCAGAGGTGTAACTGGTACGGTCTGGGAAAAACATATTGCACAACAATTTGTTTATCGTGCCAGAGGGTCCATGGTGGGCCGGTCTTTCTTCCGGACCAGTGATGGGTATTGTGGACTTGCCTCCGAGACAGCGAGACCTAGAGACCAGGTTTGCGTGGTTCTCGGCTGCCGAGTCCCACTGCTTCTCCGGAAAGCCCCTGGGGAACGACTACGTTATCAGATTGTCAGCGACTGCTTCGTGCCAGGATTAATGGCAGGCGAAGCGATTGCTGGACCGCTCCCATCGTACTACAGGCTAGTATGGCGCCAAGAAACACGTACCACAGTCTTCCAAGATACCCGCACCGGTGAAGTGATCGGTGATTCACGTGCCGAAATACACGAACGCCTTGGCCTTGAATGTGAGCCGGGTCGCGACAGGATGAAAATACGAGTGGAAACATTGAGAGAAGTTGGTGTCAAGGTTAGGCGTTTCGACCTAGAATGAGCCCGGAAGACAGGCGTGAAGGTGAGTGCTCCACTATGAGTCTATGACATCCCACCACACCAGGCTGGCAACCCAATCCCAAGGCTGACAGGACGACAAGATGTATGCCGTTAGGGGACAGATGATGCTATTCCCTGGCTGGAGCATGACTCAACGTGTTGTGCTAGCAGCCAGACTATCGCCTATGTTCTCCTGGAGTACAGTGATGGAGTTCCGAGTTCACGATGAACAGTACGGTGGAGGCCATGAATGAGGCGGCGTTGATGCTCTTGTTTGTTGTTCCCAGGTCGATGTTTCTGATCTTCCAGGCCGACGGCTCCGATGTACATCCCACCAAGATTGGTGCTGCTTTGCTTTGTTACCTCTCCGTCGTTCTGCGTGAAGTATGGACGAGAAGGCCAGTCCAGTTGGGAGAGGGACAAATTGGGAAATATTACGGACTAATGTGTAAGACAGACGGAAAACCAAGTGCAGATTGGAATGTAATGTTGAGTATTATGGCAAGACAAGGTCACGATGCAACATAATCCTCACCCGTTCTCATCTCCGTTGGACTAACAATATGATGTGCCCTTCTACCAGCACGAGTCACCCGTCAATGCCTCTACATAACTGGTTGGGTATTTTGATTTGATAGATTGTCTCATTCATCATGATATCATACAACATCTAGGAACTCATACACCACACATCCATCCATCCGCTCAAAGGGTATCGTATCATTCACCTCTCAACTCATCGCATCGCTTCGCTTCGCTGGACTCAACCAGCCTAACTCAGTCCTCACACAATATCAAAAGCCTAGTACCGACGAGTAGTGGTAACCCGCGAAGCATGATGATGGCTCCCACGGCCGTCGGTGCCGCGCATGCGGCGCGTGCCGGCGGCCTTGACGCCCGGCCGCCGAGTCAGCGTGCCCTTGAGCTTCAGCATGGCGCCGCTGATCTTGTCGCCCAGCGTCGCGTGGCGCTTGTGGTGGTGCACGGGCGCGGACGTGGTCGTAGTGTGGGGGCGGCGGCTGAAGAGGCCGCGGCGGCGGGTTGTGGTTGTGGTTGTTGTGTGGGTGGTGTGGTGCGTCATGCTGGCTTTGGTATGGATGGTTTGTTTTGGAATGTGTTGATTGTTGGCTGGTTTGTGGGAGTTTGTGGTAGTTGGTAGTTTGTAGTGGTTTGGTAGGACTTGGTAGGTCACTTGGTGAGTTGGTTTGGTATGATGTTTGGATATAATAATGAAGAGCAGGACGTGAAGAAGGGAAGAACAAGAGCAGCCTTATATTACCATCTCGAACCGTCTATCTGGTGCTACGTAGCCCGCGTCCAGGAAGTTGGCAGACCGGGGAGCTCCATATCGAAACATGGAGGCTGTCCAAACTCCAACCTATCCCAGAGGACCATCGCGGGCCGCCGACCCGCCCAGATGGATTTGCAGGGTCCAAACTAACCTGTAGTAGCCCATGATGTCAAGCGCTACGTAGCTGTCTCACCGATCGGGCGGTTTGCTTTCATGAAAACGGGTATCACGCCAGCTGCACGCGACGGACGGACTGGCACATATCTTGGTTGTCGCGAAACTTGCTTTCAGGGTCCAGAAAGCTGCAGGACCCCTATGACGTCACAGCCAGCGGGAAGTGGGGCGACAGCTTAACTGGGGCCAACTGGTGGGGCTGGCGTGGCTTGGGTGATGTCACCTCACTCCGAAGCCACAATGGAATGCCGGCGGCTGGGTGCCCCAGAATCAGGTTGTGGTTACGAGGTCACGCACCCTAGCAGCCCAGGTGCTCAAAACCCGCCAGGTGATTACCTTTTTGTGAGAGGTCGGTGGAGGTTTGTGCCCCTTCGAGAGACGGCGTCCCTCTAGGTGGAATAGGGATCAGAGCCCAAGGTAACGTCTTGTGGAAACTACCTTGAGCCCACGTAGTAAATGCCACGGACATGCTCTGCAAAAGCTTCAGAAACAAGAAGCTTGGTGTTTCCTGCGCGGCTAAGAAGCCTCGATGGCGTTTCGCATAGAATCAATGCTTTCTCCTGAAAATATGACGAACCAGGCTAACATGGCAGTGGTATCTCAATATCTCATCCCCAAAAGTTCATGACCTCGCAATGCTTAAGCTACCTGACAATCAAGGGCGGGTCAGGTTCGCCTTGATCTTAGCCAGGTCATCATCAGAGAACCCCAGCTCGTCCGTGACGAACTTCTCGAACCCACCATATTCCTTCTTGACACCGTCGACAAATGAGTCCCAACATGACCTCCGCAGACTGCACAGGTTTTCGAAGCCGGGTTGTTCCTGATCCATGGCATTCGAGCCCTCCAGAGCGAATTGCAGCAGCATCAAGCGCACGGGCTCGGTGCCGATGCGCGACAGCAGGTAATCGAGGGCGATGACATTCTCGGAAGCGCCAGCGAGGGTGAGGAGTAGACCTCCGAACACACCGGTTCTGTCACGTCCAGCCGTGCAATGTACCAAGAAAGGCTCCCGCGGCCGGTCCCTGACATGCTCGAGAATCGCCTTCCAGCTGTCCCGATACACATCCACGACCTCAAGGTACATATCCCGATACCCCTCCTCCCCACCGTTCGCCACGAAGCGGCCCAAGTCGGGTGTCGAGTCGGGCCGCGCGCTGTGTATCCACGTGTTCTCGACGCCCACGAGGTCCGGGTCGGGCATGCGGGCGCGCTCTTCGGGCGACCGCAGGTCGAATATACGTTTGATGCCCTTGCCCTTCAGCACGGCCTTGCCGTGGTCGGTCAGCTGGGCGAGCGCGCCGGACCGGAAGGCGAAGTTGGCGCGTAGCGGGCTGTCGGGGATCAAGCCCAGGTCGCGCGTGTTGAAGGTGCCGTCGACGAAGATGAAGGGCGCTTTGGTGAGAACGGGCCCGTATGTCTCCTTGGGGATCTCGGTCCTGACGTCGGTCTCGGCGAGGTTGAGGAGGGCGGCGGCGTCGGCCATGGTGGGCTGCTTGCTCTGTGGGTGGCTGCCGGGGTTGAAGGAGATCGGCGCTAGGTGGCTAGATGGCTAGGACAGCTGAGGGTATATACAACCTAGCTAGGAGGAGTCTACATGATACGATGTTGTCGCTAGAGTATGAAAATGGCACCGTGAACAATTAAAAGGGACGTGGGAGCTGTTGTTTCGGCTCTTTACCCCGCCCCCACATCGAGCTTTAGACAGGGCTTATTACTCGTCTGGGTCTAATGTCGACTTCAGACTAAGCAACCACGGTTACTTAGTCTGGGCCATTGATCAGCAAGAAACTATTAATGCGCAAAACTATTTTGGATATTCTGTGGATCCAGTGCATGGACCCATATGGAGTATTCTGGTAACCCCACCAGATATGTTGGAGGTTACCTGATGAAGGCTGCCTGGCAACCCTTTGTTGCCCCAGGTACCTCACCACTGTAATTTAGGTATTTAGATACATCTCGGATGGAATCCTTTCCATCCGACCTGTTAATCAAGCACCACCCAGACCACTGATAGATTACAACAAGACTTGTGATTTGTCAGCATCTGGGAAAGCTACCAAAAGGCACAATTCTACTAGGCCAGCTAGCAGGACCATTTAATGCATAGCGTCTACATGCACACCCTTTCAATGCATGGGAGCTTCCGGGCTAATTATCAAACCAGTGTACTAAATGGCCTAGCCTCTAGGCTTAGTATCTAACAAATCTGCTAGATGGTCTAGTAGAATATCCAAATAATTTTGCACATCAATGGCTTTTTGTTGTTTAATGGCCCAGACTAAAGGTTTGGGGGGGACAAATCTTTAGTCTGAATAGGTAGCCATCACACCCAGACGAGTAGTGCTGATTCGGATACGGGATGCCACATGGCAGTCCCCCCGCTCTGGCGTCTCATTTCCCCCAAGTTCAACTACATTGAGTTGTTGTTGAGGATCTGGGGTGCCCGAATTGTGCTGCTCTAAACACCTGCGTTACGGGGTTATCAACAGAGAAGTTGCTTGGTGGGGATCATGCTACCTTCGAGGGTTGACTCGAGAATCATTGGCTGAAGAGTGAAGACTCGTGAGACTCAAGTCTCGGTCGACTCGTGAGTGAGGCGAGATCTTCAACAACATACGCGGTTCCATGCATGTAAGTTGCTGACCAGCTGTTGATACATCGACAATAGTCAACAAAGACCACCACAGAGGACAACTGAGCTTTCAGGACGATATTGGAGGACGCAGATGGGAATGTAACCCCTTGGCTCCCCGGAGCTACCAAGCCGGGTGGAGCTTCAATTATATCCCGTCTTATCGCCGCGACCCCTGCATTCACATTCCGAGTATCGGTTTGTGTGTTTAAAGAAACCAACACCACCCGACTTCTTCCATGGCAACATCACCTGCATACAATCAGTTGGAGATCTAAAACCCCGAAGCCTTCTCCGTCATCCGTTTACACTCTAACTTCTCACTTACGAAGTCCAGGGCTCTAAAGACTAACCCAAGCGGTCCGGCCGCTCACCGCACAATGGACCGGCTCCGCCTCCCACGCCTCAGCCGTGACACGGCCTGGATATACACATCAGCCCTGCTAGTGGGCCTAGCCGGCCTTCTCAAGTTCCGCCGAGGCGCCTTCGACTACATGTACACGGAGACGCACTGCTACCAATCCGTACAAACCAATGCCACCGCGGTAGCAGCGCAAGACGGGCTCGTGAGCTGCTTCTCGGTGTCGCCCGCGGGCACCTTCTCCAACGTCTTCGCCGCCAGCAGTGGTTCCGAGCTCGGCCGGAATGCGCATCCTGGTCACGCGATGCCGGGCCTCTGGGATGGTCACGGGCATCTGCTGCAGTACGGCGAGTTTCTAAACTCGGTCGACTTGTTTGGGACCGTGTCCTTGGACGATGTACGGTCACGCGTTCGCGCCTACGTTGGGGACCATGCTGGGGTCGGGTCGGCGACGGAGTGGGTGAGAGGGACGGGATGGGATCAGATGGCGATCGGGCGAATGCCGACTGCTGTGAGTTAGCCAGTCAGTCTAGTCTGGCAGCGACTCTTATTTGCCGAAGTGGAAAGCTGACGTGTGGTGTCTGTAACAAGGATGACCTGGCGGCAGATGATGAGCTGAAGGACCTGTTTATCATGCTCGACCGCGTGGACGTGCATTGCATATGGGTTTCCCAAGCTGTGCTGGACTTGCTGCCAGAGTCCGTCCCCGACGTTCCTGGAGGTGAGATCATCAGGGATCCCGGCAGTGAGTACCGTTTCGATTTACCCCTTTCCCGCCCTGGCCTGCTTCAGCTGTTCATTGTCGGCTGGCGGGGTTTCCTTTCGCTTGAATCATCATTCCGGAGCCCTATCAAATCTCAAGGATGTGCTTAACATAGCTGACTCTGCTTGCTACAGTGGGCGTCTTCTGCGACAATGCCATGGATATAGTCATGGCGCTATGGCCAAAGCCAGACAACAGCAAGAAACGGCAGTGGGTGAAAAGTGCCATGAGCAAACTGAACGAGGTCGGGCTGGTCGGTATGCATGATGCTGGTGTCACCCCTGGCAATATCGAGCTCTTCAGAGAACTAGAAGGCGGCGACGACTGGAGTGTGCGAGTCTACGCGATGGTCGAGTGCTATGAGCGGAACACGTTCTGTCCGGAAGCCTTCGAGCGGTATACAAGTGCCGATGGCTTCCTAAGCATCCAGAGTGTAAAGATGTTCGCCGGTAAGCTGTGCTCATTCACTCGAACCCTCACATCCCCCATCTCTGTTACTAAACCAAAACCCAACAACGACTGATATGAATGTGTGCGATCCAGACGGCGCTCTCGGCAGCTGGGGCAGCGCCATGATAGACCCGTACTCCGACCGCCCAGACTCCTCCGGCTCCCTCCTGGTCAACGCCTCCGAGCTGACATACCAGGCCATCGCCTGGGCGCGCGAGGGCTACCAAGTCAACATCCACGCCATCGGCGACCTCGCCAACCGCCACGCGATCGACGCCATGACCGCCGCGCTGCGCATCCTGTGCCCCTCCAGCCCCGAGCCCGACTACGAGACCCTCTCGCACTGCCAGTCCCGCCACCGCTTCCGCATCGAGCACGCACAGATCATCCACCCGGCCGACCAGGCCCGCATGGCCGCCGTCGGCCTCATCCCGTCCATCCAGCCCACGCACGCCACCTCCGACATGGCCTACGCGGAGCAACGCCTCGGCGCCTCCCGCACCGCCACGGAAGCCTACCGCATGCGGTCACTACTATCCGAGCTCGCCCTGCCCGTCGTCCTCGGCAGCGACTTCCCCGTCGAGCCGCCGCACCCGTTCCAGGGCATATACGCGGCACTGACGCGGCGGAGTCCGCACACGGGGCGCGGCGCGGAGGGGGCCCCTGAAGAGGGCTGGCATGTCGAGGAGGCGCTGTCGCTCGAGCAGGCGGTGAGGGGGTTCACGGCGGGTCCGGCGTACGGGGCCTTCACGGCGGGTAAGACGGGGGTGATTGCGAGGAATGCTTGGGCGGATTGGGTCGTGCTTAGTGAGCCGCTGGGGCAAGTTGTGGACGAGGATGTGGAGGCGTTGAGGGGGCTGCGGGTACGGGAGACGTGGGTTGGGGGGCGGAGGGTTTATGTGAGGGATGATGCGTAGAGGGCGGAGAGAATATTGAACAGCAACAATGGTGGTGGATTTGTGTTGTTTTTCGGTCTCTGTCTGCTATGGTAATTAGACTGTGGTCGATCATACGGTGATAGATCTGGTTCGACCACCGACCTACCTGGGTAAAGAGACAGCAATGAGCAGCAACGTACCCGAACCAAGACAACTGCCGTCGCTTTCAAGCGCATTGCTGTTTGTTTTTATCTCGATGTTTCCACGTGGACGAGGGAAAAAATACGTTGTTCTGTAAAGAAAGGCGAGGGCCGGAAAACACATGTCCGTACATCAAGGCAAGGCATTCACGATAGACAGACACGACAGGATACACGAGACGACACGGGACGATACGGTAGGGATCCCGACTCATAGCGGCAAAAGGGGGGCGTTCCGTATCAAAGATGGCCGACGCTCCATCACGCCACCATCACCGCCATCACCGCCATCATAATTCCCAGTCAAGGCCATCTCATCTCCCCCACCCAATCCTGTCCAATTCGCTAACCTGACTCAGTCCATCCCAACGACCTACCTACCTCAAAACTCGACCCCACGAAGCAGAAGCAGTACCGATATCGACACAGTAACCACACGATCACACGATCATATATCATAACAGGGAGTTTACGTACGTCCCGCTCTACACCCCAATACTCTCATGTTAGGCCCAGGACACATAGGTAACTCTAACTCTGGTACTAAAAGTGACATGTCGCGCACATCAAGATCCCGGTACCTACGATACCCGTCATTACGGTCAGAACGGCAGAAGACTGACCGGCTATGTCACGCTGTCAATACATGTGGACGGATCGTCGCGAACAGCTCGCTGCCTAAAATCCGCCTAATAGCTACAGTGGATATCAATCACCAGCAACGAGCGTTCAGCTGTCTTTTCCAAAAGCCAAAGGCCCAATGTTTCGGGGTTCTGAAACACGTGTTCAATATTAGGCGTTGTATATACATAATCTGACATTACACATCTTTCTGGGTGTCATTGTGCCTGCAAGTGAAACCCCGACTCCCTGCCATTCTTTGCCTGGCCTTGCCTGGCCTGCCTGTGTGCATCGTATCGCCAACGTGCACCTGGAACTTCCGCCCTCGGGACATTTGGAGGATTGGTGCTCAGTTGCTTTATAATAACATATACACGAAAAGAGCAACCTCAAACCAAAGGTGTATGTGGTGCCACTTTGCAGACTCTCTTTTAGCTCAAACAGTCTCGCCTGCGTGATTCGAGGCGAAAAATAGGACGAAACGAAGACAACTCCCAGCCCGGTGAAACGGGCAATGACGGAACCGAACTCCTTGTACATGAACTCCCCAAATGTGTCTTGCTCGCGGTACACTGTACCGGGCCATATAGACAGGCTCCATTAGCCTTGTTGTCCCCTTTATATGCACCCGCCTTGGTTGCCCAATGTCCCGCCGAAACAGTCTATTGCTCTTGGCACAAAAGAAAACCGGTTGTCCTCGTGTCGGACTGTTCGGTACTAGTCATCCTCCTGTTCCGCTGGGTTCTCCCACTTGATGGGGTGTACCAGCATGCTTCGGAGGCAGAGTCGCCCGGTGCTATTGGGGTCCTCTTCTTCTTCGGGTCCACCACGCAGACTACCTCCATTTGCGTGGCCACCGTCTTTTCCGCGTCCGTCAAGCTGTGCGTAACCGAGCCAACGTCGCCATAGTAGACCGGCGAACTCGCTGTTATAGTACCAAGTTGTACCTTTATGGTTGTGTTCGTTGGTAAGGTCGAACGGCGATCCGTGGCCTCCGGAGCTATGATGGCGACCGCCGTTGAAAGCTTTTTCGATCTCTTCCTGGGGCCATGCGCGATCTAGAAACACTGGGTGCGGCGCATACACAGCCTTCAAGCCGCGATGAAAGGCCATCGAGGGCGGGAACATCTCGCTGAACATGCTGTGGTGAAGACGCCAGGTCTCCTCGTGCATCACCGTCAGCAGACGGCGGGATAGTCGAGACGCAGTCACGATGGCGCATCTTCGAGGAGGCTTGGAGATAAACGTGTCGTAGCCCGTGACATCTCCAGCAAACACCCAGCCAGATTCGTCGGCATCGAAGAGGGGGTTGAGCGTGATCAGATCGGCAGCCTCCCCGACACCGCATTGCGACATATCGGACCCGGTGGCACAACTCGGGGGCATGAAATCCTCGCCGTGCTCGAGACTGGCCTTGCCAGAGAACGTCACCGGTCCTAATATCGGCTTCTTCTTGGCCTCACGCGTCTCCTGTTCAACGAGCGCCGTGAAGTCTTCCCAGCTCCCGTGAAGCTCAGGAATGTAGTACTTGGCTGCACGTTCCCACATGCCTTGCCGACTCTGTTTCTCGGCCCATTTGCCGAGTCTGTCAAAAAGCTCATAGTACGACCCGGTCCATCGCATGTCCATCTCCCAATTCCAGAAATGGGCATACTGCGGGTGGGTAACAGCAAAGTGTTGGAGCGGCATGTGAGCGGATCGATAGACTCCGTGAATGTCACCGTTGGAGGGGTTCTCGAAGGTATCTCCAAAGTTACCAGGGTAGTACAGGGCCATCTGAGCTTCTGACCACAACGTACAGAGCCCGTGGAACTCGGGAGGTACATTTTCTTCCAGTATATCCTGTACCGTGGCCGGGTCGGCCCAGATGGGAGCATTGTTGTCTCTCACGTGGAGCAGGAAGTGCACATCATACTCGCCACCCGATCTCAAGTTGAGCTCGGAGATCATGGCCCGAAAATTGAGAACGGCATGGGCAGTCCACTTGAAGCCGACGTACGTGCGGATGACGACAGCAATCCGGTCCACCTTCTTGCGCCCGGTCGTGGCGAGCTCGGCATCTTGCTTCTTGTCGCCCGTGAAGAAACGTTCTCGGTTCGACTTGAAGCATTTGTCCTGTGCTGATGCCCAGTCAATGTCGTCCCAGTTGATTCTCCCAGATTTTCCCCAGACAGCTTCGCTACCCTCACGCTCTGTTTCCATTGCCTCGTTAACTCCTCCATGTTCCAGGTCGTACCCTAGGCCGTATGGACCGTAACGACCGAAACGATCGAAACAAACATCTTCTCGGAGGCCAAGAAGCGCATGTGATCCGATAACAGGCTTGGGCTGTCCTTGGGGAATGCCCTCGTATGCGTACAGGTCCGGAGGCGAGATCTTCTTGTCGGCGTCGACGTAGCAGGGGTTGACACGGACATGCGTTTTCTGCCAATGGTCGGAGTTGTAGTCTGGATGAGCGGAGAAGGCGGAAGGCTTAGGCAGTTTGGTATGGTGTACAGGCGGTGGCTCTGAGCGATCGGATGCTGGCGACGTCTTGGGGTATTCTGGCTTATAGTCTGAAAACGGGACAAGTGCTCTCAGGCCATTGTAGAACCCATCGAGACTGCAAAGTTTAATGAGAATGCTGGCCTGCAGGTGCTGGTATGAATTCCACTTACTGTTTGTATCTTAGCCAATGCGGGCCATTCGCCTCCTCCTCCTCCTTGGCCTCTTCTTCCTCCTCATTGCCGTAGCCGGACATATCGATGATGCCCTCGGTAATTTCCCCGACGTAGTCCTCCACATCTTCTGGAGTTTCCAGTTGTTGTTGATCACTTCCCCTGGCATATTCCTCCACATCTTCCGGCGTTTGCAGCTTTTCCTGGCCGTTGGTCTCTCCGGTTTCAGTATGTTGAGCTTGGTTCGCATCGCCTTTGGGGATGCTTTTCGCCTCACCCATGCTTCCATGTACCAGATCGAGGACTTTATGTGAAGGGACCAACTGCGGGTTAAACAGGGAGACAGTGAGGAGCACGATGACAACAATAGTCCATATGACGACTCTCCGATAGAGACAATGGCTCAGCAGGGCCTTGAGTCTGAATTTGGAGGGCGATGATCCTCGTTGTGAGGTGGTGGAGATGGGAAGGCAGTCGTCGGCCTTGCGCGCCATGATGCTGGAGAAGGAGCCGGATTTGCGTGTTATGTAATTGGATAACCGGCCCATCATGCTCGAAACCACAGCATGAAGGGTCAGGGGTATTCGAGCTGGCGATGGACCAACAAAGGTGGCAAGCTATCTCATTGATAAACGACGGAGGAAAGCGATACCTTTTGTTCGGCGAAGGAGTTGATCCAGGCGACGACTGGCTGATTATGAGGTCACCCAGGGCTTTGCCAGGACGGTTTCGGCGCTGACAAGGTACACGACGAAGAAGGATTTAGTTGCCGCACTCCCTTGCGTTACAACGTTAGAAGTCGCAGGTGCCAACCAGAGCAGTGCCGGAGGAGCTGAGAAGGGGTGGCGGAAAAGAGTGGGAGTCGTGGTGACCAAAGGCGTGCGGCGTGCAGCCAGAAATGAGTGGAAGACCAGAAGACTCACTGCCCAAAGAATGGGTTGAAGAACAATGCCCTACGAAAGAGTGCTGCCGCAGAAATGGGTAGATGATTGCTGTCGTTCGAGGCGAAGGATAGGACCGCAAGGCGAGAAGGCGGTTGGTCGGCAGATTGGCTTGGGTTGTCTGGGATGAAACCAATCGCGTCGCCTGGAAGGACCCAAGGGAAAAGAAGAGGACCCCGAGCTCTGGCACTGGCAAGGATAACAACACTCCAAACAGGATAGGGAAAGAAAGCGTGACGTGGGCGGAAGAATTGGTGATACCGGAAAAGTAGAGAAGTCGGGTGTGGTTCAGGTGAGGTCGTCGGGAAGATGGTCGACGAGGTAGAGCCGCAGGGTGATGTAGGGCCTAGGTGCGCCACTCGTGCTGGGTGCAGTAACGGGGTGGTGGGCAGTCCGTGACCTGCTGTTGAAGCCTGAGGTATAGGTACCTCTAGGTGTAGGTCACGGTCACTGCGACAGGTGTCAACTTGCAGGTGCTGAGTAGGAGGTAGGTATGTTGAATGCGCCGCACGGCAGTGACGCTGGTGAAACTGACAGCCCTGGAGCAGACCGGAAAGCACGATGGATGGGTACCTCGCTGTGACCGAGTGAGGACTTTTGAACACCTGGAGTGGCGGAAGGGGGAGGCACGACTTGGATCGTCGTAAACCACCCGGCAGAATGGCACAATGCGATTTATTATCATTGATCAAGGCGCTGAGTCCCAGCCCCTGCCTGACCTCTTTACCTCTCCTCCGTGCGTTGAACTCTCTCGGCATTGATAACTGCTTGTGTGCCACTGTCTTACGATTCCACTGGCGTCTGGTGTATGGCGTGCGTGGCAGACGAGACAGAAAAATACCTAAACGGGACGGCCAGTGGCCCATCCCGGCATCGTATTGGACAATGGACAGCCCTCGCATGATGGATCTGATCTTTTCTCCTACATCCCGCGTCAATATCTGCGTGCGCCTTATAAACTGACTGCCATGATGGTACCCTAGCAACAGGCCTACGTCTTTCCTCCTGAGCATGCCAATACAGATGTCTAGTTGAATAAGGACCAGATGTTGCGAGCACCACGATGCATGCTGATATAGCTGTTTATAGGAGGTACGTTGGGCGTGAAGTGACAATGTGGCGGGGCTTGGCGGGGCTGGGCAACCTTCTCAATGGATGGGGTCTTAGGGGTCCATGTCCTCGGTTGGGACTTTGGGGAAGGGGAGGGCACTCCTCTGCAGGGGCGATGATAAACTCGAAACAGTACATCATCTATGCATAGCTTACTTTTAAGTTTGAGGGCGCGCTCTTATCAAGGTTGGCACAATCTGAGAGTTCGGCCATCTCACGTCATTCATGGTGTCGGCTCTGTTTCTACGCCCGGACGAACCTCAAAACATCGGGTGCTGATTCCATGTCTGTGCGACAGAGTGCCTATTTGGGACCTGTGCGGCTATACCTCGTCTCAGTTATCTCGATCAGAGATCGCCGTTGTCAAACTCGGACCAATGAAACCATTGATACCCGTTTCGTCCATGGTCCCGGGACCATGCCGACGCCCTCGCATCATGTACCGTAGACCAGAAGACTGGACCGAAGCCGATAGCCTTTACCTTCATTGCGGAAGTCTCTGGTCTAGCATCTTCATATATGGAGTAGTGTGAAAACGCCACGGGCGCCAAGCAGCTGGGCATCGTGGGGGACTTGCTAGTACAACTATGCCAGACCTGGTTATTACTATATCGGGGACGAGGAAATAGGTCGAACTAAAATCGATTTAAGTGGCAGGTCGATAATTAGATCCCGCTGGTTGCCACTGTTAGCCCGTCACTGGTCAATCGACTATCGTCCTTCACAGTGAGAGAAGACAGACAACATCGAAACTTCTTCTCGTCCACGATCCTGCCGTGACCCCAGAAAACGTCGGAGAATAAAATAATAAGAAAATGCCCTGCCCTTCCTCTACCTTACCATCGGATAGCCCCACCATCTACCTCCCGAGATAGTGATACGTCGTCAACGGCTGCGGCACAGATGATATTACGGTGTCCCACCTGGGGGAAAACCATGACAAGATACACGACACGACGCATTTATCAAGATACGATACATTGGACACCAAGCTCGAATGACATCGCTAGGCAGGCTATGCGGCGATCTGGCGTCTGATGGGCTTCAGGTCTGCAGATCCGGGTCTCGTCCAGTCTGAAACCCTGTGCCTCGTTCTAGGTGCTATCGCACGCGGCACGGGCAAGAGAGACAGACAGGACAGACAGGTGTCATCACGGAGACACGCACGTTTCATACGCGGCAGTCAATTCAAGATTCGAAATCTACCTGTGAAATAGGTAGTGCCGACGGGTCGGTCACAGTTGATTCAATCATTAGGTTCTTGGGCGCGAGTCGAGATGAACCTAGATAGGTGTGAAGACGCCAATGACCTTTAGCCACGACATACCTAGTCATCCCCTCGTCGTCGTCACATGCAACTTGTAGATACATACATACATGCTGACATGCGGCCATGTAGTGCCTGACGGCCATTTGAGGCTGATGGAAACATGTTTGTCGGGCATTGTGTGAGACACCGGTTGTTCGGCTAAGAATAAAGGCGAAGCTGATCAATCAGTGATCACCCGACCCCGGCCTCAGAACCAGCGACGACACATCTACCGTCACGCCTCATGGCGGCTTATGAGAGCCAATCGTCGATGTATGTAAGCGCAAAGGCGTGTTAGCTACCCCCCCTTTTAGGAGTTGAAAGGGGCGTTGGGGGCATTGTAGTACACGATACATGTATACGTCAATTGCAGCCGCGGAATATCGAGATAAATGTAGCAACATGAGTAAGTCGGCTGGCCTCAGCGCCCGTCAGTCGCCTCCTCACTCAGCCCTACCCGTAGGTACCGAGCTGAAGCTGCGATGATGGCGCCCCAGCCCCTCACAGATATACTGCCCAACTATTCAGCCAGTCAGTCAACCAACCAACCCTTCAAACATTGGTCTCATGGTCAGCGTACCACGCCGCGCAGAAGCATCGCATGAGTACAAAGATAGATTTTCGATCCGAGCGAGGTATTGTTCCGGCGACGACGAGAACGGGAACGAGAACGATTGGTACGCTCGTGTATGCGACAAAGCTGTGGCATTACCTGCTATGGTCGGTCCGCCAACAAAGAGGAATGCCGAGCGCGGCGCTTCCAGACACAGCATCGTCATCGGCACCGTCGGCGGTTCTAGGCGCGGAAACAAGCCTTTGATGATCGAAACCTGAGTTACCGGCTTCAAGGCAGTATACGTTCAATGTTCAAGGCGATATCTCGAAGTGTCCATATTACCTTCGCGTTGTGCCCACCCCTAAGCTACACCTTACTTCATATCGGACGACGCGGCCCTGTGCCAGGTCATGTAGAGATACACTCCGTTACATGATCCACGAACCATGCGTGTGAGCAGGTGAAAGTTAAGCTTTCACACATCACTGTTGGTAGCCACATCTAGACAAGTGTGTGGGTAACTGTCGTATGCGGCCAAAACTATCGTGAAGCCGGACATGGAGCAGCACGGGACAAGTCCACCCTCCCGGTAATTTCGACATGCGAATTGCGGCATGGATGGCCTGTTCGGACCTTCGTCGATTGGTGCTGCGCATACTATATTCGCGGTCAAAACTCTATCCGTCTAGCCTATCACTCTGGTGTGTCTGTTTTCGCCTCTTCGATGCAAAGGCCATCCCGTTCTGGTATGTTCCACGCGTGCGCGTACACGTATAGCCTATAGTGCCATGTAAACCCTTAAATTTACACATTCAGACCTCTTCTTCCATGGCCCGGTGCTGCGTCGTAATCCCCTCGTCTACCTTGTCCGGCGAACGCGCACCACCGGTCTTGGCCGCCGGACTCCCACCTGCGGCCACCGCCACCTGGTCCTCCGCGGCCATGGCGGCGTTCTTCTCCTCGATGACCTTGAGCTTGGCCCTCCTCCTCTTAGCGTCGACGCGGTCGCGCCACTCCCTGCCCCAGCGAATCGACACCCACGTGCAGGCGGTGCCGCCGAGCAGGAACAAGGTGCTGATGGTGCTGAACCAGCCGATGCCGATGGCGTCGACGGCCGGCAGCACGACGGCGGTGCCCAGACACGCGAACAGGTAGCGGATGCAGTAATTGCCCGCGATCACCTCCGCGCCTCGCCCGGGCATAACATCCAGACAATACGTGTTCAGGCTCGGGAAGCAGAACAGCTGCGCGCAGCCCTGCAGGAACATGACCACGACCGTGAGGCCGATGCCGCCGACGTCCTTCTCGACGCTCCACCCGTAGATCAGGATGCAGGCCGGGATCACGACGCCCATGAAGGGTAAGGCGGAGTACATGCGGTCCTCGGGCACGCGCACGCCGCGCTTCGCCATGTACTTCTTGACGACGTAGTCGGCGTACCGCCCGCCGAGGAACGTGCCCGTGAGGTAGCCGCAGCCCGGCGCCAGGTAGAAGAGCCCGCTCTGCAGGGGTGTGTTGAGGCCGTAGCGCGGGTTGATCACGTACCGGATGGGCGTCAGGAGGCTGTACATGTTCCAGACGAGCGAGGAGCTGGCGAGGCCCGTGAGGAAGAGGTCTGTAGTGTTCGGTAAGTCAGTTCGGTTGTTTTCCGCAGATTGCATATTCACGAGAATCGTGTTGGTTGTATGAAGTCGTGGGCTGTCTCAGACACGTCTGCCTGCTACTCCCATTCGGACATGCATGTGTCTGACATACACAGCGCAAGGTGCAGTGCGAGATAGCCGCGTAACGAGAAGAGAAACACAAGGAAAAAATCACGTACTCGGATACTCGTACAGACGCAACACGCGCCAGGGGTTAATCATGCGGAGCAGCACCTTCCCTTTCACCTTGCCGCTCAAGCCCACGAGGTCGTCCATCCGCTTGTGGTAGATGGTTTCGGGAAGGAGGAAGTACGAGCCCACGGCCGCGATGCCAGCCAGCCCCGTCTGCAGCCAGAAGATGACGCGCCACGACGTGTACGTCACGATGATGCCGCCGATGAAGGGCCCGAAGGCCGGGCCGATCAGCGTGCCGCTCATGAACCAGCCTGTTGCGGTGCCGCGCTCTGTTGGGCGGTATATGTCGCTGTGGGTTGGCGGTTAGTGATGGGATGTTTCTTCGGTAGAGGGCTGGGCTGGGGTTTCAGAGCTGGAGGTGGGTACTGACCTGATGACGGCGGCTCCCACCAGGATGAACGACGTCCCTTCGAACGCGGTGAGGATGCGGAAGACGAAGAAGGCGGCGAGGTTGGGCGACAGTGCCGTGCCCACGCTGCACGCGAGGAAGCCGACAGACGTGACGAGGGTGATCTGGGTATTATTCGGTCAGTGTCTTCTCTACTCATGATGTTCCTCGCCTTAACATCTCCCTTCTCTTCACCCACCAACACTTCTCTCTACCTGGTTACAACACAACCAGCACTCAAACGACAAATAGGTACGACTCGGAGAAACTCACCATCCTACGCCCATACACCTGACTCAGGGGTCCCCAGAAAATGGGTGAGATGCCCATGAACAGCATATACAGGGCGTTCACCAGATTCACAATCGACCCCGTGGTCTGGAACTCGCCCGCGACCTCGGGCGTGGCCGCCAGTACCGACGTGCTGGAGACGGGCGCCAGGAACGAGCAGAAGGCCAGCAGCGCGACGATGACACCTGCGAGTCTTGTGGTCAGTCATCGTAAGTCCCCACATCATGGGCGGGAGGTAAGATGCCTCTTCATGATGCCGGCGCTCTTCATCAGATCATCACGCACGCATACGAGCGTGAGAGGTGCAAGGGGGCAGCCTTGAGGTCAGGGATCGCTCACTCTTCCGGTGTTTTGGCAGCCGGTCGTACACCTCGTCCGGGAGCTCGACCACGGAGTCGATGGGCTCCACGGGGGCGTCGGCGCCGACCGACTGGCGCGTTGAGCACCGGTCTAGCGTGTTTGGCCTCGCTGGACGGATCTCATTGCCGTCGGCGTCGCTGTCTGAATGGGACGCCCCATGGGAGGAGGTCTGGCTGAGGTGGGATGACCCAGCGTTGCTCACGTGCGCGTTGGGGTGCACGCTCGCGGCGTGCTGCTGCGTCGGAGTTTCCTTGGGTTCGGACATCGTGGCTGGGTGGGTAGGCCAGTGAATTTGGGGGCTTTTAAGTTTATTATATCGTGTGAGGTAACTGTAGGTGTGTCATCGTAGTCGCTAGTGAGCCTGCACCAGAGGGATGTTGCGATTCCCTGAGACTACGAGGCAGTGATAGTAATGGCGATTGGTAGTATATTATGTGATAGGCAAATACGTGAATGATCAGTGATGAGTATAAAGACGCTGGGTTCGCTTGTGAGAGCTATACCGTAACGGCTTGATGAGATTCTTCAAGCAGCAGCGGTGGAAATCGTGGCAAATTTTCGAGATTTCGCGGACCGAGCAAAACCATCATCCACCCGAGATCGTGGGGCACGCTGCTTATTTACACCACAATTTCCCTACCTTATGGTGTATCAGGTAGTCCTGCCCAATGGTTAATCGGATTGACACTGGGCAGTCCCTCATTGTGACTGAATGCTGCGCCGAGAATCGGTGGATTGCTCCATACTGACTTCTAGTCCGGCTTGATAAGGTATAGCCAGACATGCATCGGGAAGCTATCGAAGTGGGTATCCTGTCTGATCGCTGCGCTCTTCTCTCGCGGCTCCAAAGCCGAAGATACCTAGTCGGGCATATGTGTGTGTTGGCCGGTGACCCTGGCGGGTTGCAGAAAGGGAGCCAAGCTGCAAGCAAAGCAAGCTCGCGCCATCATGACTCCATGGTTGGAGACCCGACATGCATGAACGATATGAAGAAGATTTCCGGGTAGTTTTCGCTGCTTCGTTGACAGACAGCGGACGTCATATAGCCTATCGGGGGCTTACCTGTGAGTGGAAGATGGCCGGCTATGCAGTCTTTACATGTACGCCGTCGAAACCAATGAGGAGTTCCTCTCGACGCTTTCACGGTAACACTGAGGAGAAGCCGACGAGACGGGTCTGGCCGATGCTTATTCCCGTAGCCATGTCCCTTGCATCCACCATTCAGCACTTTATCCGGCCCGGGATCGGCGACGTTAGCGGGCGAGCCAACCGACCTCCCCGCCGTTGCCGGCTGCGAAAGGGTTCCGAACCAGTCATGCGGGCCACTTGATGTGCTGGCTCGTCGTTCGTCTGACATCCACGATTGCCTGTCTCTGAAGGCTTGAAATCGTCGGGTTGCACTTGTTCCGGCTCTCGAACACAAGCAGCAGTCCCAAGTCTCGCCCTTGCAATCAGAGCCACTCTCTCGCACAGCTTAGTCGATTGGTTCTCCCTTCCAATCTTAACTCCAAGATAGATATCGTCATCTCAACTCGATCCCACCTGATTGAGATTTGCTTGCTGCTGGCCTCGCATCACAGGCAAGTATGGCCACGATGCTGAAAAGTAGATATCGTCGTATTCTCATAGTTTATGTCTTCCCGGTGACACATTATACCCGGTCACCAGGTCCATACCCCCCACAAGTGTTTAACTCGCAAAGATATAATGATACTTGACGGTATCTCCCGTCCCAGATGCCTATTCTCTCGACTGTGGTAGCGCGCAGACGTCTCAGAACCCTTCACCAAGTAGCACCGTCCTGCCTCCTCCGTACCACAAGGTTCCGACCCGGACATCGAGGCCCTTCTCCTGGCCAACGACCCATTCCCCGACCAAGCCGGCGTCGTGCTTCTCCCACACCTCCGCCTCCAACCACCTGTTGATCTCGTCGATGGCCTCGACCCACTTCTTCCGCTGCTCCGGCGTCGCATGGTCTTCGTTCGTGAGGTACCGCCCCAGAGTGATATGAGCGCTTGGTACGATGTATCGCGAGTCGATGGTCATGCCGGCCTCCTTGGTCTTGTCCCACATGTCTCTTCTCAGGTGGTGGTACGTGTAGCCGTCCCCCTGCTTGAGCACTTCCACATTGTCGGGTGCCACCGGTGCTGAGGAGACCTTGGGCTCGCCAGCTGCGGGGAGGAACGAGACGGCGAAGGCTGAAAGGTCGTACGAGATCATGGGCTTCACGAGACGGGCTCGGTGATGGTAGGTGTAGCTTGCGATGGATGGTATGGCGGGCTTCAACGTTTCCTTGATGGAGTCTATCTCCTCTGCGGTGCGGGAGAAAGCGAGTTCCAGCGTGGTGATGTGCATTCGGTGCAAGGGCATCAACCATATATCTAGAAGTCGTATTAGTCAATGCTGTAAGGACCTTGAATATGGTCTTCGTGCTGCCATCGTGTACTTGTGAGTGGCTTCTATGAAGACATCATGCTGATGTTGCTTTCGTTGACTCCGACAACTCGATGGGATGGCCGTCCCAAACGCGAACAGAATTAGGGAGACTCGACTTACTCGGCGCAGCGGCCTTGAGCCTTCTCTGGATTGCTTCTGCCAGCTCGAGTACATGAATGGGCGGTCGACCCCAGAAGGTCATGCAATGCCTCGTATCCTTGAAGCCAGGTTCTATGAGCGGGTCTTGCAGTCTGAGCAGGTACGGGTCTATGATCAACTCGTTGAAGGCAGGAGCTCGGAAATTGTCTGCTTGCTGGGCATTCCGCTTTATGCGGTGAGCCGCATACAGTGCTTGGATTTCTGCCTACTCATTCCGTCAGCTTTTGAAGCAGTTGATGATGAGATCGTAACTTGGGTGCGAGGTTCTTCTCCCACCCCCTTTTTTTCATTCCATCTTTCGAAGACTACAACCCAACCCAAGACAACACAACACAACATGCAACGGCACAGCAAAGCAGAATTCAAAATACGCAAGACGTAAGTAAACAGGGCCAACTCAACTGGATCATCATTACAAGCCTCGATGAGAGCATTGTACGGGTTCTCTCCCGGTTTGACCACCACCCCAGACAGGTCCTCCAACTTATTCCTGACATCTGTCGACTCGAGGACTGGCGGCTCCATGGTGTTCCTAGCACGACCCTCCCGCGTCGCCAGTTGACACACCCAGCACGGCTCGAGCTCTCAGATCAAAGTCCAAACTGCCTCTATAGCGGGAAGCAGCCCCCTTATATAGATGAGCGATCAAACAGGGGTGATATGGAGCTGAGCCTCGGTATTCTGTTCGAGTAACAGGTAATCCAGTCTGTTTGTTGCGCCCCGGCCTTGGGTGGGGGCTTAAGCGAGCCGCGAGCGATAGCGCCTGTGATAGCGCCTGTGATAGCGCCTGCGATTATGCCTGCAATTACGCCGGCGCCAGTGCTAACGAAATGTGTACCGTTTCGCCCGACACAACCATTTTGAACTCGCAACGTCCTTTCTACCTCTTCAATCGGCTCGTTGTTTCTCCATCCACCAACTCCTCACGCCGCGTGGCTCGAGATATCTGGATATTCTCATGCTAGGTGCAGGCAGGGATGGCAGACAAGCTCTCAACTATTGTGTCGACCCTGGTGGCTGCAGGTGGCACATGCGTTCGTTATGGTCAGCTCGATATTTCGAGAAGGGACCGACAGCACCTCCAGGGGACCGTACATGCGGCCCCGGTTCCGCCGGGCGGCGCTTGACCGGTCGGAACATCGAATATTCCGCCACAGCTTCTCATACACTTCTTGCCCTTCTGAAATATCTTCCTGAAGGGGAAATGTTGCGTCTCAAGGCTCGAACCACGAATGCGGAAACCGATTTGAGACTACTGATCCAGTGGCTCGTGAACTTTAACTAACGCCAAGTCCAGAATGCCCTTAGTGGTTGAAACCATGGGCAGTCAACATAAGCATCAAGTGCGGGATGCAACATCCGACAGTGTCATGCCAAGCTCGAGTAAGTTGCCCAGTACCATGTCTTACACAAGCGTGAAGACCGTATTGTGAATAGCACAAGTCATTCACGTGTTGTTGGCTCTGTTATGTTGTCACTCGAGCGGTACACAAGTATCATACCAGTCGGACGATACTCCTGTTCCTATCAACGAGCCGTGTTCACCTGCCCAAGTGGGATATCTTCAGGATAGACTTCGTCAGGTTGTCGTGTCTTGGTCAGTGAAAAGTGCAAGGGGACCTTGAGGGTGAACAACACGGCACAATGTATAACCATACTCACAAATGGCTCATGATCGGGCGTTGAGCCCGAGTGCCAACTACGGACAGGGTGCAGACAACATCAAGTGGATGGAGACAATGAGACGGTATCCATGTGATGAAAGACCGCCATGCCAAAGGTTGATGGTCAATCCTATGGTCCCAGGCAAGGCCAGTTGTGATGACTACCATGAACTCAACCAGCCTCTTAGTGTCAACGACATTATGTGACAAAGAGCCGTCTGGGGAGACCGGGGATAGTCACTTGACTATAACCAGATGCACCTCCAGTGCAAGAGAGTTGCCAACACATTGATAACACTTCGATCATTTGTCTGTTTTGGGAGTGGCTGCCCATGTTACTATTGGAAGCAACTCCCAGCTGGGTATGGACCGAGACAAGGATGCCATTGGATTGGAAGGCCACTTCGGCGGTGCCCCTATGTGGCTACAAATCGTTGGCCTCCCACCTGTCGACTGTCGACTGCCGACTGCCGCTGACGACTGGCACTCCTCGTTCCTCGCCCCTGCCCTGAAGCTGCACACTTCAGTGATCCAGCCACAACATGGTCACTGATGGATGACCTTGGACCCGCACGGCTTGAGTATGTTTGTTGTTGCTAAGAAACCAACCCTAGCCCCATGTCCTGGGCTGCAAATTCATCTGGCGAATAGGCCACAACATCCTCGTCCAACCTTTCTGGTTTCACCACATTCCTCAACTTCTGCTGAAGGTTGCTGATCACCGCTCATGTTCCCATTCTGGTTTCAAGCATACTCTCCTCTATCTTGCCCATAATCCAATTCCTCATCGCCTTCTACCATGCCTCCCAAACGTGGGAATGAGGCCGACGCCATCTCCTCCCCAGAGAAGCGCGCCAAAACCGATAGCTCTCGTGCAGCCGTCAGTCTTGACCTAAAACCCATCACCAATGTCTACGAAGCATTCCTCGACCTGACTGGAAAATGCACCCAGTAGTTGAAGGCTATAGCTGACAAGGGCGGGGTACACGTTCGAGTCGCTACCATGTGTTCGGGCACAGAAGCCCCCATCTTTGCACTCAAGATGTTTCAGGACAGCTTTGCCAAGCTCCACAATGGCAAGCAGCTCATCTCAATCAACCATGTCTTCAGCGTCGAAATCGAGCCGTTCAAGCAAGCCTATATCCGCCGGAACACAACGGGAAGCACCGTCTTTCGCGACGTGACAGACTTTGTGAACCCGAAAGACGATCAAGCGTATGTCATTGCCCTTGTCATTGCCCTTGTGTTGTATACAATCATTTGGCTAACTAGTTTTCTAGGCCGACCGCCATGGGCGGCTTGGAAGCAATTCCCGGCAACATCGACATTGTTGCAGGTTGCTCCTGTGTCGATTTTTCTACACTCAACAACAAGAAACTGAAGGACATGGGTGTAAAAGTTGACGACCCGACGTCCACGGAGCAGGTCAAGTCCTGGTTCAAGAAAGCCTCCGAGAAAATCAATTCCGGCAACTCTGGAATGGCTCAGTCCCAGCTCACCTTCTTCTCCATGCTCAATTATGCGAATGATCGACGGCCTAAGGTCGTGATCTTGGAGAATGTGATGAGTGCACCCTGGGAAGAAATTTGCGATGTGTGGTTCAACGAGGTAATCAACTATGCCGCTACTTCCACGAAACTAGACACAAAGGACTTCTACATCCCGCACACAAGAACCAGAGGCTATCTCATCACTGTTGATCGCTACCATTTCGGAGACAAATCGGACGAAATAGTTCGCCATTGGAAACAGACAATTTGCCAGCTCGAGCGAAAAGCCTCCTCTCCCCTCACGGATTGGGTACTCCCGTCGAATCACCCTCTCACCATCCGAGCTCGTCAAGACGATTCCGAGAGAGCGTTGAGACTTCGGGCCCGTGATAGCGACTGGGAACATAGCAAGCTGCGACACGTCCGAGTCCGTCGGGTTGAAAAACTTGGCGATGACCGCCCCCTGCCTGGATGGGGCTCCCACGGGGCAAAGAAGCCGTACGATCGACTCGACCGGCTTGTCGTTGCGTCTCTGGGCGATCGCGCCATGGACTGCATCGAGATCAATTACCTGCGCGGTAAAGTGTCGAAATTCGACTCCCAATACAAGGTGCAGGTTTTTGACCTCAGCCAGAACATCGATCGGAGCGGTTTTAACACCAACCTTGGCCTATCGAACTGCATCCTATCGAACTGCATCACGCCAAGAGGACAGATCTTTGTCACCGACCAGTGCCGATTGCTCTCGGGGTATGAGGCCCTCGCCATGCAGGGTCTGCCCCTGGACTATCTGGATTTAACAAGAGAGTCGCAAGAGGAGCTGCGGGACCTTGCTGGCAACGCCATGAGAACGACCGTCGCTGGCGCAGCTGTCATGAATATGCTGCTCACCGTCGATGGCTATACGGACAACGCCAGACCATTCTTCAAATTGATTGACAACACAGGAAGCCAACAATGCGACTCCCACTTCTCTAACCCGCAAGCCGATCTTTACGGACATCACGACTTCAGCACCACAAAGAAGCCCTCGACAGATATGCAGTCCCTCCTGAAGCTCGCGCAAAGCTGCCGACGGTATTGCTACTGCAGCGGAGCCGCAAAGTATAGCACGGAATGCTTCAAGAAGTGTCGTGTTTGCGGCACGATCCGCTGTTTCTGGTGTGCTGGTAATCCTGTCCATGAATATCATGCGTTCACCAGACCTGAGTCTGTTCCGCTCGATTCTGTGAGCTACAGAATCATGGGATTTGTCCCCAGTGTCATCAAGAATGTCGTCGTTCGCGACTCCTTTGCGTCAGGAGACTCTCAGTTTACTAGCACGCTCGCCGCAATTCCCGAGCTTATTGAGGCTCTCTGCAGTGCGACCTTCTACTATAAGCAGGTCCTTGTCACCGAGCAGATAATAATCTGGTATTCTGCTGAAGACCCCGACGCTAGCTTTGCACTCCGGGGCGTGATCTCGGATCAAGGCATATCGTGGTACCTTTCCCTGGCATCTTGGTGTTCGCTCGCAGACAGCGTCGTTGGAAACTCTGGACGCAAGCTGGATCGAGAAGATCTAGAGCGACCCTTTGCCCGGTTCGTACTGGCCCAGAATGATGCAAGGCTAGTCCCCATTCGTGTCTCGTGGGCCATGTGGAATTTCGATCCAGTCTCTGAATCTGAGTGTTTTTCGTTCCACAGACAACAGCTTGCACCTTGAGAGAGTGGTAGAACACAGTGTATCTCATCTCCCAGAGCCTATACAACACGACGTGGAGTCTCTTTTCGGGGTTTACCAGCACCAGCCAGGCTGCGACTCATCTCGAGACAGCCTTCATTTCTGTGAAGACAAGGGCCTCTACCTCTTCGAGGATCCGTCGAAAACCCTAGCGGCCGATCATGACTTATATGTCATCTCTCGAGAATGCAGGGCTTTGGAGACCTACGAGCACCGTGGGCTACTGGTCAAATTCCCGAAATTTTGGGATCACAAGACTATAAGTGCCACGGGCCATTGGCTCAAGGCGGGGCCCAATGACAGAAACACGCTCTGCTTCACTGAACAGGAGCCCTTCAAGGATGTGGAACGGCTTTGTATTTCTCGTGACGCCGTCAACTCCTGCAGCGAAGCACTGCCTGCTGCGGTGCGCTCTGAAGGCGGCCATCGGGGTCAAGTCCTTGCCAGATTTGACGCTATTAGGCACAGCCATGGTGACAAGCAATTGGTCTTGTCTAAGTACGGTTTTGCCGACAACCAGACAGACCACCGTCCTGCTGGTTGGGTCGATGTAGCGAAGGCGGACCTGGCGCCACTGATTGAATACTTGTCACCTATGAATGTCAAATTGGCTGGCAAGGAATTCTTACGGCTTAAGATCGACCTCCCTAAACTCACCGAATCCTGCTCAACTTGCTCCCCGCCTATACCAAAAGTTCACTGGATCGCGATCAAGGCGGATAAGCGAGTACCTCACACGGTATACCAGGAGATGACGGCTTATGAGAATCAGCTGAGACAACGCCCGCCTGTCTTCCAAGTCCAGATCAAAAAAGCAGACACCTCCAAGGTCCATGGCAACAGCGACATTGACCCAACAGGAGGTCAAATGAGCAAGCTCAGTTTGCAATACATCTTGAACGGAGATGAACTTGGACATCAAGCATCGTCCTATCTACTGCAAGGTGGTGCTGCGACCTTGCAAAAGTCCACTACATCTGATATCGAAATGATTGCTTGGACAGACGTTGCTGCTGCAGATATTCTGTACCATACTTTCAAGTCTTTCAGCGAGTCTCTAATCCCTCTCGACCGCATGGAGAATGTCTTGCCACTGATACAAGCAACGGCAGGGTTCAATGGTAAGCTGCTAGGCAATCAACAACGATCGTTGTCTTGGATGCTCCAACGAGAGACAAGTGGCCTTCACTTTCAGGAGCGCGAGATAGAAGAGGTTCTTGTACCCGAATTGAAGCTACGCTTCGCTGGCCGAGCTACGCGACAGGTCTGTCGTCGTGGCGGCGTACTTGCCGACGACCCAGGCTACGGTAAAACAGTGGTCACCCTCGCGCTGATCGCGGCCCAGAGAAAATTCGACGAGAACGGTTTGATCAAGACTCGAAGCACTGACGAGGGCCTCGCATGTTACCCCCTTAACGGCTCTCTCATTGTCGTACCAGGGCACTTGACAGCGCAGTGGAGTGCTGAAGCTAAGCATTTCCTTCAACTTGAAGACCATGACGTCCTCGTCATTCAGAGTTGCAAGGATCTGATGGGTACTCCGAAAGCCTTGTTGCAGAAATTCGAGACAGCCAAGATCATCATCGTGAGCACCGAGATTCTGGCTGGAAAGGGCGGCGACGGCTACTATGATGCTCTTGCGAAATGGGCAGGCGCTATGCAGCCACCTGATCGATCAGCTGCCCAACAGCGTCCATTCCGGGATTGGTACGAGGACGCAGTCCTTGACGTGCGAAAGCATGCTGTACCCCTTCTATCGACCCTTGATGCGGATAATCGAGTCAATATCGGCGATGAGCTCCGCAAGATCGCCAATCGCCGTGACATTCGCAGAAAAGAGTACTTCGCCGCTGTTGGTGACTACCAAAAAAGAGAGACGAGAGAGAACCTAGCACCGGCTGACATGGGCGACGTCAAGGAGAAAGGCCTACATACTAAAGAGAAGGAGTCCGGCTTTTGGGCACAACTTGACCGGCAGGAAATCCTCAAGGGCAGAACCATTTTCCCACTTGAAGCCTTCAGCTTTGCGAGAGTCGTCTATGACGAATTTTCGTACAGCAACGGCTACGTAGGATTGTTCGTCAGAAACTGCAGCACTTACGCAAAATGGGTTCTTTCTGCGACACCGCCGACGCAGAAACTTGGCGACATTTGCGTCATTGGCGACATATTGAACGTACATGTTGCCCGACCGATTGAAGCACGAATCGGTCTCCCGCGGATAACGGAGGGCCCAAAGTTGCCTGATCGTACCAATGGGGAGATGCAGCTGACGCATGGAAAGCTGCAATCCGACCAGAGTGTGAGAGAGCGGCAGGACCAGGGGCATATGTTTCTGAAGCACTTTGCCAGCGCTAACCCCCTCGACGACTGCACCTATACCAAAGGACTTCAAGTCGAGGAGCATGTTGTCGTTTCGAACATGGACCCTGAAGAGACTATCCATTACCTGGACCTCCAACAGGACTTGCATCATTGTGGCCTGGATGTTGACAAGTTGCGCCGTGAATCGATGGCGCTGCTACCTGTGACACGGAGTTGGCAAGGAACGAACGGCAGGCTTCTCGCTGGGCAGAATCTATGCCTCCGTGCTTCACTGCGGCCCGCCCAAACTTCAGCAGGCGTGGGAGTACGGGGCTTTCGTCACGCTCTTTTAGTCGCAGCGCAGAACTATTTGAGGATCGTGGCGGAGAAGGCGCTTTGGCTTGTCCAACGCATGGTCAGCATAAGTGAAGAGACCGTGTCAGATTCGGCGAAGAATTCGGTCACCGACATTTACATCATGTTCCGAAAGCTCTGGGCCAAGGACGTCAGCTTCTTTGGTGGAGCCGATGCCTACGACGCGGTCTTCGAGGCCATTATTCCGACTGGATTCACGATTCCACCTCTTCCAGGCCCCGAGGTCGGAGACAAGCCCTCGAGCGGCGAAGTGAAGAGTCTGCGGGACTTGGAAGCGGAAAGACATTATTCTTTCGCAGCTTATTTCGCGCTAGCCAAGGATGACGTTACTCTTCTGGACGACACAGAGGTTCAGGCCCTTGTGCAAGACCTCAAGGGTCGGTCGCCTCAACTGAAAGAACGGCCAGCGGAATCGGATGCGTCGCCAACCGGCCTGTTCCCACGCCAGCAGCTGGAGGAATACATTGAGGAGAATATCCTGCAGAAGGAATACGAACGGGCGGAAGAGACGACCCGTGCCCCTACGCCAACGTTCCAGGAAAATCTCACTAACTCATCCGACTACACTGGCAATAAAGATCCTCTATTAGACCTGTGCCGCCGGCGAGGTGTCAAAAGCAACTCAGCGGACAAGAAGGACATCGTGGTCCAACGTCTGAAGGATTACGACTCGGGGGACCTCCAGCCTCAGGACTACGCTGCGGCTGCTTTCTGTAAGCTTGAGCGAGCCCTGTACCCTCGCAAAGATCAAACGGTCAAAGTGCGTGGTGGAACCTTCACTCGCACACAGAGTGCCGTGCATAACGCCGCTCTTGCGATGTAAACCGCCCTTGACCATTTCATCTGCCTAAGAAAGCAGTTGACCGTTGTCGAGAGTCTATTGGCGCCGAAGGAGAAACGAAGCTGTTATGCCTGTGGCTAGAACACCTCGAATCTGCATTTGGTCCCCGAGTGCGGACACCTTCTGTGCGCGGAGCACTTTGATGGAACGAGCTGCGGCGACGTTGCGTCCAAGATAGATGGTCTGAAGAGTGGATGCCCCTCGGAGCTTGCCGGCAAGACCATACCCATGTCGAAATTTGACGGCGATGAACGCACCATCACTTGGGGCGCGACCTCCCCCAATGGCGCGCTCGCTGGCACTGCTACAAGCTTGACGGGCAGCCATGCTCATCTAAGCTCCAAGTCCGTCATGATAGTCGATGTTATCAAGCAGGTGCCAAAAGATGACTGCGTCCTCGTGTTCTCGCAACACGACGAACAGCTCGAGGAGCTCAAGCTTGCCATGGATGCGAACGGGATATCGTTCGTGATGGGCAAGGAGGCTGCGACGTTCGCTCCAAAGAAGAAGGCGTTTACGGAATCGGCCATGGCTGAGATCTCAATTACTGCGAAGGCGTCAGCCTCTGCTCCGGTCTCGCCCAACCCGAACCCGAACAAGAAGGAAAGAAGTAGCCCCGACTACTACACCCCCGAGGACAACTCTTCTGAGGTTTCTGCCCGTCGCAAGTTGCGCAGAGTTGGCGACGATGCGGCCAGTTCATCCGCAATGCTTATTGCTAATCAAGCCCCGGTTCCCGAGGCTTCTGGCCTTACCAGCTCTGGATCATCCGCTACCAGAGCGACTCGACCGAGAACTGCGAGGGCGAACCAAACACGCAATGTCCAGCAGTATACACCTGCGCCGAAGAGGCCTGCATCTTATGATCCGAAGAATCCTCCCCCTAAGGACGAGCCACATCCGATTTCCACAACACACATACTGCCCTAGGAAGGCATTGAGAGTGTTCAGAAGACAAGCTGCGGGAACTTTGCGATGAACGAGGACTAAATGCCCTGGGTTCTGTTGGTGAACTGAGAGATCGTCTCAGGGCCTGGACGGACAAACCCACAAGACATCGCTTCTTACGGGCAAACACGATCGGTGGCCGAAGGCGACTTTGGAGGCAATTTGCCGTGGACGTGGTATTCCACACAGCGACACATCCAACAAAGATCTGGTGAAGATTATCTATACGTGGATTAAGCGGAGACAAGAGCATCCGCTGGACGCACACGCTGGACCACCTTCGACAGCACCTTCGACAGCACCTTGGACAGCACCTTGGACAGCTGCTTCGACAGCTGCTTCTAGCACTGATCCTGCTCAGCCTCCCCTCCTCAAGGTTGTTCTACTGAAGCTGAATGATTTGGAGTCGGCAGGCACGAACCTGCAATGGGCGAACCACATGATGTTCGCGAGTACCCTCGTCACAGAAAGCCAAGCAGACAGAGTATGACCAGTTCATGAAGCAAGCCAAAGGACGATGCGTTCGCATTGGACAGGAGAAGACAGTGCAAGTGTACCATTTCGTGACTGCGAACACCATAGAGGTCGATCTGCTCGAACTCAGACAGAAGTCCAAGGTGATAGTTGGCAGGAACGCGGCGATCGGCAAACTGGTGCGGAAGTCTGGTCCGGATAAGGCAGAACAGGCTGGACAACAGGCTGGAGACGAAGACCAGGTGACTTCTGTTCTCAGTGAAGGAGAAGTATGTCGGGTTGTCAATGAGCATAATTGGCTGTCAACCGTCGGGATCGAGTACTGATTGGTGTGCCACTGGATGTTAATGTTATATTTATGTTAGTAGGAAAACTCCCCCGTAATAATCAGCTTTGATGTGATCAGTTATTCTTGATGCTTATTCCACAGTGCTTATTCCATTCGCGAAACATTCACCCTGCACTTGCTGAACGAGGGGTGTACGCAGACTTTTAGAGGTTCAGTGTAGCTATTTCATTCTTTCGCGTTGATCCTCTCTACGTGGATGCAAGCGGGCAAATGGATTCATGCTATTCATGGCGAAATGCGCCATCGGGATACTACAGTACTGATCCCCTGTTCGCGGAGACGTGAATCACCTTCTTCTCAAACCCCTTCTTGTCAAAGTGCCCGCAGTCACTACAGTATGCTAGCACATGCAAGTCTGGCTGTTACTTGACCACAAGAGTTGATCAAGGCATGCCGTACGGATGGGCGGTGATTGTAGCAGCCAAATTGAAGCCATCAACATTGAAGCCGTGAACAAGCTATTGTGTGACGAGATCCACTTGTATAGGCTACCAGAGGGATGTTATATCTTGTTACTGTTCCCCCTAAGTCAGCTGCTAGATACTAACAGCACCGATCCCGTCCGGAACCGCCCGACACACCGACTCCGACCGTACTCCTGCTACGACTATCCACGCTACGCCAGAACACCATAACAACCATTCTGATCCCGTCCTCTGTTCCTCTCACAAAAACCAACAAGAGACGCTCAACGCGGCACACACAAACAAGATGCTCATCCATGCCCTCCCCATCACGCACCCCCAATCCCTAACAGCTGAGCCCCTCACCAGGCCCGCCTTCGCGCCCTTCGGCGACGCCATCAGCAACCCGCGCCCGGACGCGCGGCCCTCCAATACGGACCCCGCCGCTATCGCTAACGGCGCCCTACCGTTCGGCGCCGTGTCTGCGAATCAAGGCACCGCAATCCAGTACCGCGGCCTGGCGGCGGTGAGGGAGTACTATGCGCAGGCCCCGAGCGGGAGGGCTGGGGCCGCGAGGTTGACTATGTTTGTTTGTGGGACGCGGGAGTTGGAGAGTGGTGGTAGTAGTGGTGGTGGGGATGGAAATGGGGATGGAGATGTCGGTAATGGGAAGGGGAAAGGAGAAGCAGGGGGCGAGGCAAAGAAGGACAGCGTCCAAGTCACCATCCTCGAGCGCCACCCCTTCACCAGCCAGACCTTCATCCCGCTCACCGCCGACGCCTCAAAGCGGTACCTCGTCATCGTGGCGCCTAGCCTGCCGCCTGGAGCCACGGATGAAGGTCTGCCCGTGCCTGATGCCGAGGCTGCGCAAGGAGCGACCGAGAAAGCGAACGGCGCCAAGCTGCCTGGGAGGGGTCTACCAAATGTGCGACGCATGCGCGCCTTCGTCGCCACCGGCGAGCAGGCCGTCACGTACGCCGCGGGCACGTGGCACGCGCCCATGATGGCGCTAGGACCCGCGGACTCGACCATCGACTTTTTGGTCGTGCAGTTTGCGAACGACGTGCCGGTGGAAGACTGCCAAGAGGTGGCGCTGGAGAGGCAGGGGAGCGACGAGAGGTCGCGAATCATGGTGCGGGTTCCGGATGCTGAGAGATGGGGGTTGCCGAAGCTATGATGGATGGCGGGGATGTGGTGGCCTGCGTGGCACGGCACAGAGGGAGTGTTAATTATTGCGTTGGGATGGGTGCAAGCACTGAAGGCATCTCGTGGGGTTCTTTAGTCTACTTGATCTATGCTGTTCGTATGCTCATCTATCAAAGCCGCATTCCAACGCCAGGTCGTGTTCTGACAAGCTCGGCGCGTGTATACCATGGTCCAATTCAAAGCTGAACGGTGTGCTATCTATTTATCTAGCGGTTCGTTGAAGTTAAAAAGCTTGCTTGGGTCCCACGTCGACTTCAACTCTCGAAGCTGCGCCAACTGTTCATCTCCGTAGAGCTGCGCAGGAGTTTCGTCGCCGTGACCGTAGCTGACATAGGTCTTGATATCCCCAAACCCACTAGTGGCTGCGAATCTTGCACGAGCGTTGACGGCGAACTCATTGACCATATCATCTAGCGACCTGTCTGTGTATCCGTAATTGAAGATCCTGTTCATAGGACACGGTTAGTCAATAGCAGGAGAGAAACCACAGTGGAGTTACACATACAGGTGTCCGTTGATGTCACGGTGCGGATACGCCGTGCTGTTGTCTGGCACAGCGCGAGCAGCCTGCATTGGGAAGGCTTCAAGATAAAACACGGTGTCGCGGAGTCGGGGTAAGTTGCGTAGAGTTCGGTCAGGTTTGACAGAAAGCTCTGGAATAAAGCAAAATCGTAATTTTTGAGACCCAGCCCGTAAACATTCTTCAGCGTGTCCTTCGAGCAAGGGGCGGACGTAGGCACAGCCCCAAAGAAGGTACTGGAAAGGAGGTCCCGATAGGCAACCATAGAGATATTATATTGTATGGGACCAGCGTCGACTAATGGTCCGACAAGTGGCGTGCCATCGTCCAGTGGGCCGAAATACACGGCGTTGACAACTGCGTATGCCTAATAACCCTGTCAGCACTACGCCTCAAGCTTCACAACGTAGGTCTATATGAGTAGAACTCACACCGCCAAGGCTATCTTTGTAGCCCACATGAAATATCAGGGACAGTTCAGCTGGAATAGCCGTTTCCATGGATTTGAAGTAGTCGAGCACGGCTGCTGTCTCATTGATCGAAAAGAGAAAGTCCGCGTTCATGACCTCACCTCCCTTGGAAAGGTCATACACCTGGTACGTCGCGGAAACGATGATGCCGAAATCGAAACCCGCGCCTCGGATTCCCCAGAATAAGTCGCTGTTCTCCGTCGTGGAGGCTACTACCGCTTCGCCCGAGGCCGTGACGATGCGAACGCTCAACAGGGCATCGATGACGAGACCATGCAGCCCGTTCAACCTCCCGATATCGCCGCCCAGGGTCGAGCTGATTAGACCGATGCGTCCTTCTGATCCCGTCTCTTCTGGTGCGGTGCACACTGTGGCAGTACCCTCGATGCAGTCCAGATCTGGCAGACTGATGCTAACATCGGAGAAGTACGGATGTCTAAGACAATCCGAGATGGGTGATTAGCTTTCGACTGTCTTCCCGGTGCCAGCAGGTTTCCAATGGATTGAAGAAAACTCACGGAAAAGTCTGGTTCCCTTGCTCGCACACCCAAGCTTGACTGATATTAACTTGGTTCGCTGCAGAGTCATACTGGAATGACGTCTTCGCATTGACTGCGTCTTCGGCTGGCTCACAGTCGTTCCACATTAAGCTGTCGGGGTCCTGTAGGTACGGCGTTGCACATGACATCGAAGCACCGTTCACGACATCATCAAGCTGAAAGCGCGCCAGTGCTCCCTCCCCAGATGATATAGTCGTCTTGTTGAACTGAAAGTTCGAGATCTGGTATTCGGGTTGCATGAAGGATGGATTGGTGCATGGGCTCGAGTTAACGACAGCTAACACCGCATTGTGCCGGCTGTAAACATCGTGGGGTCTCTGGTATTGTCCTTTGCCGATATAATTTTCCGATTCAACCAACTTGTATCCCCGTGCTATGCCTTTCCTGGTCAAGGAGTCTGTCGCAGGGTCGGCTCGTCCTAGTAGAGCGGCTGGGACGCAATGAGGCATGCATGTAGGAGAAGCTTCATTATCGATTGCGTACTGCCGATTCCGCAGTGAATTTCCACGAATTGGTTCAGCTGTGATGTAGTTGGAAGAGCGAAAATCGAGGAGCCGACTACCCATCATCTCAAAGGAACAGGTTTGATCGGAATATGAGAATGACACTCCTTTATGTACCCGTAGACAGCTTAATCGAGCCAGTGTGGACGGGCACGTGCTGACGAAGAGCGCCACAGCTGCAGACAATGCATGACCGAGATGAAGACGCCGGCGAAGGCGACCTATATACGCATCTTACAGGCCAGGTGTCATGCAAGAGGTCATATTTATCATATGACACCGAGTTGAACGTGAACCCCGCACAATATTGGCATCAAACTCAATGCAACGACACCGCAGCGGTAAACTATCGATATACGAGCTGTGCAGGTCGGCCGCTTTGGTTGAGCGCCTGCCGTTTGCGGTTCCGGGAGAATAGACCGACGTAGGATCAAGGCTGAATTGGCGTTACATAGTGGACATGCCAGTGACCGGGTGTGTGCAAGGGCAATCCAGTAAGGTCTCCCCCGTGGGCGAAAAGGGAAAGGTAAAGGAAAAGGGTAGAACTTTGGCATCATCCAGTCCTTGCTGTCTTGTGAGCAGGTCGAGCTTTGGCTTGGAGTCGTTGCGATTGAGCTTGGGTCGGGATCCTGTCATTTCAGATGATATAGGGCGCTACGCATTCGGTTCTGGCGTCGTTGCGACCCTGGAGGGCGTGGCAGGCTTGAAATCAACAAGTTCGTGATTGATTTGATGAAAAGACGATAGAGGTTCTGGCAAGGGCGGGCCGGGAGCGTTACGCATCAGAGAACTATATGATGCTGGGGAAGGGTATTGGGCGAAGGTTTCGGAAGGGGTTCGGGCATATTGTGCCAGCTTCACGATAAACCACCTCTGGCACCAAAGATGATTCGGCATGTTCCAAGGACAACGGTGGTGTTAAAGGGAGGTTCGTATGGCTCGACGAGCCATGTGGACCAGAGCATAGCGACGGTATCTGAACCTTGGTGGACTCCAAGAGTGACAAATCCGACTTCGTTGCCAACTTGGACGGGACAACGGACATGCAGATGGAGAAGCCTGCACATCGAAACCGGCCTCTTCGGCGTTGGAGGTCTTGGGGCTCCCAAAGACACCATCAAGCCAGCTTCGGTCAGATCAGGTTTCTCCATGCTTCTACTGGCAACAGCATGTTCGCTGTGTCTTCAATAGGACAATACTCTCGGAACGTCACGCCAATAAGATGCCGTTCTCGCAGTATATAGGCATCGGCCTGTTACCCCAGACTGGAGGATCATATACCCGGTGGACCCGGCTCGCAAAGATCTGCTATGTTGTGGCGGGTATGGTTTTGTGGCCTTGGCCATGCGCTGCATGCCAGGGAGAGACGGCCGCTTTGTTCCAGTCAAGGGCCCATCATCGGGTTCCCCCGTATATCCCTCGATGAATCTCTGGGCTATAGCGCATGGCGGATGACTAAGTTGATCAGAGTAATTCCTTGCAAGATGTCTGGTACTCACAGTGCCCAGGTCCTCAAGGATCGTCTTGATCTCGGCGGAACTTGTCACCATGACGCATATCTCCTAGTTCGAATACCCTCCAGAGTCGCTGGCCGAGGCAGGATACCCTGACCCGACACTTCGTATCATCCCAACATTTCACCTGCCGTATTCGTTTTCTGCTTCCTCGTAATCATGTTACTCATCAACATGCTGCCGGTCAGTCAGGTTCTGGGCGGTTGTCACAAGGCCCGGGCGGTACTTGATTCAAACCTACCCAACATCATTGTTGAAATGAAGTCTCTGACATGTTTCGTTGAGAGGCGATGAACCCCTGCCTTTTCGGACTCATCGGTTGCGAGAAATTCGCGACAACTGCAGCTGAGAATCGGGATCTCCGACCCAAAGAGACGGTTAAGACTGGAACGCGGATGATCGCCTTGATACCCATGACACAGAGACTCGCTAATGGTGATTGCAATCGGAGGCTGGGTTGTAATTTTGTGCGAAGCGGGGAGGGCACAGTCATCAAGACAGTGTTGCACGCGTCTTCCTACAGTGCCGGGCGCAAGTGCGAGCGCTTTGACCATCTTGGCAGAGCAGCCCGATGAGAAGGAGGGCTGGTTACGTAATGATACGCAGGGTGGCCCAAGCTTGGGGTGCTTGATACCCGACACTTTGGAACACGCGACAAAACGCCAGGACGCGTCGTCTCAACTACACACAGGCTAAGTTACTGGCCCAGAACACGATCGTGATATGCAGTCAAGTACATCACCAACAGCAAGAATGACAAGCGTGAACTTTCCTACCGACGTCGAGAAGCATGCCGATGCAATCCTTCGAGTTTGCTCATATCATCGACGAGACTTCGACCTCGCGCGGACCCGGCTGTGCTGGAGGCCGAGATGGCGAGCTTGGAGGCTCAGCTGGCTGACACGAGTGGACGTGGCGGCGGCTTTAAGGATTTTGATGAAGAAAACAATGGAATAGGGCCGGGGAATTAAGGTAGTGCTTGCACAATTAATAATACACTTGATTCGTTGCATTTGAACGCTCGATTCTCCCTGAACAAGCTGGTAATGCCTATCGCCATCGTCCGAGGGTTTCTCGACTCTCGGGGTCACGAGCGAGTGATCAACATGTTCAAGAGAATAAACAGCAAACATTGCAACACGTATGAGTCATGGGTACTGTAGTTCTGGACACTGAACTGAGCCGTTTCTTTGTTCCAAGCAAGCTGTGTTTGCTGTGCACCTCGAAGTCGAGATTCGGATGAGAATATTTAAAGCTTCTCTTCTTCCATCTCAAGCTTTGACCTAGGGGAAATGATGTTGTGGAGGTACATTGTGTTCCCCTTGACAAGATGAGCCACGACAATGGGTCACATGCCAGTTTCAAGGGAGCAATGGCTCAATCATCGAGTGAATGTGCTGAAACACGAGGACTACAAATATCTCGATCGTGGTAGTAGATGGTCCTCTCTCACAACAGCAACAAACACACTTCATCAACCCAGATTCGTACACATACACATCTACACCTTATAGCCAGCCTCTTCTAACCACATTCACGCCAGCAAGACCTCTACTCGACCGACTCGACCAACCTACCCAAACCATACCACCATCGCCAAGATGTTCTTCCGCACTACCCTTCTTCTCATAACGGCCCCTATCGCTGCCCTGGCCAGTGGCTTCATTGCTACCTGCTAACCCCCGACCCTGATTCCGAATGGCCACGGCTGGTTGATCAAGGCGGACTGCCAGCAGAAGGACCACAGCAAGCACCGCTGCACCATCTTGGACCTGGACAAGTAAGTATCTCCTCCCAGTCTCTTCATCCTTCTCCCCCTTTCCCCTCCATCCTTCTCCCCTTCTCCCCTTCTCTGGTTTTCCCCTCTCCCCCGTGCCCTTACCTCTAGCCCTGGTTATAGCCGCGGCGTCTATTCCAGCCACATACAGACAACTCACTAACGCCTGACAACAACAGCTGTTACGGTGATAACAACAGCGCCGGCCTCGTCGAAGAAAAACAAGGCCACTTCACCTCCAAGTGCAGCGGCTGCATCCTCCAGGGCGACAAGAACCGCGAGCTCCGCTGCTTCTGCCAGACGGACAACGGCGCGGGAGTCATCTCGATGGTCGACATGAACCACCTCGTCGGGAACTCCAACGGCTACCTGCAGTGCTGGGGCATCAACGGCGGCCATACGTGCTGAGGGAGGGAGCTGATGGGTTAGGGGGCCAGGACCAGGCAAGGGCTATATAGCTGCGCAAGATTCGTGCTTATTCGTTTCACGGTGGATTAAGTTAGGAGCGGACGACACGGGAGTCTTTAGCGGATGAATTGATTAAAATTCCACAAAGCTCTGAAGACCGTTGATGCAAGGAGTGTGTTGTGGTGTGAAACCCCGGGTTTCTGGGCGAAACGATATCTGAGAATAATTGCGGCAGTCGATTGTTGACACGTGATCGGATCTGCAACCCCAACCTGTAACCAACAAGCTGAAGCGCCCGCTCCATTGCCAAGAGCACCACGTAGATTACCGTAAGCAAGGTTCCATCCCGGCCCGTGCCTAATGATCCTGCGACGCGCGATCGTGGGGGAGGCTCAAGCTAGCAGCGGTAGTGCTGATCCTACGCTCGGGTTCGGGTATATATAAAGTAGAAGCACCACTCCTGTCATTCCCATCCGGCTTCCTCTTTTTTCCCGTCTTTCTTCTTCCTTCTTTGCTCGATTTCTCCTTCGCGACTCACTGATTTCAAGATGCCATGTAAGCCATACGGAAAGCTGGTCTGAAGAAGATGAAGAAAGATTCAGAATTTGACGCCGTGCTACAAATATGCCATGTTCCGATTCGGCCCCGGGAACGCCAATTTTCTAACCGCCCATACATCCATTCATCCATCCATCCATTGGTGTCGTTCTCCCTGTTTTGAGAACTTTCAACGCCGAGGTATGATCCCAATAGTATGTTGCCCCTAAGACCCTCTAACCTAGCAGCCAGAGAAAATAAAGCTGGAGCTACACCCAACCAGATACTCCGTTACCAACCTCTCCATATGAGTATTGATATTGAAACATTGCCGTGGCATTCAGATTTCTGTCACCTCCCGTTACCCCCTGACCACGTGGCCTGATAGTAGGTCACTCGCGATGCGTGGCGACTCCGATATTCGAATCAAGCATATTCTCACAACTCGGGCGTCTTCCAGGCCGGCTCTTTGCATTCGCCCATCGCTTCTATCCAATCGTTGATCCCTTTTAAGTCCCAACCGCTCTTCCACTTGGCCTTGACATCGTCATCGCCAGGTGGCGTCTTGGGGGCTCCGAGCTTGAAGCTTCTGGAGGTACAGCAAACCTCGTCGTGCCAACGGTACTGGAAACAGGTGCGGTTGCGCTTCTTCTCGTTCATCAAGCTCTTCCAGGTGTCTCGCGCAGTCGCATCGCTTGGAGATGTATCTTCGGCGATCTCGGTGTTGTTAGCGGTCGCCGGATCGCCAGCTCGGCGTGCCATCACTCTACGTCTGTCCCAGTCCTCGTCGTCGGGCACATCTTCTGACGCGCATACCTTGCGACAATTCTCCGACGACTTCCACGCCTCCTTCTCCACTTCGTTCATCTCGTCCTTGTTCTTCTGCCGTTCCCGTGCTTGGCCATCAGCACGCTCCTGCGCTTCCGGGTCGGGATTGATGTAGCACACGTCGTCCGAGAGGTTATCCCAATTTTCACGCATGACCTGCATCTTGGGAGCAATAAGGCCGTGGTACAAGTCCTTGATCATCAAGGTACGCTGTCGAGTCTGTCAGTCCTGATTGAGTACGCATGTCGTCTCTAATCTGATCACCCCTGCTGCTGCCCTGGTCCCTGAGATTGCATCCTGGACAACCTTGATCCACGCAGGACAGGAATGCTTGAAAACGTCACATGGACAAGGAGGTCCACTTACATCGGTTTTCCGGGTCTGCTCGAACTGCCATACGCCGCTGATCTCCTCGGCGTTCATGTGGTGCATGGTGAGGATCGGTTCGCACCAGTGGCCAGGCCCGTAAGGCAGTGTGCTCGGCTTCTCACCATTAATCATGGGCCATGTCTGTCGAACCTGGACGCCTTCGTATTCCTCGAGAGCCAGTGCCAGCATCAGATCACCACAGCATTCATTGGCGCCCCGGACGTTGTACTGTTTGACTACACCTGGATGGTGCTGGATGAGGTGCTTCAACAAGGTACCGCTGATTATATAACCCGAGCCTCCGTGCGCGAAGGAGCTTCCTCCAATGAAACTCCGGCTGCCCAGGTAGATCTTCTCACGCGGGTTGAGGTGTGACCGCTCCCTCAACCAGTGGACGATGTTGGCCCAAAAGACATAGGTGTCGGCCTCGGCGAAGATGTACCAGTCCCGGCCAGGGCGCATTCTCCACGTTTGCTCCATCATGGGCAGGAACTTGTACTTGTCGAGGTTCCACGCCTTCTGGCCATCGGTCTTGGCGTCGACACATGACTTCTGAGAGACTGGACACTCTTTCTGGTCGCGGTACAGGTCAAAGTCGGCATTGTGGGCCTTTGCCGACTCGTCGAACTCGGCTAGAGCATCGTATACGTGGTATGGACCGACCTGTTGCTCCTGTCAAGGGGTTAGCCCTGTCAGGTGTATCATATTCCTCCGAATCGCCTGGTGATGGGGTTCCGTACCATGTCCGAGAAGAGTAGGAAGTCGGGTAGACATGTCAAGGTGGTCAGTAGATGGGTAGGTATTCTGTCATAGACTTCTGTAGCGCCGGTCTTCATGACCAGTAGTATGCCGTCGGTGCCCGGGAAACTTGCGCAGGGATTGCTGGAGTTGTAATACTTGTCGACCAGGCCCTCGGTGTCCTCGGTGTACAGCGTATTGTTGTAGTAGATCGGGCCACTGAAATAACTCGTAACGCTTTCGTAGTAGCCGTGGGCGTATCCAAACGGAGGCTGCCCCCATCGTGAACGAATCTGTACGTAGCTGTACACAAAAGCCAGGACTGCGACGCCGGCGAGGACCCGCACTCGCCGGGAATTCGGTGAGGCGATCATGGTGGTGATGATGGTGATGGCCAGTTCCAGTTCCAGGACCAGACAGCTAGTAGGTCTAGGTCAGGCAGGGCGTCGGCCAGATAGGGCGTCGGCGGGAATGCATTCGAACTGTGGCTGATGGGAATGCTTTCAATGTTGGAAGTTGGAGCTGTGACTGGAAGTTGAGGAATGCGTGCAAACAGACAAGCTACAAGTGACCTACAACCTTGAACACATGGGACGGGAGGGAAATGCGATGTGCTTGCTATCTTATCTACCGTAGGTACCTTACGTGCGCACTTGGTAATAAGAGCGCTAAGGTAGCGAACGGCAGAGAACAGGCAGGTCCTGCCTAGACCAGTGGAACTGAAGAGATGTAAAAGGAGAGCAAACTTGGCCGTGGGAAGTGAGTGAGAAGGGGGTATGCTGAGCGCAGAACCCTACATTGCCATTCGGAGTTCGGAAGGGAGGGTGAGTCCCTGTCAACTGAAGTCCCTGCCAGGGAACTCCCTGCTTTTCAATGGTTTCTCGGAAGATGCCTTTGAGAGACGCTAGCAAACGTCAGTACAGATGCACTACCGCATTATGTATCTCATTATTAGGGTGCTTACACCTCATCGGCCAGATGTCCTGAAGCTTGGTACAACTTACAAGGACAGTCGAGTGACACTCGACCTGGTTGGTACGTCAGACAGAGGGCACACTCGGTGACTCCCGAGGTAGGTTGCGAAATTGGGATTTGGTGTTAGTTACATCCAGTGTAGATGCCTCTAGACCTGAAGCGGTCATCTGTCATCTACATGTCATCTTTCTGGTCGTTAGAGCCGCGGGGCACCAACGGGTGTTGGCGGCGGGCTCGGGGCGAAGTTATTCTCTACCGGCGAATCCAATGATCTACAGTGCCAAGTTCCAGCCTTGAATGGGGGCTTTTGCGGCTGAGACCACCTGGGCACTACCCGTAGTCCCATACTGGGGTTAGTGCCAGGCTCTTGGGCCAGGGACAAATCTCCATTGCGCGTGCTTGTATTGCCCCTTTCCTTCGACTTCGTTTTCTTCGACTTACCACCGCCTCTTCTAATCGACCTGAGACTCTGTCGGCTCTGAGGTCACACATTCATTTCCACTGTGTCGAACAAATCTGGCCAAGTCTTTTGTCAGCTGTATGAGGCCGCCCTACTGCGTCATATTTGTGGTTGCTGACATCTGCTACCAACCTTGGAAGCTTGGCCTGAGACTTACGGAATAAGCTGCCCCCGATGTTATTAACAGGTCGGACAAGCGTACAAGGTTTCAACCGGAATAGGTGCCATTCTGCTCAGACGTGCCGTACGCTAGATAGTCGAGGGACGTATTTCGTATTGATCCTGGAGACCTCTTTCGTGTCGGTATTGATGTCAGTTGAATTGTCAGCATCTCGGATTCCTTGACGAGGCGGGGTGGAGGAACTTTTCTTCAGCTTCAACCCAGCTCGTTGATTGGGCGAGACCTCGACTGCTGCCCAATCACACGCACAGGAGCGCCGGGAGGGACGGGAAGTTTGTACATCATCTTGTCCGGATTTGGCTGTCTAGGATCCCGCTGCTGAGGACATCTGCGATTGGGGCGAAGACGCGAGAGGCGCATTGTTCCATACAGCCGGACTGACCGGCATGCCTGTTTTACCAAATGCAACTCTGACGTGCAGTGTACAGCTCTGCCATCTTTGAAGCACTTAAGCAGGGTTGGACATCTTCAAATATGGCTATCAGACCAACCCCTTGGAAATCAAGCAAGAGTGCCCTGGTTGCGTATCAAACCAATTGCATGTTGGTCATGTTCGAGACATATCTGGAGATTCAAGCTTTCCCATAAGCAGTCAAAGACCAACGTCCTTAACTTCCAAGGTTGGCTAGAAGCATTCCTAACATGAAGCATGGGAAAGTGGCAAGTTGTAATGTGATATGGGAAAACAAGGTTGATGGGCATGCAATGTGATCATATGTAGAGCGGATGACGACCTTCTGAGCAGTGACTGGCGGCAAGTGTCAGTCGCCGTTTTGGCCTGTTTACTAGATATGTATCTATCCAATGAAATGTACGCATTGAGGCGTTAGGCACATAGTCAGCATTATGTGCCTTCTGGCAGGGGCCCACAATACCATGTTACGATGACTAGTATTCTGGATGTTCTGCTTGCTGTCTAGAAGGATGGGAGCTTGTCCCATCCGAAAGGTCTCTTTAGTCTAGATACAGTGCAAACGGTACCTTGTCCCTTGGGCAACAATCCGGCCCAACCGACAAGACACCTGACAGCTGGAATCAGCTGGATCCACAATTATGCCTGGTCTGTGCACGCGATGAAGTGCATAAGCGTGGACAACCAACCTCGTGGATTCCGCAGTGGCCCAAGCTTCTTCACCAGGCAGACCCTGAGCTTTCAGCTAGCTGCCCGCGTAGCTTGACGCGGTGCACCCACCCGAGCTGACAGCTCTCCGATCGCGACTTCGTTACCTCCACTGTCCTGTCACATTGGATACCGACATCTCATCCTGCTTCCATCCCAAGTCACCTTCGCCCGTTGTGACTCAACCTCAACCACCAGAAGTCAATCTCGGTTGATTCAAATACAGCTCCTGCGACGCGACACCCGACCTTTCGTCGCAACCTCAGTGGCGCAATCAGAACCCACCTACCTTCGTCGTCGCCCATTATCACAATGGCAGAGCCAACTCCGACTGATACGTCCACCATGTCCGCCGTCCCGTCTGCCGTCGCCTCAGCCGTCGGGTCCGCTGTAGGCACCCCGCAATCCGTCCCGCCCATGGACCCGGAGGAGCGCGCCAAATCTATCAACGTGTCGCTGGCCGACCTCACTGCCAAGGGAACCGCCCTCTACCAGTCCAAGAAGTACGAAGAGGCGTCCGAGGTCTTTTCACAGGCCACCGAGATGCAGGCCGAGCTCAATGGCGAGCTGGCGCCCGAGAATGCCGATATCCTGTTTCTCTACGGTCGCAGTCTTTTCAAGGTTGGCCAGAGCAACAGCGATGTCTTGGGCGGGAAGGCTCCCGACGAGAAGAAGAAGAATTCGAATGGCGCCACCAACTCCAAAGCAAAGAAGCCGCAAGCCGAATCATCCACTGTCAACGCGCCCGAGGAGAAGACCGAAGCCGAGCAGGTCGCCGAGGAGGGTGTAGCCATTATTGCAAAGAACGCGACTGGCAGTGGAACAAGTGAGGCTGAGACGGATGCCAAGAAGCCGCTCTTCCAGTTCGAGGGTGATGAAAACTGGGAAGAGTCGGATGACGAAGACGAAGTTGAAGGTGATGCCCAGGAAGAGGAAGAGGACGACGATCTCGCTGTTGCATTCGAGATCCTCGATCTCTCGCGCGTCTTATTCGAGAAGCGCCTTGAACAGCTGAATTCCGAAAAGGCGGAAGCTGGGGAGAACGACAAGGTCATTCAGCACATCAAAGAGAGACTCGCTGATACGCATGACCTCCTCGCAGAAATCTCCCTAGAGAATGAGAAGTGAGCCAGCAAACTCACACTTCAGATAAACGAGCAGCTACTGACGTATTAGCAGATTCCCCGCAGCCATCACAGATTGCCGCGCCACCTTGAAGTACAGGAAAGAGCTTTATCCTCAAAAATCGGAACTTGTAGCCGAAGCGCACTTCAAGCTCTCTTTGGCGCTCGAATTCGCGTCTGTGACGACGACCCAGGAAGACCAGGGCGATGCAGGCCCGAAACAGGTTGATGAAGGTCTACGGACCGAGGCAGCTGATGAACTGGAGAGCGCCATCAAGAGTACACAACTCAAGCTGGAGAACAAGGAGGTCGAACTCGCTATGATGCATGTGGTGGAGGACAACGACGTGACGCGCAAGCAGATCGCTGAGGTCAAGGAGCTAATCGCGGACATGGAGCAACGGGTGAGTCTACCACTTTCCCGTCCACTCCTTGTCGGCGCGATTTGAAGTAGATGCTAACCCACAGAAAAGCTCGTTGAACTACGCAAGCCGCCCGTTGACATGAATGATGCTCTCGGCGATGACAATCCCTTGGCCGGAATCTTGGGCAAGGCACTGGGCGAGTCGGCGGCCGAGACGCAAGCGCGCGTCGAGGAAGCCAAAAAGACCGCCAATGACCTGTCTGGTCTGGTGCGCAAGAAGCCCAAGGAGCAAATTGAAGAGTCCAATGGCAAGCGTAAAGCCGAGGATGCTGCTGCGGAAGAAGAGGTCGAGGCGAAGAAGGCCAAAGTGGAGACTGCTACCGAATCGTAGCTGTCTACCTACCTAGGTAGCTGGAAGGTCTGCAGATCCTCAGCATTTCTTGGGATCGACCTCATCGCGACGCGCATGCTTTGGGAAACATTCCAAGCGGTGACCTTTTCCTACTCATCTGGACGGGGTTGGATAAAGTCGGTTCCGCGCATTGGCCACGGGTCATGATCCAGACTATCTCCTTCACACGTCGCTGTTCCTGGCATCACAGGCGGGCGGAGTCCATGTGGGTCTGTATATTACCATGTAAAAGCCATCCTACTAGGTAGGGCACGGTGTTTGGTGGCTGGGTGGCAGTGAGCGGATGGTATGAGAGATGCAGGGTTTCTCCCGAGATGCCTCTCGCTTTCTGAAATCTGGCACAAAGGCGTCGTAGCTAGGTAGCTAGGACTTTGTTGCTTACGATCAATTGACATGCGGCACGTGTATACCCAAGTCTGTGTGATGGTTTCTGTGACAAGTGTGAGTTCTTCCAATTATGGGCTAATGTACCATTCTCCTGGGACGCAATTGAATCGTGAGTGATCGGACATCGCCCTAGCATGTGCCGTCCAGCTGGGCTTGAGAGCTACGAGTGAGCAATTTACTCGACGAAACTGTTCTGCGCAGCATTATCTCGCAGGTATAGTTCATGTCAAATGAGGTTTTCCTTCTATGAAGTCAAACCCCCAATCAAAACCGAAAACTCCTATGCCCCCAAAAACAGCAATAATCGACATGTAAGCCGTAGCACATAACTTGCCTACCCAGGTACCTTGAGTCAACATTGGATACCCTATCAAGGTAGGCAAAATTGATAGTTATCGCATACTCGTACAGGGACTCGACTCCAGTCAGTCTCCAACGACCGTAAGAGGAAAACGACAACATCTCAACGCGATCCCATACCATTTCATTGCGTTGAGGAGACAGCCGAACGTGTAGTGCGATCGGCCTAGCCCAACCCCGATCCACCCCGTCGGACCACCGCCTTGGGTGTGAGTGTTCCACGAAGAGAAGATTCACCTTGATCGTCGTGGTTGTGGTATCGTTGGTACCGCAGCTTGGAACGATCGGGTGATGCAGGAGAAGGGGCCCCGTATAGAGTATCGCTACTAGTGAGGCCGCTTCGAGGATCTCTACCTGATTGAGGAGTTGCCGCCGATGATAGCGCCAATGTTTCCAAGCCTGAATCCTCTGCTGTCCACCGAATACCATTTAAGCCGACAGCTGGCCCTGCTCCAATGAAAGATCCCACCCGTCTCGAACCTGGCAGATTGGCCTCCTATGACAAATCACGACCGGTCGATATGCCCGCAGCGGGGGCAGACGCCTTGCCTTTGCCCTTCGCGGCTGCCGATGGCGGGGCGTTGTTCCAGGACAGGTAGGTGTGGTCACCAAGTTTCCGGGGCTTGATGAGATTGGTGATCAGGAAGAGGAGCGCCAGGGCGATGCAGAATCCGCCGACTACCAGCCATAGTATGCCCAGAAAGTTGTTCTTGCCGCCCATAGGAGACAGTGTCGTGATGACGATACTCTTCTTGCCCTGGTACACGTCGGTTCGGAAGTCTAGTTCATCATGTCAGTGATACTTGGTGAGACAGTACAGAAGGTAACTCACTGTCGGTGATGTTGAGGGCATATGTGCCCGCCTGCAAAGTATCGCCATCGTTCCTCATGTATAGCTTGCTGAAGGTCGGCAAGCCAGCCGTCCTCATCCATACTATGAAGTGTTCGTCTTCCTTCAAGTTCGGCGGTGGGTTGTCGTCATTGTACCTGCCGTTGGGGTATCGTATCTGCCAGTCCGGGGGCGGGACAATGTTACTGTAATCCGTGCTCTTCCTCGGCCCATACAAGTCCTTGTCTGATGACCAAGCAATGCCCGTCTCTTTCATCTCGTACGCCCGCACGTCTTCATCACCGCTGACACCTAAGCGCACGGGATGACCTATCGTGTCGTTGAACAGTGAATTGGCGATCAAGCCACAGGGGTAGATTGCTGTGCCATTCAGAAGGTCCAGAGGATCGCAAGGCGAGTCATCGACCTGGGAGGTGCTGACATCATCGCCCAGTAGCTGCTTGTCGTAGTATGATGCTACGTAGCGACGGTGGTTCTGGTAGAAGTTCTCAAGGCGGTAGTAGAGCAGGACCGGCGCAGGCATGTTTTCCGGTACGACAAATTGAAGGGTGCAGTTTATCAAGTTAGGGACCACATGGGTCCCGTTTCCAAAGGTGGAATTGATGTTTTCGGTGCGTTGCCACTGGGCCGTAACATTGCTATTGTCGTTGAAACCAGGGAATACGGTATCGGAAGGCATCAGCGCGAGCTGGTCGGTGGGAGCATCTCGGAAGCAGTTCGTGTAGTCGATCCGCAGTTCTTTAACCTGACCAGGGAGTGGTTAGCATTGACACAACAGATGCAACGTCTATGGTCCGTACCGTCGAGCTGGCATAGATTAGCAGACCCCCAATGGGCGCTGTGATGATACCTATCACGAAGAAGAGCGGAATGACGGTCTTTGGGGTGAGGATTGGCTGCCATGCTTTCAGACGTTGCTGGCGGAACGCTGTGTTCGCGGGGCGTCGGCTCTTCTTCTTGTCCTTGGATTGGTCGATGCTCTCGGGCGGCGAAGTGTCGTCCATCTTGCGAGTGTTGAGATGGCGCGCGGGTAGATTCGTGGGAGGTGGAAACTGCAAGTTGCAGGTTAGTTGTCGACGGTCGTTGTGCTGGCCCGAAAGAGCCGCGGGTCGCACGGGAGGCCCGAACTAGAGTGGATCTCGAATCTCTGGGTGCGAATGTTTATCTCTACCGGGTTCGGCGGAGGGTGTGCTCCCTCAAGTGAAGCATGCAAATCGTTCCCTTATTGTGGCAGCGATTCAAGTGATGCCAGGGCGACGTGTACTGGGCCAGTGAGGTAGGTGGCAGGTGGCAGGTGGCAGGTGGTGAATGAGTGACGGGAATGATGCGACGGCACGGGGTTTAGCTGAAGACAGTTGATCCCCAGGGCTGCCAGGCCGGTGCGTCAGCCCGTATTCCAAATTTGTGGCTGTAACGCAACCTCCAGCTCAGCCACACAGGCCACTGAGGCTTGGCATCAAACCCCCACGACCCGTGACTTGGGCTTCTATACTCAACATCACATCGTCAATCATCACATTGCCTATAGCACCAAGCTGAGAACAAGGACTGGAATCTGAAGGTTCCTGAAGCAATTAAGGCTTTGAACAACATATACGTGGAGAAGACTGGATACACTCCCTTTGAGATACTGTGGGCATCTTGCACGAGGAGTCTATGAGAAAGAGAACACACAATGCGGATGCCACACTTCGCCATGCCTTGAGTCGTTTTCATTCAAGTTGCCACAAGATATAGATGCAGGAAGATCTGGTGGCCTAGCAGGTCGGTCGCCTAAAGCACTATTAATAAGACGCGAGGATTAAGCATGTGAACGAGTGACATCTGCCCCCAATCCTCTACCCTCGCAAACCTTGCGTACTTAAGACCTCCTTTTCCACCTTCGTCCTTCGACCTCCTACGAATCTAACACCCCCATTTATTAGCATGGGTGGCATTAGCCTCGTTATTGCGAATGGCAGCTGCTAGGCAAACGTTAACGTAGCTCACCTTAACGAGTACACCCCGTGTAAGAATGCGGCCGGCAGCAAGACGTCCGTACCAAACACCAGGCAAACAAGCTCCCATAAACCTCAAGGCTGTAAACTACTGTAGCAATGATAATTCTATCAGGTCATCCGGAAAGCAAAACCCAAATGGAATGTCTAGGAATGAGAATATAAAAATAAGAAAAATATAATCCCAAGTTCAGTGGCACGGTGTTGATAGGAAGATTAACTTACTAGGTTTTTCTGTGGGGGGCGAAAGCAAAGAAAGCAAGGCGATGCGAGCGAGAGCGAGAAAGCAGCCACCTGAGACCAAGTTAGCAAGTTCTCTACCAGATCGATCGCAGCTGTGATTGGTAAGTGCTTGGTGGCGGGTTTTTTTTTTGTGCTGTCGAACCGTTAGTCTATCGAGCGCAGCGAGGTGGAATCAAGATACCACCACGCCACTGAACCTGAACTTTGGGATCGGATTGGAATTCCAATCGATGGAAGAACGGCGAGGTATGGGCATACATATGGGCTGTAGCGCCGCCGACGGTGACCTGGCAACGAGCAACTGAAGCACCAGCTGTCACCGCCCTCGTGCACACGGAATAAGGAAAAACTTCATCCGGAATTTCTCTTCACTGCACCATGATGAATTTGTCTCGCTCTCTGCCATTGGCCCTTTCGCCCTTGTTGAGCACGGGATAAGGAACCAACTTCTTCCGGAATTTCTCGTCATTGCACCACAATCAAACTTTGATGGTTTTGCGTTCTCTGCCCTTCGCCCCTCCACGCTCACCCTCTTCAGATGGATACTGGACGCTCCCGACTGCAGCAACGCCTACCCAAGAACCACGTACCTCAGTCTCTCATTAATATTAACGGTACACGTAGATCTATCGGCCTTGAAGCATCTCCCAGCCACCAGCAAAACAGTCGAGCCATGTGCCCCTGATAACAGCCATCTATGTTGCTTCCACCCTTCATATTCTCCGGCTAGGAAATTCATGGCAACTCAATCAATCTAGGCTCCTTGGGAACATTGCATATCCTATTCTCAACCGACTACTCAAGAACCCACCGTATGCTTTAATCCGACCAAGCATGTGCTGCGCTGGACTCGTTTCGTTCAGTCCGTCATGAAGAATAGGTACGTCTCGGGAGACTGTGCTGCCATGCTACCATGCTACCACGGCGGTTGTGTTTCTTGGTGTTGAAGTGCATCAACTTGCAGCTGTGTACACCACATTATGTTCAACCCATCCTTTCCAGAATCTCCCATGGAAGCTAACAGCTCAATAGCACCATCCTCCGTTGCCACGGCCGTCCCTTTGTTTGCGATCTGAAGCGCCACTCTATAACCCCTAGCAGAGCTCTTTGATTTCCTGGTTCTAGCAGAGCGGAAGATTGCACGGTAATGTGCAATCGCCAAGCTATAGTCAGCAACACGAACGACACTGCCACGGGTCTGATAGCTGCCAGTGCTGTCCCCTTCAAGTAGTACCGATGTGACAGGCTTCACAGCCACCTCAAGAAGACGAATGCTTCATGGATAATACAGTGTGGGCCAAGAAAGCCACTCTCGCCTGCCGCGCTGTCACAGCGCTTTAGAAGCAGGTGAAGGCGATTGGGGTATGGACAAGAGTGGAATTATGGATCAGATGGGCCCATAGCTGGCACTCTTGGCCAGGCCTGCGGCCACACAATGCAGGCTTTTGCGTCTTTCTGAAGAGTACGAAGATGTTCCGACTGATAAACCCCAGATTCCGGGATCTCAAGGTCAGTGATGCAATTCAGCAAGACAAGCTGCAGGTTGGTTTTCATTGAATTTCCCCTCATCGGGAATCTTCGATTGGATGAATGATATGAAACAGTATTTCCCCTTCCTACATTTGCGACAATCTTCCATTGTCTCCCCTTTCTTCATTTGCCTGCCAAGGTAGATATGGTACAAGCGTTTGTGGCACTGGTGTATGCTTACTTGGACACAATGAGAGCCGCTAAGTCGGCACCTCCCCTACGCCACGGCACTTGTAGACATACCCATTTGTGTTTGGCTTTCTCCGTGTATCTATGTTGGTATTCAAGTATCTACCTACAAGTAACAAGGGACAATGGGGTCACCACGAGTTTTCAGACCGGGTCATAGACGCATCGCATTGGATGAGGCACTATGTGGATCGGACATCTTGCATATAGCATCCAGGGGTATTTGTTACGGAACCGAATCTGCTGATACCTGTCTCTAAGTTGTCATGGATATTAGAAATGCAATCTGCTCATGCTCGTTTCTACCCTAACCCTATCTCCGCCAATCGACTTTGACAATGACACTTGAACCAGGGCACGCATGGAAGAGATCATGAGCAGTGATGTATGAAGACTTTATAGTCTTGTATGTTAGGATAATCTCAGCAGCTTTGCACATTCAGGTACGACATGGCGGCCAACCCAACATCTGATCTTCCTGGGAAGAACTGAAATTTGGACTTTTCCCAGGACCTAGTCGACAAGAAGGTTGGCAGACACTCTCAAGACTGAAAGCTGGGTATTAATGGACATGTTGTTATAGTGGTCAAGTTGACATAGTCCCGGCGAGTGCAGTAAGATCAACCTTTCAATTCAGATGAGCAGCATATACCAAACCGCAGGTTGGGAACACAGGTTCCCTCAATTTCACATGTCTGGCTACTCTTCGCATCTCCGTCCGTACCACCACCAAAATCCTCCATAGCAAACATACCTAGCCTATCTCAGATCTCAATAACGATCCTCCCAACCCCCCTACTAACACAACTCAGCATCCCCTCCCCCTCCCCATCGCCCTCCACGCCCTCCACCAGCGCCGAACCCCTATGCTCGACCCTCCCCTGCCGAAGCGCCACCCTGCACGTCCCACAATTGCCCACTTCGCAACTACTCGCCACCCCGTCGTCGCCAAAGCACCGCCGCAGCACCTCCAGCAGCGTCTCCTCTTCGCCCACCCTCAGGACCCTGCCCCCGCGGTTCGCGACCTCGACCTCGAACGGGTCCCCCGTCGCGTCCGCGGCGAAGGCCTCGAAATGCACCTCGTCGGGTCCGAGCCCGCACCTCTTAGCCTCGCGTGCCGCCTCTTCCATCATGCGCCGCGGCCCACAAACATAAACGTGCGAGTTCCACCCCAGGTCCCCCAAAATCTTGGGGATGTCCATGCGCTCGCCCTTGGACCTATCGTACAGCCGCACCGAGTCGCCCAAACCATCAACGCGCTCGCGGAACGGAACGTCCGCGGTGGACTGGACGCCGTAGTGCAGCGTCGTCTCCCAGTTGATGCGGCTGTACGTCTCCATCATGCCGAGGAAGGCCGTGATGCCGATCCCGCCGACGACGAAGAGGTGGTTGCTGGCCGCGGCCACGGGCTTGACGTCCGTGGTGATGCGGCCGACCTGGATGACGTCGCCTTCCTGCGCCGTCTGGTGCAGGTACGCCGACCCGCCGCGCCCGGGCTCTTCCCGCGCGACGCCCAGCTCGAAGCGGTTCGGACTCCCCGAGACGATCGAGTACGAGCGCAAGAGGCCGTTCGGCAACTTCAGTCGCACGTGCGAGCCCAGCTGTAAGTTAGCCAATGCCCCTTCCCCGCCGGTATCATGCTCGGGCCTCACGGCCTCCAGGACAAAGGACGAGATCCGCGCCGTCTGCGCCTTCTTCTCCACGAGCTTGTACTCGCGCCACCGCTCGGCCTCCTTCGCCTCGCTGCCCGCCGCGCGCTTCTGTCTAGCCTTGAGCTTCGCGACGCGCGTCTCAAACGCCTTCCTGCTCTCATCGCCCATGTCGACAACACCAGCCAGCAGCTCGTTCATCTCAGCATCATCCAGCGTGCGATGCAGATACTCCTGGACCCTCTCGATCGTCCACCTGGGATGCTTGCGCTCCACGAGACGGATCTCGTCGCCCGCCGCCACGCTACCCTCGCGCAGCACGCGGTAGTACCAGCCCGTGCGGCTGGTCTTGTACGTGTTGGGCGCGAAGTTCTTGAGCTGGAACCGGTGGTTCAGCTTGAAGCACGGCTGGCGCGGCAGGGAGACTTGGAGCAGCACGCCGTCCGTGCCGACGGCCACGACGTCCCCGATGCAGACGTTGCGCTCGTTCATGCGCTCCGTCACGAAGTTCTCGCCGAAGCCGCCGGGCTGGAAGCGCGCGGCGGCCTCGGGGAACTCGTCGCGCCAGGTGGGATAGTGGGATGCGCAATCTATAGCTCGTTAGACCGAAGCGCATGACTCATACCGCATCCCCCGTCCCCTCAAGTCGCAAGAGGCAAAAGACAAGAGCAAGAGTAGTAAAAGAACTCACATCCGTGAATTGCCTTGTCCGGTCCACCGTGAAAGGTCAGATCATGTTCATCCGCATCCAGTCCCCCCAGGGAGACGGGGATTCGGCCGTCGCGCAGTTCCTTGTCAATCCCGGACTGGATCTTGAGGCCGGGCATCGCCTTCATCTTACTGGTCCGGATCTCCAGGATCGTATCCCGCTCAAAAGGCGCGTACAAGTCGATGTCGGCCGCCGGCGCCATTGTGTCTGAGAGATCAAAAGGGGAAGAGATTAGCTTGATGTGGGTTGCACGAGAGTTGGAGATGGTCAAATTATAGACTATTCGGAGCGGGTCCGGGCATCACTAAGCAGCCTCCGGCACTTCTTGTTAACAGTCTGAAGATGCGCGTATCTTAAGAAGCATACATGCGAATTACGCAAAGAAGCACGTTCAATGATCGTTCCTCTTGCCATGGACGTATTTTCAATATCCTCTTATCAACACCAGGCGGCATCGCTGGTAGACCTGAGTATGATGGTAGGAACTGAACCATGGCCTCCATGACTCGGCCCTGCTGAGATACGGCACTGAAATCCCACCGGTATCATCAGCCCAAGTTATTCTTCCACTGGATTGCACAGGTCGATGCATATAGGAATCTATATCACCCAGCCCAGTATGTTCAATCTTCAAATTCTTCGATTGGATCTCCATCAAAGTCAGGCAGGCTTCGAATGTCCGTTCTGCCATCCAGAGCTTTGTTCTTGCTTTTTCTCCTCCCTTTGCCCTTCCCTCTTCCTTTGGGCCCCTTTGCAACAGGCGGGGAGTGAACTCTGACACGTGCGCCCGATTCGGCGAGCTTTCCGACGAAGGTCTTTGGCAATACGAAGAGAGGAGCGCTACGCATTGGCTCATCTGAAGAACCCGCCACTGCGATGTTGCTTGACATTGAGTCCGATATTGACGTTGCTTTCGTGGCTGCATGACTTTGACTCAAGAAGTCAGAAGGCACGCTCTCATCTTGTTGCTGCTCGTCACAAGTCGAATGCTCTGTCCCGCACGTAGCCGCAGTCTCTGTTGCATCGCCCAGGCTATCAGAGGTGCCGGTAGTCTCGGATGGTCGAAGTTCCAACGCGGCCTGATGCGCAGCCTCCTTGAAACAGTCCTCTAGCACCTCATCAGTATCGTCGCCTAGGGCTAACCGCATCCATAAGCTGTTGGGATCTTCTGTAGGTTTAGCCCTCTCTGTACGCTGGGCATCTTCCGGTGGCTTGACCTCTTCTGCAGGTTCGACATCGTTTGCAGCATTGGCCTCGGATGCAAGCTGGGCGTCGACTGCTCGCTGGATATCTTCTGCAGGCTGGACCTCTATTGAAAAATTGGTTTCCTCTCGCCGGGGCTCCGGTAGCCTTTGACCGGGATATTCTGGTAAGACTGGACTGCCATACTGTTTAAGGGAGCTGCGCTCAGGGGAACGGTCTGCCTCGCTTGAGATCTCCAGGCTAGGTAACTTCCTCTGCAAGTGAGAGGGTAACTTTGAGATGCTTGAAACCGTGGGAATAACTGATGAACTATCCGTCGCTAGGGGGCTATGCGACTGATTGTTCGGAGCAGTGTCTGGCGAATCCATGATCCAATCTCTCCAGAGCTGGTGCTGTGCCTCTCGAGACGGAGGCACCGGTCTTGCCGGTTGTTCGACTTCCACCTGCATGCTGCTTCGGTCATCTGAGCGCGAAGGTGACCACTGAAGCACCACAAAGTCATCGGCTCGGCGAGGTACTGGCTCATGAATCATCGAAGAGGAGTGAATGACATGAGCTGGCGTCTCAGGTTTTGTCGTAGTGACATGCAGCGCGGTGAAGTCGCTCTGCAGACTCCCACTCTCATGGGAACGTTCGTTATTCTGCGATGCATGTGGCCGGGGGCCGCTGTCGGTTGCTTCTGCTGGATGCTGAGCCTGGGACGAGAATGGACTCGACAATCGGGGTGATATTCTCCAAATAGACTTAGTCAATGGTCGTGGTGCTAGACTGTATTGTCTGCGGCTCGTCTGAGATCCGGTGACAGTGCTCGGCTGGATCTCCTGGCTCCCGATCTGGATTCTCATAGGAGGTTTATGAAAATGCTCAGAGGTTTCTGCTCGACGAGCCTCAAGCAACTCTCGAAGTCTCCCCCCACGGCGTTCCTGCTGGTGACTGATTTTGCTCCATCTAGAACCACCGGCAGCATGGAGTTGGCCAGGGAAGGCTATGTCGATTGGTTGTTGCAAGCTCAGTCCTGCCCAATCCGACTTATCCAGTAGCCGCCTTCTCTTCTCGCGATTGGCAGAAGAGGAGGCATTACTGCGGCTCTGTGACTCCGTCGTCCACTTGCTCTTGGGCAGCGCTACGGGACTGGGGGAACGAGTGTGGCGACTCCTGGTTGAATCGCCCCGACGGTCCAAGTTACGCGCGTACTCGGGCCCTAAGAATGATATCGCGACAGGAGTCTGCTTGACATGTGCATTGGACAGGTTGTTGCGAGCCTTTGCGAAATGCTGTTTCTGCCGAGTGAGTAATTCGTCGCGCTGTCTGCCACGAGAATGGCGGGCCAAGTTGCCTTCGGTCCAATTCATGACGGTGAAGATATCAATGCTGACGAAAAGATACTCGGAGAAGGACGAGTTTATGCATGGCCAGAGATATCAGTACGAGGTGTGAAAGAGAAGAGGACACGGCGGTTTCGCACGCTGGCGGCACTAAACGACATTGCGCCACCTCTTGTTCGCTCTTTCCCTCGAAGCATCCCAAACGCTCCTGCCTGTCAAATGTAACCCAGCGTCGGCGCCCACCTGGCTCGAGGCAGCACGTGGACATGGACTCAATTGGTCAAGAGCACCTAAGACGTCTAGTAGGTACCGCATGAGGTAATTGTGAAATGATACATGTATTTCATAACTGGACCAATTGCGTTGGAAAAGCCACAATGTTCATCCTCAAGCCATCTTACTTCAGGCAAGGAACTGCTCATATAGCAGCCTCCATGCTACCATCCCGCGATCAGGCAGTCTGAACTACCCACGAGGTAGGTAGTAGCTCCGTGGTGTCCTCGATGCTGCGACGCGTCAGAAGGGCTTGTCACCTCCTCGCTGGGGAAGTTGGGGAAAGGGGGGTGCCATCGCGCATCACATAAAATGCAGGTGGCATCGATCCTCAGGAGAGCTTGAGGTCGTACATCAGAGCAAAGTGTAATGCGCGCATGCATGCGGGTCTCAGGGATGGCATGGGCAATCTGCAGAGCACACTGGTGGCCGGTTTTGGCTGGTTGAGGCCCGTGGAAACTCAATTGCAGCTGTCTCCGATAAGCTCCTTGGAGTCCTCTTCCCATCACCCTTCCCATGCTCAAGAAAGACATGGATGCTGTCAGCCCCTTGAACCGAGAAAGACACATGGAATTGCCCAGCTGAGATTTCAATGGCCAATCAGACAGTCGCGATAACACGATTCCCAATCGGACAATCTGTAGCAAAAAGCCATGCCGTCACAGACTCACAGCTGACCCCGCGATCTGGGGGTGCAGGTTGGGGACCATCTTGGGGAGTCGGGACGAATCGTGGATGGAGTTGCGATCTGGGTTTGACGAGTCTTTGATCATGGTTGCAAGCCTGCCACCCAGGCCACCCTGCATTGGGCGGACCGGGAAATATGAGCTAATCAGACACGGTTGATACAGTATGCCTGGATGCGTTACCTGTATCTTTTACTACGGATGCGACTCTAGTGACACACACACACCTGCAGACCTGGCGAGGATGGGGGCAGCCATTTGGCAATTTGTCAACTTAGGTAGTCGGCACCACGAGTTGGGGGTTGACAATACTGTACTTCGCCAGATAATTGGAGTTGAGCACATGTTCTAATATCTTCGACTCGACGAGGACTGAATCCTCGATGGTATGAAAGCGTCAAACAGCCTTCTAGAATGACTCGAAACCGTTGACCGCCCAAGCTGTTGGGCTGGGGCTGGGGCTGGGGCGTTGAAACGTTGAAGGGCTCCGAATCGCGGACCTCGAATTCCCGCCAGGTGCCCACCCCACGCCGGCTTCCCATACCCTGCGCCTTTCGGAGTCGCCTGGTCGAAGATAGGGCGGCAAGTCGGGCAATGGGCGACTAGCCGGACCACGCATTCATAGTTTTGATTCCGAGTCAGTCCGCGACTCAGATCATAATTCCATATCTCGGCCGGGTACAGTCTGAACTGCACTGACTGCTTGGGCCTAGCTGAGGTCCCTTCTGGCTCCAATGTGAACCTGCATGATCCAGCAGGGCGTGGAGCACCTGGATGCGACCTCAAAAGGATCTCTTTATTACGGGCAATATAAAAGAAGGGATGCGGAACCAAGATATGCAGGTAGCTTTATGGGCCCATGCAGACTTGAGGCGCTGCATGGAGCTCTCCAGAAGGCTTGGTCGTCAGCGGTGAATGAGACCTTGGAATCGTCCATCTGAGGCGACTGACTTGCAACTCGAGGCTAGATGTCTCACACATCCAAACTCTGCCACCAGTCATCCTATAATAATAAGCCGAGAGCTGGCTCCTAGAGCTGAGTTGCTGTCAGACCAGGGCAATGGTTCCACGATGCCGGGTCCGTATTCCAGTAACTGGAATTTGGCGGACTGGCTAGTCCAGGCAGACTTGACAGGATTGATACGGATACTGCCTTACACCGTGTGTTTTTGAAGTAGGTAGTTTCGGCCGCAACATAACAGACCAAGGGGAAGACCAACGTGAGCCTTCACTTGCAGTTATTTACCAGGACACCTCTCTCGTGGAACTTCCAGAGGTACACAAGGTGAAGCCGTCAAATTCTATGGTTGTGCCGATAACACGTTGGATGAACATGACTTTCAAGCCAGATGTGTTTGTAGGTACGGTACCTTAGTTACAAAGAGTGAGGCCGTCAATGGAGGCGAAAGTCGGAAAGGAAATACGAGAGCGCTGACTGGTCACCGCCAAAGTCCAAACATGGCAACACCAAGATGAACCCCACCATCCCCACTAATAAGACGTGCCACCGATTGGGCAATCGTCGTGGCAGTCCCGCCATGCACCGCCATGAAGGTCTTGAGCAATGAGGTGTGCGACGTGGGAGACTGCCACGAGGTTCAATATTCAATTGCCAGTGCTATTATGCACTACTGCGCCGCACCCCTGCAGCGTACCTAATGTGCTGGAGTAACTGAATCAAGCCGGGCAGTTATAGGCAGCTCCTTCTTATCTCTCCAGTCGCCAGTCTACCGCTAGTAGCTGGGAGCGAATCCATTCCACAGCTAGAGCACTGCGCCGTCCACTGCGGTCTGCGCCTACCCGACAAATGGGGCACATAAAACCCCCATTGTCCCCGGCCGCCTTCTCGCCGCTCCTACTCACACCTCTGCCTTTTTCTTCCTCCCATCAACAAACACCTGCATCTCTGAACCTCTGATCAGAAGCTGCAATTCTTACCTCCTCCAACCCCTACATACCGAAACACCGAAACACCTCTAAACCGCAACCATGGTAAGCCTCGACGGACCCCCCACTACCCCAGCCAATTACCCCTCACCTTACGAGACGATTTGCTAACAGAATCCTCTCTTCGCAGGCCGAAAGCACAGTTGTCTCGTACACGGAGAACGTGAGCACGACGCGACCGCACATGCCGGCAGAGGGCATCGACGAGGTGCTGTCTGGCGACACGCGCGCAATGGGCTGACTCTTGCCGCAGTTGATGAAGTACATGAAGCTCGACCAGAAGGGAAACGCCATGGCGGAGTACATCTGGATCGATGCCAACGGCCACGTTCGATCTAAGAGCAAGGTACGTAATATTTGCCAATATTTGCCTCGCTGCTATGTCCATCGAATCGCCTTGCTTCTGGTTACACCATTCTCTCATGTCATGCTGGGCCTGCACCTCCCTGCTCGTCCCAGGGACCAACACTAGCCGCCGGATCGCAAACACCCAGGCAGCGTGACTATCTCCGGTCAAACACCCTACGAATCGGTGCTGGGTTGAGCAATTGTTTGTGTCGAGGGCTTCCCTGGTTCTTTGTGTGCTAGGCCTCGCCTAATGGGCGGCTGCTCCGACTGCGAACGAAAAGGGAACGGCCTGCTCCGACTTCGCCCACTTGGCACGACCCACTGCCTCGAACGTTCCGCAAACTGCAAAATACCCCCCAGTCCGTAACGACGCGTCGGCTCTTCTCAACCGGATTCGATGTGGCGCAAGTGGCCATGCATGTGCGCAGCATTACTCGGTCCTGCCCAATGGCATCGAGGATCATCGTCCCGCGAGTCGCGAAGTGCCCCTCGCATATTCGCCGCATAGCCAGCCTGTTGAGCCATTGTCGAGGGAAACAAAAACACTAACACTGCCAATCTGTGTAGACTATCACCAAGGTCCCCAAGGATGGCGTCTTCAAGCCTGAGGACCTACCCGAGTGGAACTTTGACGGTTCATCCACCGAGCAGGCTCCCGGTGACAACTCCGATGTCTACCTGAGACCCGCCGCCGTCTTCCCCGATCCTATGCGCGGCGTCCCCAACATCCTCGTCCTCGCTGAGTGCTGGAACGCCGATGGCACCCCTAACAAATACAACCACCGCCACGAGTGCAACAAGCTTATGAAGATCCACGCCGAGCACGAGCCGTGGTTCGGCCTTGAGCAAGAATACACTCTCTTCGACATGGAAGACAGACCCTATGGCTGGCCAAAGAATGGTTTCCCTGCTCCGCAAGGCCCCTACTACTGCGGTGTCGGTGCCGGCAGGGTTATGTGCAGAGACATCGTCGATGCTCACTACAAGGCTTGCCTGTACGCCGGAATCAAGATCTCCGGCACCAACGCCGAGGTCATGCCCGCCCAGTGGGAGTTCCAGGTCGGCCCTTGCGAGGGTATTGAGATGGGCGACCACCTCTGGATGGCCCGCTTCCTCCTTCACCGCGTCGCTGAGGAGTTTGGCGCCAAGATCTCCGTCCAGCCCAAGCCCATCCCTGGTGACTGGAACGGTGCCGGTCTGCACACCAACTACTCCAGCAAGGAGATGCGTGTTGAGGGTGGCATGAAATACATCGAGGCCGCCATCAAGAAGCTCGAGGGCCGACACATGGAACACATTGCCGTCTACGGTGAAGGTAATGACCTGCGTCTGACCGGTAGACACGAAACTGGATCCATCGACCAGTTCAGCTCCGGCGTTGCTAACCGCGGCGCCTCTATCCGCATTCCCAGAGAAGTGGCCCACAAGGGCTACGGATACTTCGAGGACCGACGGCCGGCTTCCAACGCTGATCCCTATGAGATCACCGGTATTTTCATGTATGTCTTACTTATTCAGTTTCCTTTGGCTGTACTAACTTCTTGCAGGGAGACGATATACGGTAGTGCGAAATAGGAAGTGGAAGAATACCCCCGCGGCAGTCCTTAAGAATGGTTTGCGTGCGATCTAATTACCGCATAAGAAGATAGGCTTCAGAAATGAATTATACGATTATCATGTGATCCATACAAACCTTCATATTTGCTCAGTGTGATTGAGGCCTTCTCATCAAGGAGAGGTGCGAAGGACTGCTGTATGCTGACTAGCAATCAAGTGCCCCACATCAGCCCCTATTCTATGACATGAACAGATCCATTGATGACGGCGGACTATACCCAAGAGTCCGCTGATATGAGGTAGAAAGTAGGTTCTGATGCTCGTGTTGTGCGCATTGTTCAGCAAAATACAATCGTCGCCGACCATCGATAGGTTATCCCCAACCTTTGAACGCTCTCCAGAGTCAGCTTTAAGACGGATGATTGCTTTGAGAACAATCTTGGCGAATTCAGACACAGGTGAACAACCTCCTGGCCACAGGATACTTGTTACCGCTGTATAAACGCGAATCGTGCAGAAGTCTCACGGGGTGTATTATTCTTGTATCACTCTAAGGAGGCGGAGGTTGTTTGGGCCGATCGCAAGGCGGGTGACGAGGTGCGAATTTTGGAGGTAGGAACGTTAGGTAGGTTGCAGGACTTCGACACGTATGCGAGGACTTGAGGGGACGTGAGGACGTCTCCGTCGCGGGGTGTTGCGGCTGGTATGCTCACTGGCGCTGAAGATTGGTCGAGTTGTAGTTGCGATGGTAGTCATGTGGGTGGTTGTTGGAGGTTCGGGGGTGTTGTATTGACAGAGTTCAAGGGGGAGAACGGGGGTGGTGGGAATGGCACTTGGCCTTGGGTGGGTGCTGCTGTGTGGTTGGCCATAATGCAGTCTGTTGAGGTGATGTTGGAGCTATCGTTATCTGCGCTGGTCAGGGACACCGCGTCCTCTTGCGGCTCGGCAGGCTTTGATCGTCTACAATGTCTTCCATGACAATTTCAGTCTGTATGCCGACTACAGGCTCTATAGGGCCATCGCCGCCGGCGGGCTCGTCAGATGGACTCTCGTCCACTTGACCGTCGTCGTCTGAGCCGGAGATGTCGTATAGGAGGTCGTCGCCTTGGCCGAGCAGTGCTAGCTGCTGAGGCTTGCGGACTCGCCGGTCGGCCGGACCATCGGCGTTAGTTACTGGCCAGACTTCGAGGCTGAGAGCTCAGCTCGAGATGCGATGTGGTCGGTATCATAGACGCCCGCGGTAAGCGGTCTAGAATCGCGAACGGGTCGCAAGCCAAAAGTGGCATGCGCGGTGCTCTGCAACGGCACAGCTGAGAGCGTTGTGCCTCGGAATGTGCTCGGCTGCTGCCAAGGCTAGGTGAGGAGAATTTCGCTCGGTTGTCGTGAGAGCGGTGGTGATGGTGTAGGCGTGGGAAGGTAGTAGCGCGCTCTGGTGGTGAGCTTGATGACAACATGTTCGATGTATGGATGTCTAGGTTGTTGGCGTGGTCTCGCTGAGCGCGGAGGAAGACGATGCGCTGTTGCCCGGTCTGGGATCGCGATAGGCAGTGGAGCATGCCTGCTTGCTCGCGCAGTACGCTGTTCACTCGCCTCCTTCCGACCTCCATCAAGCCCTCCCTAAAGGGTCGAGGAAAGGCAACGAAGTCGATGGCGTTTTGTGTCGTGGGGATGGTAGTTGTGTTTGCTGTGTATTCATTCCCTCTGGATTCTGGGCTCGGGAAGCACAAGCCAAGCCGTCCGAGTCAGCCTTTCCAAGAACGCTGTTGAAGATGCGAAGTCCCATGCTATTGCTCGCTGCCGGTATACACCAATATTCGCCGAAGATGCTGCCATATTCGTGGACGTGAAGAGCCAGACGAACAGAGCAGAGGGTGGTGAAAGTCGTCCGCTGGTGAAGGAGAAAAGCACACAAGCAAAGGAGGGGTCTCATCGCTTCAAGCCCCAACCATCACTCAACACAACTCAGCCAAGATGGCAATGGCAAATTGCTAGTGTACCTCAGACAACTCCTATGTTAGTAATAGACACATTACTGGTCCTCCCTTTGCACTCTGCTACGTCTCTCCTGCCGTACCAGGCCACATACATCCCGTGTTATTGATGTAATTCTCACGATTCCTGTTCTGTTGTATTAACCAGTGCGGCGACTCGCCATATGACTGATTTCCCTTGGGTTCAAGTGGCGTTCGCTTTATCCCCAACAGACACCCCGATATCCCTATACCATGACACCAGGTCAGCAACTCGTGAACGTAATGTTGCCAACGTCCTGTAAGAGCACGGCAACGATATCGTATGGCTCTCGCGCCTGTGCAGCCTGACCCAGTCGAGCCTTGGTAGAATAGCCTCCGTACTGAGTTCCGGGCGCACAGCTGGAGCGGTCCCTCTGTCTGATAGGTTGCTGACTGATTCAGGTTTCCTTTCCGCTTCGGGGAGCAGTGGCATGATGTACATGTCGTCGAAGGGAGAAAGCGTATATCCCAGGCTAACTGTCTCATTGTGAATGAGAAGCGAAATTCTGATGCCCGGAGCCATGAATCCGAGGATGTCGAGTCCGAACATGGTACCTGGATCTAACGAATCGGACTGTGAACTTTGTCGTGGTTCGCGCACAGACAAGCATGACCCGGAGGTTGGGTTGTCGTAATATAACCGTTTGATGCAATACGTCGAAGACCTACGCGGGTGCGTATGAACCTTGACACAACTGGGATAGTCATGTGATCTTCCGTTCTGCCCGCATGGCTCGTAGTAGGATTTTAGCCACAGTGGCAGGTTGTACTTCGGCGCTTCTACCCCCTCTCGTAGTGACGGTTCAGCCAGGATAGTCGCAGGCTCAAGATCCAGGGCTGTCTCGAGATGTATAAGGTCATCATAGTTGATGTACGAAACCCCATATTGTAAGAAGTCCAGCGTGTCTAGCAAAAGGCGTTGCGGCGAGATGTCGTAGTCGACATTGATCCGAGAGCCACCTTCAACCACCCCTCGCAGAGCATAGACGTGGTCCCGTACGTCGAAGCAAAGCTGCTTGGAGAACCCTTTCGCAGCAGCGGGCAGTGACCCTTGTTTCTTGATTTCGCGGAAACCGACGATGTTTTGAACGTGCTTCAAGCTAGATACTGTCAGGTCAGAGAACATCCCATCTTTCCTTCTGCAGGCACGTGTCGCACTTAGTACTATAGCAAGGGTGGAGAAGTGGATGACCTGGGTACCAGTTATAAGGCAGGCATGTTGTGCAAGAGCAATTTCCTGTGCCACCCATAGACGGGTCCAATAACTGCTGGCGAAGATTCTCTCAACATCTTCCGCAAACCTCTTGTTGTGTATGAGATGCTTCCGTGCTATGGCTGACGCCTAGCCTGCGTACCAAGGCGTATCCACGTATTTCCTCGACCGTCGAGCAAAATCACTCTTCTCACTCGCATCGCCTAATCATACCAGCACACGACGCGCCTGGCTGAAAATCGCGCCCATCTGGCGGACCTGCTGGTTCTTTCCCTGCGCGTTGCCTTGATTGATGCAGATGGCATCGATCCACAGATTGGCACGACACGTTTGCGAAAATGCAGTATCGCAACAATGGTTCAGGAACCTCAGATGTTGTCCCGTAGCAACACCGTCTTGTCATCGATAACGGCCTTTCGCAGAGGCGTAGGCGGTCCCCAGGCGTACGAGACTGCATCGTACGTGTTATTCGTCTCGTCAGACCTGTCAGGAAACCCATCGGAATAGGCAGACATCTCATCGGCCATCTCATCACCCCCCTCGGTCAACTCATCGGACTCGTCGCCCAACTCATGGGAATTGTCGCGTATCTCATTGTCCCCCTCAGTCACTTCATCGGGCTCGTCGGTCCCCTCATTGGAACTGCCGTACATCCAATAAATGTACCCATCGGGCTTATCATCGGACTCGTCGACCATCTCATCTTCGTCCTTGGCCATCTTGCCGCCATCCTCGGCCACCTCGCCAAGATCGACGGTTCGTAAGGATAGGCGTAAGGTGCCATCTGCACCCCGAGGCAGGACATTGAGCAGTCGGATTGAGCGGGTGGACGGGTCCAACGTGTCCCAGACGTATTCTTGCGGATTCATGTTTGCGAGCGATAGCAGCCGGAAGAAAGACGAGCTATTGACATGAGTTTTAAATGCGTACAGTAATGGTATTTAGGTAGGTACATAGTTGAGCCGTCTTGTCGCTGAGGCTGTGGCGGGGCTGTACAGTGAACACATGACACGTCTGGCTGGACCAGTCACCAGACCGGTCACCATGCCATCCTGAAGGCCTGGGGTTGATGACATGCATGAATTTCCTTGGGGGCCAATTGACACCAAGGGCCGTCCATGTACCTACACCTACATGTAGCCTGTAGGTGCTGTACCTCCTACAGCACCTGCATGTAGGTCCTAGGAGCATGCAGACTTCCTAACCAATTACGAGGCTGTATGTGCCCTCCACAAGATTTCCCATGCCTGGTATCCGCAAGTTGCGGATTCCACAGCTGCGAGCCTCTTGAATAAGGGAACATAAAAAGCGTGACCACATGAAGAACGAAATCCTATAAATCTCCCATCATCTTATGCCCAGTACTCATACTCGGTTTGCTCACTTTCTTCACGATGGATTTTTGGTTTTGCGTCGCCTTTTGACAGCTCAATTGACAGGAAGAAGACCACAGCTATCACCCAATATGCCACCACACTTGGTTGTTGCCGACCTCGGTGAAGACGGAGCCGCTGGACCTTGCCTACCCGGAAACACTACTGAAGATGACGCTTGGTCCGACTCGCGAGCTGCTAACGGCCACCGTGGTGCCGACTACAATCAACTATCCGGCTTCAGGATATCCATGCTTCTGAAGGACGATGGTGATCTTCTCATTGCAAGGCTCAACGGGCTGAGCTCAGAAGCGCGAATGAACTTGGCTCAGTTGACCGAGCAAACTGACACGTTCCTTGACAAGATTGGAAAACCACTACGACACTCCGAGCCTGAAACCTCTTGCTCGAGATCAACTGATCAGGCCTCCTCCCTGAAGCCGAATCTGGAGGGCCCTCATCACAAGTGTCGTCTAACCAGGCACAAGCTGCATGTCCCAAAACTGTCTGTCATCCTTGAAGAGACGCCTGGGTCTCTCTTCGTGTTTGATGGCACCACAACCCCAGTCTTGGATTGGCCACAGTCACCTTCAGAGGGCCAGTTGACACCTCAACCCAAGAACACCAAATGCGACGTCGATAATGCGCAACATCGCCATCTACCACAAGTTCCATTATTCCTGGAAGATGAAAACTATACGGAGTGCGTCACGCAAATCCAGGTCAAGGGATCCGCTTCGGGCAAACCAGCTTCTTCAGCACACGATAGCGGCATCGACGTCGGCTCCTCTTCAGGATTTCTAGTACAGCGACCTGTCCTCCCGTGCGAGCTATACAGCTGGGGCAGCTGTAAGGAGACATTCGATACTGACGACCAGACAAACTGGATAAATCACGTCATCGAGGTTCACCTCCAGGATCGGCTGCCGGCAAAGCTTGATTGCTGGTTCTGCGATACGCGGCACTTCCGCGATAGCACATCAACAACCACTGGCGACCGCTATTGGAACTTTGGAGAGCGTATGCACCATATTCGCGAGCACATCGTTCACGACGGCGGCCAAACTCAATCGGTCAAGCCCGATGCCTACATGGTCGAGCACTTAAGGGCACATGGATTGGTCGACGGTCAAGCCTACAAGAAGGCTACAGAGGCTCAGCAAGCTTGGAAGCAAGGGTTGAGCTCTTCTCGGGAAGGTCCAACAAGCCCTCCCCCCCTCAGACCTCGGACGTGTGTGGGTTGAGGGAGCCAATGGTCCCAGAGCGAGGTGTAATTGATGATGAACGCTTTGGTCATCCTATCTTCCGGCAAGAGACCAGAGAAAGACTAATGAGGCGAATCCAAGTGGCTCTCCATGATCGATTAATGGTTCTCTTGGGAGCTATTCGGGAGGTTCCAAGCCACGAACGCAGCAACCAGGTTGAGCAACCAGACAACATCTCGGGTCTGGAGGTTACCGAGAGACCCAAAGAACCAAGGAAGAGGACAGTCTCTGAAAGGGGGAAAGATCAAAGCGATGACGGAGACAACGACGATGAGGATGAGGATGATCCCGGGAGGCACAAGAGGTCAAAGTCAGGAGAAGAAGCTGCAGAGAAGGCGCATACACTCGTATGCCCGTACTTTGCTAATGATCCTGCGATCTTCTACGAGGGTCCGCTTTGTGTCAAAAGGTGTTGGAACATTGACAGACTCAGGTAGGCGGGCTACGCTTTTATCAGAGTAACTATGTCCTCTGACTGACTTCTGCCAGGGGACACATCTGGCGAAACCACATTCCGGAGTTCCAGTGCACACGTTGTCTGGAAACATTCACCAAAAAAGACAAGCTGGAGCAACACCGGCGTCAGAGTGAGGGTTGCCCGCTGATGCACCGGCTTAGCACCGAGCGGACTGTGCAAGAGAAGCTCAAAGACCGCAAGCTTACCAGCGGCAAGACGGCGCACGAGAGATGGGATAAATATTATGGAATCCTCTTTCCCGACATACCGCAAGCCAAGTATCCCTCGCCCGGTATGTCCAGCCCGCAGGTTCCACGGCCCATGGGAGTATATACTGAGAAGAAACAGATTTCACAGACCACCGAGAGAAGTTCCAATGCGGCCCAATTGAGAGGTACTCCGCCATTGTCGAGCAAACCGCCCTTGAAGACCTGCACACCTACGTCGACAGCCCGGTTCCAATGTATGAGGCTCGCTCCGCCGCCGGAGTGAAGGAGGATATAATCCAAGTTTTGCGTGGAGCTATTCGGAAATCTAAGAACATCTACATCAACACCCAGACACCCGCGCCCTCTGCCGCCGAGCGGGAGAACCTTGCAGAGAGACCAATCGGTGTTGAGGACGTATTCACATCGGAGTGGGCGGATGTCATTGTCCAGGGGTGCAGTCAGAATATTATGGAGGACGAGATACCAGCAGACCTCTACAGAGCTGGCCCTCCTGACTGCCCGTGGCTCCCTGATGCTTCGGAACCCTCTCTTGCGCAGGATTCTGGGTACTGGACACGTTCATCTCATGAGTGTGGGACGTATGGTACAACAGAAGAACAGCTCGACGACCTGGAAAAGATACTGGCTCCTGTTGACAATCATGGTGTAACTGACCCTAAGGGCTTTTGGCATCTGGAGGGAGACCATGATGGGGTTTATGACATGTAGTGCTGTACTTTCTCTCTATACTTGAATAGCTGCATGAGGTCAACATATGGTGTGTTTCCTGCTTATCTGAGTCCTTTCGAGAGACGTGTATCCCGTTATGCTCAAAACGCGATGCCGACCCCCTCGAGTATGCCTAGAACCTACTACACAACAACATCCTCTCGAAATAGCCATAATGATCCACGTCTTTATATTGGATGTCGTGGCAGCCACAGTGGCTTTCAGGGGGTGGCAGTGGAACAGCAAGGCCCTTAAGGCATTTCGGTATGCTGTAATATACTAACAGATTCTTTACCTTTATAATAACTTTTAAAAATTCACTAAGTTTATTAAAATATTACGTTTCTTACTTTATAAATTGTTTGTTGGATCTATGCGATTCCAGCCTGCAAACCATCTATACCAGGACCCACATGTATGATTAGATAAGAGATTAGATACCGGGTTGCAAGGTCACTTAGCTAAACCTTCAGGTCCAGCTAGACCTTTCAATCCAACCATCAGCAACATCATGACCTTGACCCAATACTTGTCACGGCGAGCATACTGAGGAGCTGGGACATGGCCTGCAGCAAGCAGCTATTATTCTATTGACGAGAATATCAAGACTAGAGAGGAAAGGAAGAGAGAGAGAGATAGGTACAGTGGGAGGTTGCCCCTTTAAGGGGATCCTCTGGTCAGATCCTTCCCCTATTGGGAAGTATCCACTTGTCATGTGGGAAGGTCTGTGCAGGCCGTCACAATACTCGAGTATCATAATTGATCGTTCAAGCCTGTTCCAACAAAATATTAAGTTTTAAATACTTTTGAAACAAAAAGATTTGACGCTTCGCTTTGATTTTCCGGATATAACAAATAAAACTTCTAACAAAAACACGAGATTGTAAAGTTTTCTTTATTTATCACTCGTAATACGGATCCTTTCAAAGAAAATTAACTATAAAATATTCGTTAATTAGAAAAGCACTTATTATTCTAGGCTTACAATTATTAAATAATATATAAATAATGGTAGAACAAGCTTGAACGATCAATCATAATACTCGAGTATTGTGTCAAGGTCATAATGTTGCTGATGGTTGGATTGAGAGGTCTAGCTGGACCTGAAGGTCTAGCTAAGTGACCTTGCAACCCGGTATCTAATCTCTTATCTAATCATACATGTGGGTCCTGGTATAGATGGTTTGCAGGCTGGAATTGCATAGATCTAACAAATCATATATTTATTAGAAAAAAAAATCTTTTTAACGGCTTAAAAGATTAATATTTGTAATACAATAAATTCGATAACGTTTTATTCTTATCTTTTTAATATTCATTAACTTTAAAAATAACAATTTTAATCTTTTATTACTACCGTTATAAGCTTTCACTTTTATCAACTTTTATTAGAACGTTATCTTTTATATTATTTCAATAGCTACTAAAAAGAGTCTTCATTTAAATGCAATACAAATTTATAAAGAAGAGAAAAATTATCATACGACATAGAAATTAATAATTATCGACTTAAAAGAATATTTAAATTACGGTAAGGAACTTTAAAAAAGTATATTTTTTATCGAGCAATTAAGTTTATTAATAATCAATTACTTTAGTAAAAACTTAGAAGCTTTCGGTAGGAAATATACGTTAAATAATAATTAAGAAATATAATAAAATTATTTATAAATTATTTACAAAACAAAAAAGCCAGCCGTAACTTTTTAGTATAAATTTTTAAAAATTAAAGCTGATATTTAAACTTAAAGATGTTACGTTTATAATAAAAGATTACGTAAGTAATTTTATAAAAAAGAGACGCATAAAGTATATTAATAATAATTAAAGGGTTTTTAGTTATTTTAAAATTTGTATAAGTTAATTTCAATTATAAGTGTCATGGTCTGGTACAGGTAGTCCATGTAGTGAGTCTTGGAGCCCGGATATGAGTACATGTATCACCATTGAATGTCAAGCTGTCACGCTTGATATTTGACATCCTTTTAGGAGGAACAGCCGTGGCATTATGGTTATGGTGAGCGTTCCGTCACAATAAGTATTTAGAAGCTATTTAAACTCTAGAAGAGTTTAAAAAGCACTATTGCATAAGCTAACTAACTGTAATTTATTAATTTTTTTTAAAAGATTTATGTATTAAAACGCTATTGAATTGTAAATTTTCGTAAGTTGACAAAAAGCAACGGTAAAAACTATTATTAAAAAACATTTAAATCAAGAGAATTGATATTATATTTAGAATAAATAAGCTAAATATTTTGTTTATTATAGATATTTCGTATTAAATATAAATTAGTATATCAAAAAAGCAGAAGCGTTTTTCAATAAAGAAATTTAAATAAAAACGTTAACTTTATAAAGGAAATATTAAAGCTTAAAATAAATATGTTAAAAACTACAAGCAGTATAAAAAGTTTTAAAAGGGTTGAAATTTTAGACTAACGGTTTAAAGAAAGTGAATTATAAAATAATAAAATAATATAAAATGATATAATAAGACATAGTTAACGAGATATATACGTATATATCTTATTTAAATTATAATTACTTTTATTATTATTCGTTTATGTTTAACTTAAGGTATATTATTATTATTATTAAGGGATTTTAGCCGTTTTAAACGATTAAGAAAGGCTTTCAAAAGCTAATTTATAATAGCTAGTAATAATAAGATCTTAATCTTAAGATAGAACGAAGCAAAGATTATTATTAATTAAGGTATCAATAAAGATACATTTTTTAAATAGCTTATTATGTAAGTTTTACTTATTATATTATCTTATTTAACAGTTTTAAGAAAACGACAACATTCTTATAACATAAAAAAAAATCTGTCATTGAGTAAAGAAATTACTTTTTAAAATAGTTCGGTTTATTCACAATTAAAAAGTATTCGAATATAAGGAAGCTTTTATTTATAAAGTCGCTTTTTTACCTTAAAAAGACGCGTTTAAAAACAAACTATTATTTAAAATCGAATTTTAAAAATACAACACTCTATTAATACTTATAAATAAGGCATATTAGCTTTAATCCGTTAAAGCGGCTTAAATTATGATGACGTAGCGCTTTTTAAAAAGAACCTTATTCTTATAAGTCCCAAGAATACGCGCGAATTAAAACGAAAGAAACCCTATTTTATAAAAAACTAGGTCTTAAAGCTATAAAAGTCTTTTATCACATGTATATGAATTAAAAAGATATAAAAAGGATATACTAAGGTAAAAATAATATTGATTGCTATTTATAAAGTAATAAGTTTCACGATTTTATATTTTTATTACGATAAAATAATAAACGGAAAGGTTAATAACGTTAAACACCTTATTTAATGTATAAAACGCTACCGTTTTAAAATTTAAATTATCTAAATTAATAACTTTCTTAGTTATTATTTCAGGCTTAGAAATATGACTTTTATACACTTTACTTTTTTTCCTTATTATTAGACCTTTAGTTTTACTAAATTAAAATAACCTATAATTATAAAACGAAATAACTCGATTTAGTTTAATAACGGTTTTTTTTACTAAAAAACTATACGCTTATATATATATATATCTATATAAGCATTATTAAAAAGCTATTTGCACTATACATATAAATATGAAACGGGCGTACGAAATGATAAAGGTATATCGTGAAGAAAATAACGCGTATTATAAAAAGTAAACTATTATATAACTTATAGTTAAATATTATAAATGTTTTTTCACTTATATAACCGTACTTGTTCGGTAAAAATAAAAGAAAGAGGTTTTTACGAATGTTTTTATAGTAAACTTATAAAAAAGGATAGATTTCAAGGCTTAAAAATACCGTAATTGAGTTATTTTTAAATGTATAAATATAAAGTTTACGCTCTTAAAAAGGGCCAAAGATTTAAAACTGAGATAAGCTTAATAACTTTTTAAAGTTTAATTTGCGAGGTTATATAATATATTTGATAAGATATAACTTTAGAAACATTTATTATATTTAAATTTTATAATTTAAAAAGGTTATTCAAACCAAAGACGTAACTTTTAATAAACGAACGTTTTTAGACGAAAATAAATACTTAAATATTTAAATAATGGTTAATTATCTAATAGAAAAGTAAATAACGAAATATACAAGTTACAAAGTTATAAAACGACAATAAAAACGATATTCAAACCACGATTTACGTTGTTAACGATTATATTTTATTGCTACTTTTACATTTAAAAAGTAGATTATTTATTTTCAAGCTTTTAAATATTAAAAAAGACTTCTTTACGGCCTTTATATACCTCGTTATTAGTATATAAACAGTCGTAAGTATAATTAGTCTTTTTAAAAGTAACAATATTTTGAAGAAAAAAGTAAAAAAAGTAAAAAAAGTAAAAAAAGTTCGTTATTTTAAAGTGGTAAAAAAAGCATTTAAATCTTAATTACCTTTTTAAAGGTTATAAAACTTAAAATTTTACGATTTTTGACAATTTTATCTAGTAATTTCATTTGTTATTTGATTTATAATGAGGTATAAGATTGGATTATATCTTAAAAACCTTGCTTTAACGTTTAAAAACTATCAAAGATTATTTAAAAGAGTATAAAATATAAACTTATAGTTTAAAGTAATTATATTTATTATTAAGGTTATTAAAATTCAAGCTATATATAGGTATTTATATATAAAACAAATAAGAACGAGTTTTTAAATATTATAAAGCACGCCTCGTTATATATAGTAATTAATAAGCTTATGAAGATTTTTTTACGAGCATAATAAGTTTAACTGGCACATTATTACATATATCACTTGCTATTGCGGTGAATTTCAACTTAAAAACTCGGTAAATAAATGTTATTAACTCGTCTATATGCTACGATTTGAACGATGTTATATATATATATATATATATGCTTTTTAAGTTTGAAATATCGCATTATATTTTTAAATAAAATAAAATAATACACGGTTTTAATAAGTTACTATCATTTAATACACTAACGTTCTTAAAGCTTTTAATAAT